ACCACTAGACTAATAGGATCGTCAAATTTACCTCTGGATCCATTTTCGAGGATATAGGTGTGGTGACTGATTAAGAATTCGGAGAGTCACCACCCCTACTCATCCCGTGGGTGTCGTAAGAGACGAATAAAGGAGCAAACTACGCAGGATAACAGTACTGCAAAGAAAAGGAAAACTTGAAACAAACCCGATAGCAATCCTTCTGGCCAGCGTGGTATAGTAGGCCAGAACCTACTTTTTAAGGAGCGGCCTAGGACTGTTAAAGGGGTTGGTGATGATGATGTAATTAAGAGTGAAAAAATTGGTTTTTAGTACATGGAAGTAAGCTGTACTGTTTCTAAAGATAATTATGCAAAAATACGGATAGTTAGACAGACCGGACGTCCGGTTTCAGAAGGCTGTCTAACTAGTATAAACGATTACACGCCAATTAACAGATCGCCAAGATAAAATAGGATTTGTGTCACGGCATTTTGATTTGAAGTTTTTATCTAAAACGTATTTTAAATTAGTTTTGTTGTGAGTTCAATGCATTTATGCGTTTTTCATCTGCCGATAATTATACAAATAAATAAAATTGGAGTGTCTGTTTGTAATATTAAAATAACCGCTTTTTACTAGATGCATATGTATGTTTACACGGTACATATGCCAAAATAACATTTTTTACAATTTTTGTCTGTCTATATATATACTACTGGCTGAGACCCGCGGTGTTACCCGCGTTTGTTGTTATAACCGCGGGCAACGCCGCGGGTCGAAGCTAGTCTAAAAAAAGTAGCCTAAGTTACTCCTTATGTCATCAGCTATCTGCCAGTGAAAGTCCCGTCGAAATCGGTCCAGCCGTTCCCTAGATTACCCAGAACATACAGACAGACAGACAGACAGATAGACAGACAGCCAGACAAAAATTGTAAAAAATGTTATTTTGGCATATGTACCGTGTAAACATACATATGCATTTAGTAAAAAGCGGTTATTTTAATATTACAAACAGACACTCCAATTTTATTTATTTGTATAGATTTGGTACAGAGATCGTCCGAGTCTCGGGAAAGGACCTAGGCTAGTCGTTATCCCAGAAATTATCCTTTAAGGGGTTGAAAAGGGGATTTAGATGAAATTTGGTATGAAAATACTTTGATTCTTGAAAACAGACATAGGCTACTTTTTAGAGCGATAACCAACATTTACGCAAAAGCTAGTATTCATATATTGACATTTTTTTTATTTAGTTGTGGTGCACCAACTTTTTTTTTTTTATATTTACAAAAATGTGTAATGGGATCGTGATGTCACTGGTCGCATCAATATCAATACTAATATTATAAAGCTGAAGAGTTTGTTTGTTTGTTTGTTTGAACGCGCTAATCTCAGGAACTACTGGTCCGATTTGAAAAATTCTTTCAGTGTTAGATAGCCCATTTATCGAGGAAGGCTATAGGTTATATATCATCACGCTAAGACCAATAGGAGCGGAGCACCAATGAAGAATGTTTAAAAAACGGAGAAAATTTATTACTATTGAGAGACGCAGACGAAGTTGCGCGGGTCAGCTTGTCAATAATAAAAATTGAGAGATTACGAAAATAAATTTTTTTTTCGTAAAAAAAAAAGGTTTTTTTTTATTTGAATGCATTTTTATTCATTCATTTATTAAAGATCGCCTAACGATCTTTCGACTATTCAATGTCTTGTTTATATTTCAAGGGCCAGTATAACTTGGTCAGTCAAATATAGTTCTTTTTACCACGACAGTCAAAACACTGGTGTATATTTTAACCTCCATAGTTTTATATAGACGTTTTGACATAATGTTGAACGTTATATCACAATAGTTTTGCCCACGGCTGCGCTAGCGTGCTGTCGATTATAATAACCTTAAAATAATATGTCCTTCCTCAAGAATCAAAGTATTTCCATGCTAATGTTCATTAAAATTGGTTTAGCCGTAAAAGCGTAACAGACTGACAGAGTAACTTGCCCATTTATAAAATTAGTAAGGACATTGTTTTATAATTTTAGCTTTGTGCAATTCTACATATAAATTTTGTTTTAACTAATTTTTTTAACGTACAAGATGTAAAGGCACATATACCCATCCAATTCCTTCTAGAATATTAAAAAACACAGTCAATTGTCTAATGACCTCGGCTAAAGGTCAAAAAACAAAAAAAAAGGTCAATAATTGCGATAAGGTCATATCTAATGGTGCGATAACTGTAAACTGCGCAGGCGCCTAACCTATTGTTTCACTTCCTTAAGTCGAAATTAATGTAGGGTTTTAGTTAAAAAAATATGGTTTTATATCCGGACTTGTTACGTCAATGGCGACTATGAAAAATATTTATACTTTATACATGTGGCCGAAAGATGCGCCGCGCCGGATTTTCGCTCAAATAGTTGCAGGTTCAAAACCCATCAAGTACAATACCAATGTGAACTAACCCCTTTCTTTGTACATGTGAAAAACCCGTTGGGCCGTCACACCACACGGGATTTTTCGTCTGATGGCTGGCACCGCCTAAATCATACGGTGTGCAAAACTGCGCATAATTTAAGAGCTTTCGTAATAAGGTTTGCTAAATTTAAGTGATGTTATTAAAACGTCGGGACCCTCCTAGCGCCTACTCCCAAAATCACGAGCATCTTCGGGTAAAACGAGATAGATGACATTCAGGCACCAGCGGATGTAGACCCCTCACAGAAGCAAAGTAGATTGAACCTACTGCTACTGCATTTAGCTTACATACTAGGGTTCACGAGAATACTATTTATTACGTGATCAATGTGCACTAATCGACTGCACGTATGGCGTAGTCATTTAAGCGTTCACCCACCGCTTTCTACTGCGCTGAGTTTTGTGGGTTCGATCCGAACAAGACTTTGTGTGATCCACAAATTGTTGTTCTAAGTCTGGGTGTTCTTTGTGACAGTTTCATGTATGTTTGTAAAGTCCTCTGCAACTCAGGATATATTCCTAGTGCGGAAGTTGTCTATTAAAAAAAAACAAATGTTACTATTCTTTAAGAAACGTAAATGCTGAGTTATAATTGACATCTCACCGTCCATAGACGGACAATTCTAGCACCGCTCGTTCATTGGTCAAATCCGATAGCGCCGCGCGCTCATTGGTCAAATGAACTTGCGCGCGCTTTCCCGGTTTCCTGTTACATACTTCCGTCCTCTTTTCACGAAATTACTTTTACAAATTGCAGGGAAGCGAGAGGATTAATGTTACATATACATATATACATCAAATTTGGTATATTTTTAATGCAGTTAAATAAATACAAACCAAATAGCAATCTGAGGTACTAATTATCGTCCGCGCTATTGCCGGACCGAAACGACGTTTAAGAAAAGATCATACTCCTTCCTAAGAGGCCGGCAACGCGCTTGTGACTTCTGAGTTACAGGCGTTCATGAGCGCGGGTAGACACTTTCCATCAGGTGACCCGTCTACTCGTCCCGCCCACTCTTTCACATAAAAAATACAAAGTTTAACCGTACGAGAGCCATGCTTCAGCACAAATGGGTCAGCTAGACCGGAGTGATACCACAGCCTTACAGAAAACCGGTGTTAAACGGTGTTTCTTCTAAAAGACAACAAGAATATGAATCCTGAGTCGCGGGGGACTTTACAAACATACATGAAACGCACATAAAGAACACCCAGACTCAGAACAACAATTTGTGGATCACATAAAGTGTTGTCCCGTGCGGGGATCGAACCCACAATATATACACGACAACGTGACGACCGCTTAAACCGCAGCCTCGGATCTACGATTTTTTCAAACCGGGCAGAAACTTAATCCTCCTCTCCAGCGTTTGAGGAAAATAATTAAAAAAAACTCACAAATATATTATGATGGTTGGCATTTTTCGTGATTGGTAGGTCACGATTTATTGTTTTTATTTTATTTTAAACTGCCGACGGGGCAGGTGCCCCGGTATACCTCCCCCTAGGTCCGGGGTTGGCACTACGTCATCTGTGCAGTCTTGTTTAGCAATTCTTTTGCGCCTTTCATCAAGTGACTGATATGACCGAAATCATAACAGGGTTTGGGCTCCGGTTCCCTGATTCTGACACACTTGTGGTAGTAGTCACCATCAGATGATCTGTTCGTTTGTTCCAATATCAAACAAAAAGTCCTCGAAACAAATGACGCACTAATTTATGGCTTAAAGCTATAATTTATGTTTGGACTCAAATAACAAAGCACTCAGCGACTCAGTCAAATTACTCAGTCGTTACATGTTTTCATTAAATTACAAAGCGTTTTTTTTTTCGAGGAAGTCTGATGAAGATCAATTTAGAAGCAGCGCTTAATTATAAAACTATACACTAACAAAAAGACAAAAAAATCTTAAGTCGGTCCATATCCTTATGTCACGGATTCAAAGTCTCTACTCATTCACCACCCCCATACATCCCATGGGTGTCGTAAGAGTCGGCTAAGGGAGTTAACTACGCAGGACAACAGCACTACAAACAGAAGGAAAACTTGACATCAATCCCATACCAACCCGTCTGGCCAGCATGGTATCTATAGTAGGCCAAAACTTCTTTTCTAAGGAGAGGCCTATGTCCAGCAGTACACCATCAAAAGCTGTTGATGAATTTGACGACGTTTATGGCTCAGTAGTAGTGTATTTATTCTTGTTCAGTGCAAACATTTGTACACAAAAATATGTCTATTTAAATTTGGTAGGTATTTCAATGTATAACCTGTAAATGCGTGTCTAACCGTGTTCTAGAACCCATAAAATAGCAGCAAAGTGAGTGAAATTTGAGTTTTTGAAGTGTACTCAAACCTTCTAAATTAAATCCTTAAATTATCGAATCGAAGTGAAACTTTATACGCAGATGTAGTAGAACGTACATAACGCTTTACACTATAACTTGGCAACTGTTCTGATGATGATACTGATTCCGTCTCCATATATATAAACAATTAAATATTCAGAACGAAATTCGGTTTGTGTTTTTCCAGACGAGCCCTGGCCATTCCACCATCAACAGGTCCGTTCTCGCATGACCGCTGCAAGATGTACTCCGCAGACTTCAAAGCAGCGCTGGCTCAGGGTAGAACAACCCCTGATGATGAGTGGCCTGTGGTGCCTTGTCAGTACGGATGGGAGTACAACAAGAGTGATGTGCCATATGATACTATTGCTTCCGAGGTCAGTATTGGTGATAATTTATGCCAAACGAACAGACAGGTCCCCTGATAGTAAGTGACGACCGGCGCCCATGGATATATGAAGCTTAAGAGACACAAGTGTATTGACAAGCTTTGAGTCTTTCCCCCCCTCCCCCTCACGCCCCGAAAAAGGGAGGCTTCTGGTAACCTCACTGGTAATAAATAACGAAAGCGCAAGAATTATGCGACTGCTGTGCGGTTTCGGTCTCGGGTTCGATTCCCGGGTCGGACCAACTGTTTGTATGATCTGCAAATATTTGTTTCTGAGTTTGGGTTTTTTCTATGTACAATATGTGTGTATTTACAAAAAAAAGGTATGTAAGTTTTCTATTAGTCAATCTAGCTTTCATAGTACAAGCTCTGCTTAGTTTGAAGCTAGATGGCGTTGTGTGTCAGATATACGAAATATTATAAATATTAATTACTTAACACCAGTTTGTTTATGAGTATCACTCCCATTTATGCCAAAGTTTTGCTCTCAAATACAATATAATATAAATCCTTTTATATAAAAGCTTGAACCGACTTCAAACAATAACAAACAAACAATAAATAACAAACAAATAAACATCTTCAAATAATACAAACAAAGAGTACTTAAAACCTATTTTTGCTGTAATTTTTTGAAGAGTTCCGTTGTCTGTCTCCTAAACTCATCATCAGATCTTTATGAAATTTTAATGGGACCATTTCGGAATAAACCCCTTTCGTACAAAAAAAATATTTTGAAAATTCGTCTATATATGACGGAGTTATGCATGAACATACAGAACACTATATATATATATACATCCGAATTGATAAATTCCTCGTTTTGGAAGGCTGTTAAAAATTAATTTTATCTTCTATATCTGTACTCTTCTTTCTTCAGTTGGACTGGGTTTGCGAGCAGGACAACTTAGCAGCAACAGCTCAAGCTATATTCTTCTGTGGAGCTATAGTTGGTGGCCTTATCTTTGGGTGGATTGCTGATAAATACGGAAGGATTCCTGCTTTAGTCGGTAAGATAATTTGTTATGATCTAAACCATGGAGCAATAATTCCTGACTGAATGTTAGTGATCCCGACTGCTAAGCCATAGGTCGTGGGTTCGATGTCACCCCCCCCCCTATCCCTTCAAAACAAATATCTATGTGATGAACACGATCATTTGATTCGTGTCTGTGTGTAATTTATCTATATGTATGTATTTAGATGTATATAAGTATGTTTATCAGAAGTCTGGGTTCTTCTTAGTTTGGGATCAGACAGCCTCGTGTGAGATGTGTTAGGTTATTATTATAATTTATTTAAATTAACTACCTTGGAAATCTAGTAAACAGTACCGTTAGCCTACAGTTACACCAGTTTTGTAGAACAAAATATTATTTTAACGCCATCTAGGGAAGGCAAGCTACACTACATAGTTACTAATCATCCTGCATCGCATAATGAAAATTCTTGAGCCGATTAGTACCTATAAATATACATATTTATGTATATAAATATACATATACTAGCAGACCCAGCCACGCTTTGCTGTGGCTAAGGTTTTTGTTATATTACATTGTAGTAAACTATTTAAGAGGAACGGTAGGAGAACATCAGTCACGGGGACCACCATGCTTTCTTACATAGATGCCATTTGTAAAAAATATGGCGACCTCCATGACAGATTTTCTACTACTGAATTACTGTATAGTACTGTAACTAAGGGGTTAGTTCAACGAAATTATCATTTACGAAAGAAGACGGAAACGTTAAAGCTGGTATAAAAATATACTGGATTGGGATTTGAAGGGACAGGACTTTGAACACGATTAATTAAAATTTTCTTACAGCTGATATTAAGCAAAATTCAATACAAAAGAATTAATTTTAAAATTTACTTTTTTTTTGGTAAGCTATCCTATCTTTCAAGTATGATCAAACTGCACATGGTGTGCAAATTTGATTAAAATCGGTTAAGTAGTTTAGGAGTCCATCGCGGAAAAACAACGTGACACGTAATTTATATATAAATATAATATTTGTGTGAAGACCTACACAAAGCAAACATTTAAAACAATATGTAAACAAATAATCATGTTCATCACACAATTAATTTTTCTGGGTGGGAATGAGACCCACCTCCCGTTTAGCAGTCAGTCCCTAACCACTCGACCAATAAGCAGTTCAATGCTGATGATTACTCTTGTCTTACAGGCACAAACCTATTGGGCTTCATAGCAGGAGTCGGTACATCGTTCTGCAACAGCTTCTGGTCCTTTGCTCTGTGTCGGTTCCTGGTCGGACTGGCGTTCGACAACTGTTTCACAATGATGTATATACTTGGTAAGTAGACTTGACAGCTCTCTATGGATATCTTCTATCTGATGATGCCTCCCAGAAAACACAAAATTGCAATTCTTTCAAATTCCACAAGTATACACCTCTCTCATGACATAGGGGAAGGGGGTTAGCTTCCCCCTATGTCAAGAGGATTTGGCTGACTTGAGAGCTAAACCAAATGTTTGTATGATCTGCAAACAATGGTTTCGGAGTTTGGGTGTTTTGTAGTATGAATGTTTTTACAAAACAAAGTATAAAAGTATTCTATCTGTCAATATAGATTTTATAATACAAGCTCTGCTTAATTTGAAACTAGATGGCGTTGTGTGTCAGATGTCTGAAAATATTATTATTATGTATTATTATGTAGATTATTATATATTATTATTACATTATATATTATATATTATTATTATATATTATTATGTAGATTGCAATGCTTCACAAACCTCGGTAAAAACGTTAAACATATTTATTTTAAATGGTTAATGAATTTTTAGTACAAAAAATAATTAGTAAGAACTTCAATGCGCTAGCTGTTATCTTTTAATACATAATTTATTCTGTCATCGTAGTTTATTGCTGTAGTGATTACATGGTTTTTAATTTAATTATTTCAAAGTAATGTACACTTCTTTACCTACATAGTACCGAGAGTTCAAACTCAAATATATTGAAAATTATTTGAAATCATCTCTTGTCTAGACTAAAATCATAGATCAATAATACACACACATGACGCATACAGATACACACATACAACACACGATGGCAACAATCTCTGTTTTTTCATATCTAGCAAACTAAATATATACGTATCGAAAATCTCTTATATGCCTGTGCCGATCTACAACCGCCCATTTCCAAAAGGTTGAACCTCATGCGAAAATAGGGCAAACAAACTCACAACCTCTCTTTTTTATTCATTTATTTTTCCTTCAATTAGGAAAACCATCAGCTACAAAAATGATAATGGTCAGATTGATATACTTTTTTTTTTTTTTTTTTTTTACGTGTGAAAATCCCCTCGGACCGTCACCCCGCCTGGGCTCTCGTTCGGCGGGGCGGTGTGTCGGACTCGAACCGACTAAAACCACACGGTGTGCCCTCTTTGCGCTTCCAGTTTAGGAGGGGTCCAGGTAGCTATCTCCTTCTGGACCCCTCCCAGCGCCGGCCCGCTCCTGGTGCGGGCTCCGTCTCTGATCTTTCCTCTCTTTAGGCGACGTCCGGCACACGCGGACGCCGCCCCCTCGCGGCTGGCCAACTAATGCGGGTGGAGGGGAGAACCCATCCCGTCCACCCGCGGCCACACTCAGGGCGGCATGAGGCGCAGGTAAGCGCGCCTCCGCCGCCCAGTTCGCCGGCGGCGGATCAGGTCCGAGTGGAGGTCGTCCTCCCGGGCCTTCTCCGCCGCCTCCTTCTGCGAGATTACCTCCTCGCAGAAGGTTGCGACCGCGGTAAAACAACTGTCGCTACCGGCCATGGAGCGAATTACGGCCGGTAGCGAGAGATCTGCTCCGATGACTGCAGTGAGGGCCCGGCGCTGCGTCGCCCATGCGGGGCAAACCGCCAGCGTGTGCTGGGCCGAATCCTCACTGCAGTCGCAGTGGTGGCAGGCGGGACTCGATTCCCTCCTAGCGACCGAGTACAGGTACTTTCCGAAGCAACCGTGCCCGGAAAGCACCTGCGTCAGCCGGAAAGAAAGGGTCCCGTGCTGCCGCCCTGCCCACTCGGCGATGACCGGCTGGAGAGCCTCCACGGCGGCGAAGCCAGCGCGTGGAGTCTCCAGCCGGAACGACCATCTCACCATGGTGGCTCGGCGAGCGGCTTCGCGCCACTCGCGCACGTCTTCGGGCGGAGGGCGAAATCCGCTCTCCGCCCGGAAGTCAGCCACTCGCCGATAAACTTCGGCGAGCACTTCCGCCTCCAAATCCCACGGGGGTGTTCCGGCCAAGGCACAGGCCGCCTCAGTGGACACCGTGCGGTATCCGCGTATGGCTCTGACCGCCAATATCCTCTGGGAGCGCCAGAGGCGCGCCCTATTCGGGGCGGTCAGAGCCGCCACCCACACCGGTGCACCATACAGCGCCATGGACCGGACAACCCCTGCGTACAGCCGCCTCGTGGGAACACTGGCCCCGCCCAAATTGGGCAAAAGTCGCCCTAGGGCGGAGGCAGTGTCCACCAGCTTCGGACCAAGCTGTCGGAAGTGCTCGTCGAAGAGCCACCTACCGTCTAGGACCAGACCCAGGTACCTCATCTGGGCCCGGACCGGTACGAGGACCGAGCCGACCTCGATTGAGGCGCCGGCGGGCGGACCACGACGGGGCCCATGAAATAATAGGGCCTCCGTCTTATCCAGGGCCACCCGCAAACCCAACGCCTCAATGCGCCCGACCACCAGGGAGACTCCCGTGGCGGCCAGGCGCGCCGCCTCCTGGAAGTTAGCCCCCCGGGCCGTGAGCAAGGTGTCATCCGCGTAGCAGATTACACCCAGCCCGGGGGGAGACGCCCTCGTAGGGCCCAGTCGTACCCGATGTTCCACAGGAGAGGTCCTAGGACAGACCCCTGCGGAACACCGCACGACATGGCCCTGCGTCTCAAGACGCCATCTCGGTCCTCGTACATGACGGTTCGCTCCTCAAGATAGTCTGCCACCAGCCGCCTCAGGTACTCCGGCACTCCGTGGTAGCGGAGCGCTTCCCTGATGCAGCTGAATGGCAGACTATTGAAGGCGTTGGCGATGTCCAAGGACACCGCCAACACCACTCCGCCGCAGCTCACGGCCTCCTCGGTCACGGCCCTAAGGCGCATCACGGCATCGATCGTCGAACGCCCCTCTCGGAAACCGAATTGGGCGTCCGACAGATCGGGGCAGATTGATATACTACATTAAGCCAATAACAATTTTACACGAATTGAATCATTGTAATTTAACAGAGGTACTGGAACACTAACTAACACGATGCTACACCTATACAATAAATAATAATGGATCTAAAAATGTTACGATTGGCAAAATTTAAGGTTTAGCATACTGTGCATAACATTGCTTTTGGTATTCATCATCATCATCGTCATCAACAGCCTTTAATAGTCCACTGCTGGACATAGGCCTCTCTTTGGTATTAAAGGGATCAAAAGAGTACTTTTAAAGACAACTCCCGCGTTAGGAATATATCCTGTGTCGCGGAGAACTTTACAAACATACATGAAACGAACACACAAAGTGTCTCCCCATGTGGGGTTTGAACCCACAACACTCGGAGCAGTAGGTATCGGCGTGGCGACCGCTTAAACCACTACGCCATCCGTGCAGTCACCGTGTACTCCTTGCACAATTTATTGAAATCGCAAATTCAATAACAAATGGAAAATCGGAAATTAACAGATACTTACAATGCCATTATTAAATATACACAACATTGTTTTAATGTGTGCCAGTATGTAAGTTTTAAGGACTAAAAGTAAAAAGGCAAAGTTGATATTAAAATGTTACGTCATGTCCCGTTTATCCCATGGGAGTGCCATCTGTCTGTCAGTCAGTGATACCATGGTCTCGTAGAAAACCAGTGTTGAGCAATTCTTTCCTTGCTCATCACCAAGTGAGTAATGTTACAGTACGACCCACCAACCTCTGGGAGGGGGACTCAAGGGGTGGCAATGTCTTTTGGTCTCTTGAGAGTTCATGGGCGGCGGTACTCACTTACCATCAGACAACCCGTCTACTTATCTGCCCTCTATACCATAAAAATTATTACACATATTTATAACCTTCTAATTTATTTCAGTCCTGGAATACGTTGGGCCCAAATGGAGAACATTTGTGGCCAATATGTCCATCGCTCTATTCTTCACTCTGGCGGCTTCTCTACTGCCCTGGATAGCGTTGTGGGCTGATGATTGGAGAATTTTCGCTATGGGAACCAGTTTGCCGTTCGCGTTGGCAATTGCTACACCTTGGCTGGTTCCTGAGAGTGCAAGGTATAATTGAATCGCTCATCACCAAGTTCGTAAGGATTTCATGACAAAAATGTATGTTTTTCTTATCCTTTACAGATGGCTCGTATCCCAAGGCAAAATAGACAAGGCTTTGATAATTATGAAGAAATTCCAGAGGATAAATAAAACCAAGATCCCAGACAAGGTCCTTAGTGATTTCACGGTAAGTAATATTAGCATAAACAAAAATATTAAGAACGGATTGTTTTGGAATTTAGCAGGATTTATTTAGAACGTTAATTACTGGTTAATCATCATCAAAAGCCACTAACAGTCCATTGCTGGACATAGGCCTCTTTTTACAATCGAGGTTATGGTCTACTATACCACGCTGGACAGACGGGTTGGTACAGGGTTTGTTTCAAGTTTTCCTTCTTTTTGCAGTGCTGTTGTCCTGCGTAGTTAGCTCCCTTAGGAGGCTCTTACGACACCCACGGGATGAATAGAGGTGGTAGCACTCTGTATTCATAATCTAATGAATTGATTTGAATTGATGACAATCAAAAAACATAAACCTCGGCAGAACCAGTCAGGTAAAAACTGCCATTCATTTCCTGTCCTGCAGAGTACCACACATAACATTAATACTGCATCCAATAGGTTATATGGTGTGTACAATTCTTCTGGCGACATTAAGAATACGGAGTGTCGCCACCCCCATTCATCCGAAGGGAGAAATCTACGCAGGACAATCGCACTGCAAAGAGAAGGAAAACATGACATAAACCCTATATCCACCCATCTGGCCAGCGTGGTATAGTAGACCAAAACCTACTTCCTACGGAGAGACACTATGTCTAGCCAGTGGGCTATTAAAGGCTGTTAATTTGATATGACCGTAGATGCAGTCTTATTATTAAACGTAAAAAATTAGGTAGACAAAGACTTGTTAACCCAATTCACATGTGCCTACAGTTGCTTTTTGTTAATATTAAATTACACCGTTTCTTTTCAGGAATCCTCTCTTAGACATATTAAGAAATCAGAATCTGAATCCAGGACTTATTCAGTACTGGATCTTTTCAAGACACCAAGACTTAGAAAGAATGCGATACTCCTTATCGTGATCTGGATGGCGATATCCCTGGTATTCGACGGTCACGTGAGGAATGTTGGTTCTTTGGGTTTGGATGTGTTCTTGACATTCACTATTGCGTCAGCTACGGAGCTTCCAGCTGACACTTTCCTAACTGCAGTTCTTGACAGGTATTTAACAACAAATTTTGGTATACCATTAATAACCCTCAGTACCAGCTTTTCTATCTGAACCGCATTCAGAGAGACTGACTGCATGGATAGCGTAGTAGTTTAAGCGGTCGCGTCGCCGCTTCCTGCTGCACTGAGTGTTGTGGGTTCGATCCTCACATGGGACAACACTTTGTGTGATCCACAAATTGTTGTTTTAAGTCTGGATGTTCTTTATGTTCGTTTCATAAAAGTTCGTAAAGAAACAGGGTCTATAGACAGATAAGTCTACAAGGGGAATAATACTTGATAAGAGGATCGGTGTGGACAAAAATTCAAATAAATCCCTAGGAGATTATAGCAGGGGATCTTATTATGCGGCAGGGATATATCCCTAGTGCAGAAGTTATCTTTTAAAAAGAAAGAAAAGACTGGTTGTCAGGATATTTCAGATCATCTTGATTGCCATTGCGTAGAGATGAAGCTTGACTCTGCATGCTCTATCCCTTGTATTATGGGGTGTGCTCCATGGAATTGTTTCGACTGCCACCGGCCGCAACCACACGACGCGAAACCTCGAAGCGATACTTGGCACAACCACAATGTCCTTTACAACAAACTTTTGGTCTCATACAACAACTCTGCAGAATAAATTGTCGCCTGTGGTTTTCCAGACCGATACGATCTCCAAACCTTCAAGAGACGCGAGTACTCCCTTCCAAATGCCGGCAACGCTCTTAAGTTTCAGATGTCCCTTCCCTCCCTGACTGTTCAAAGAAAATTTGATGTTTATTATACGGAACCTGTACTCAATTTTGCAAACTAAGCAGGCAAACAAGCATGAACCTCGTTTGACGGCAAGCATTTACCAATATTTGATTGGTATATTTGAAATTTAATGTTGTATAATTTTCCAGGTGGGGCCGAAGATGGTTGGCGTGTGGTTCTATGGTATTCAGTGGTATTTTCAGCTTGTTGGCAACGGCTGTACCTATAGGTAAGTTATGGTGCTGATTATTAAAAAAAAAATAGTGATATCTTACACACGCCAGTCTGATCTCAAACTAGGCTATGGTAACCAGACTGCTGATAAACATACATATATATTTATAAATACAAACATATAATAGACAAATTTTACCCAGACAAAGAATAAACGGTGGTGCTCCTCACTTCAACTTGTCCTGAGCGGGAATAGAACCCATAACCTGGTGTGATGATGGAATAATAATACGGAGTGTAACCACCCCTATTCATCCCGTGGATGTCGTAAGAGCCGACTAAGGGAGCAAAGTACGCAGGACAACAGCACACCAACCCATTTGGCCAGCGTGGTATAGTAGGGCAAAACCTACTTTCTAAGGAGAGGCCTATGTCCAGCAGTGGACTATAAAAGGCTGTTGATGAATTATGTATATATTTAGAAGGACAACTTGCCACCAATAGATCAAACTTCCTCTTTTAACCATTTTTCTTTCTGTAGGTGGACCTTCGGCCTCTCTTGCTATCCTGGGTCGTTTCGCCGTGAATATTTCCTACAATATCGGGTTACAGTACGCAGCAGAACTTCTACCAACTGTGGTGCGAGCCCAAGGTGTGGCGCTAATACACATCATGGGATATGTTGCTTCAATCGTTGCCCCGTTCGTAGTGTACTTGGTAAGTGGTGCATGAAAATTGACTGTGAAGTCAAAACAATAAAGTCAAAACGTTTTGTTAATAACTGTTATTAATATTCCAGAAATAGCAATTTTTAACGGCAAAAACTGCTATCGTCAAATCGCTTTTACAATTTTAAACCACAGGTTATATGATACACCCTAGCTGGGTCCATGGCTAGGGGGGTATGTTCTGATAAGCATCAAGGATAATACTAATAACAACAGATATCTTGGTCCCTGTACCCGATGTGGATGGGACATATTTCTTAAATGTTTTGTTTTGTACATAAATATATTTAAAAATGTAATTTATATGTATATTTAAACGAATAAAGAGTTTAATAATAATATTTTCGGACTTCTAACACACAACGCTATCTAGATCCAAAGTAAGCAGAGCTTGTACTATGAAAACTACATTGACTGATAAAATACTTATATATTTTTTGTAAACATACATATTACACATAGTTGTCCGTGTGGTGAATGATTAAGAATACGGAATGTCATCACCCCTATTCAACTCGTGGGTGTCGTAAGAGGCGACTAAAGGAACAAACTCCGCAGGACAACAGCACTGCAAAGAGAAGGAAAACTTAAAACAAACCCTATACCAACCGTATAGTAGGCCAAACCCTCCTTTCTAAGCAGAGGCCTATGTCCAACAGTGGACTAGTAATGGCTGTTGATGATGAATGACACATAGAAAATATTAAACAAAAATAACTGCAAATATTAGGATGCCGTACTTCCAAGTTCAGAAGGTTTCCTAACGGGTTTATTCTATTCATCCATCTGTCTTTTGTCCTCTTCTTAAACTTGATTTGTATTTATTTCATAATCTTCTTGCTTATAAGTCCTTAATTTAAAGTTTATTATAAACGAAATAAACACAATTTCATTGCTTAAAACGAAAATAATAAGTAATAACCTTTAAATAAATGTATAAAGTACATACTTAGACTGAATAATGATGAACGAATATGTGAATTAATTAATAATATTATAATAAATATTAATTAATTACTGAAAAGTTAAATTATATAACTAACGAGTACATTTGGTGGATATCTGTTCACAATACAAATAGTATAATTACATAATTATAAATGTATTCTTATGATAATAACAAATATGTAACTATACCTAATTGGAATATATATTAGACATTAAAACAACTATCACCATGAATAAATCATTATAAATATCACACCTTGTAAATCGTGCTGTTTTGAAAAGTAATTATTTAATATCGACCTATTATAAATAATAATAATATTGAAAAATATCTCGGACATTTCACACAAAATGCCATTTAGCTTTAAACAAAGCAGAGCTCAAAGAAAACAGAGAATAATGAAATCCTTTTTATTGTTAATACATACATATTATACATAGAAAACACCCAAACTACGAAACAAATTTCAACAGATCATACAAACATTCTGTCTAACCCGAGAATCCAACGCAAGACCCTCAGCATAGCAGTCGCATGCGTTACCACTGCACCACCGAGACAGTCAAAAAATGTCCTTTAAAAGGAACACACAAATATTTTGGTTTATCTTTTAATACTAAAACTATATAATAATCTGTTTTTATTACGCGTATAGATAGCGCCATCTCACAATCGTCACATACACAGAACAGAAAATTAGTCGCAAAATATTTCATAACTACTGAAATTAAAATGTTAGGTGGTTACCGTGCTAACGACTCAAAATATTTAATCTGAACTGAGTTTATAGCATAAAAGGATGGGCTTGAACAATCTGTGAAACAAGCTATCATCTGCGGTATTTCCGAACGAATACGACCTTCAAACTTTCAAGAAAAGAGCGTACTCCTTCCTTAAAGGCTGTCAACGCGCTTGTGACTTCTGAGTTGCAGACGTTCATGAACGGCGGTAGACACTTTCCATTAGGTGACCCGTCTTCCATAAAAAAAGATAATCGAAACAACAAAAATTTATTTCTTCCAGGCCAACATCTCTCAAGATCTACCTCTTTTGATTCTTGGTGTTCTTGGGATCGTTGGTGGTCTCCTCTGCCTGTTCCTACCAGAGACTATGGACACAGAGATGCCTCTAACTCTTGCTGATGGAGAGGACTTCGGGAAGAATCAACGATTTTGGGATATCCCTTGCTTCACCAGGTATTTATCATCTTCTACTAAATTCTAGACCTCGCTGGAGAAAATGATGTTGAGAATGAGTATTCTAGGAGTTCGTTGCTATTCTTTTACTTCTACATTCGAACAGACAACTATAGTCCATTCGAGTTAACAGAATTACCCACTGACCCTGAACTTCCAAGTTTTTGTACGAAATGATAATTTCTTGGAACCTGATTGGTCGGGGGGCGACGCTTGATTGGAGCGTCACTATTTTCCTAACGCGAATAGACTACAACTTTAAGACTGATTGATTCAGACTGACTCCTAATCCTGCCGTACAGTGACTTACATCTAGCAGATTGCACTAGAAACTTTTCATTGTCAAAAAAAATATTTTACTGTAAATACAATCCTTTGTTTTATAATATCAATAAATGTAATTCTTATAAAACACCATCATACCTCTTCACTGTGCCCTTATAAAAGACACTAATTACAATGATTTTATTAACAAATCACGTAAGAACAATCACGTAAGAATTTTAAACACTAATACATTCTTTTTTAACAGAAAAACAGTAGAGGAAGACGAAGAAAACCCAGGAAGATACACTAAACGACCTTCATTATCTGCCACCAATGCGCCCCAGGAATTTATTCGGGCTGCTCCAAGTGCCATAGGATCCAGAGCTTCTGTCAGGGCTTCGATAAGAGCTTCAACCAGAAGACGAGATAGCCATAAAGACAGAAATGTAGTTTGAAGAGCTTAATAAAACTTGTAGCTGATAGCCAAAAAATTGATACAAAATTTGGTTCAAAACCAAATTAGATTTGTGAAAGTCAAAATTAGATTTCGGATCTAAAAGATCTCGTATTGGAAGCTAATCATAAAATCTTGGACTTAAATGGGAATGACATTTTTAATAAGATCTGAATCAAGAAATCTCAAAAGTCTTATATTTAAATAGTCATTTGATGACTAAAAATATTATCAAGTCCAGAGAATATAAGCATACCATATACAATCTTGCAATGTAGGCAACGAGAGAGATGGATAGCAGACAGATGCCTCTATCTCTTTCTAGTCGTGCTTTGTGGCTGGCTGGAGAATATGAGGGGTTAATAAGTAGCCAATCGCAGCTTAGCTAAACAGAGACAGGGGAAACTATCAGGCATCCATCTCTTTCGTTTCCTGTATCGCTTCCACTTACAGGCAGCTGTACCCCGTGTTATCTCTATGATCAAGTCTATAAAATGGATGATGACATCGTGGTTTGATCATCATAGCTGTTGATGAGAAAGAGTTTTTTGAATGAACAAATATATAAATAAATATGCAGTCTTAATACTTTCTCACACGAAAACATAGATGGCATTGTAAATATGTTTTATAAGAACATTCCTTGACATAGTCTATGACGCTATTTTTATTTTTTATACTTAGTTACGTAGATTCTTCTACAAAGAAATACCCAAACTAATGGTGGTAGAAGAATCGATACCTACATTTTTTTTCTGACCGGGCATCGAACCTGTGTCTTTTTTTTAATGGTTCGTGTGAGAAATGTTACTTATATATTATTGTTTACGAAAAAAAGACTTATTCGGTCTTAAAATTGGCATTTATTAGACTGATATTTGTCAAAATGATTTTTAAATAAGAACTTATCATAACAATAATATATTTATTATAACCAGACCTAGTAAAGTACAAAACAGTATTTATATCAACTTATATGTTTGAATATATTATATAAAATATGATATTTATAATACATTTACCAGGAAATAACTTAAATCAAAAGGAAAGAATTTAAAAGAACAATATCGATCTAGTGGTCCTGTTCTTTTTACTTTCTTCGCTAGAAACGATATACTTAGTACAGTTTTGACAATACAAAAATTAAAGTATTAAGATATTTATTTATGTTTAAATTATTTCTCAATACCATATTATAATCGTACCTGCGTAATTTTATAGTTTATATACTTTTTGGTAATAAAATTATCGATATTTGGTCCGAAAAATTATATTTATTTATAAATCAATGAATCACGATAAAAATCAGAAGGCTTTCTTATTTGTTATGATTCTTTTTAATGTACCTATTTAATTTGTATCATAGTGTTATATTCTTGCCGTATTGGGATAGTTACCAGTGTTCTATAAAAACCGTCGACAACGTCGTGTTTAGGAATTCCCTCGATGAAATTTGAGAATAGTCTGACTAAAATTTTCAACCAAAATTTTTATCTTAAACGTTTCAATACTTCTCAGATAACTAAATTATTTACTACGTTTGTAAATAAATGATGTACATATACACGTACCAAGAGGCGATTTTAATTGCCAATCGAAAAAAAGTCTTATTAATAGTCAAACTAAATTTTAGTTGGTTAATTTAATAAATTTTCGTTGGATAATTAAGTCAGACTAAAATCATAGTCCATGTGACGTGATCCTTGTCAATCTTCCGTATAGTAATAGTAAGTTATTTAACTTAATTTTTACTATAATTATAATAAGTGTAAATAGTTATTTAATTATTCATTACGTAATTATGTAAAATAACTATATTCCTAATAAATTTTAACAGTTTTCGTGCAAACCCGAAAATTTGCCACAATTGTTGTATTTCAAGAATTACAGATATTTTTAATCTGAAACACTGTTTTTGTTTATTTTCCCAATTTTCCTTTAAATAAATGGAACCTTATTATGAGATATTCAACGAGCAGTAATGTGGTGACGTATGAATACGGAGTGTCACCACCCGCATTCAACCCGTGGGACAATTCAATCGTAAGACTCGACTAAGGAAGCAAACTACGCAGGACAACAACACTGCAAAGAGAAGGCAAACTTGAAAGAGACCCCATCTGGCCAGCATCGTATAGTAGGCCATAAGCTCCTTTCTAAAGAGAGGCCTATGTCCAGCAGTGGACAAATTAAGGATGTGAATGTTGATAAACGAGTAGTTAACTGTGAGTTTGATCCGCAGCCCTTGGACACCTACGAGTACAACTCCAGCAACAAAAGAATGGCTTGACACCTTGAGGCTTTCTTTGAGGTCGTGGTAGCATTCTAGCCAGCCCCATTCAATCAAATCGAAGTGTGCTAAATTTCATTGAGATTGGTAGAGAAGTAAAAGCATTTTCTTTATTTGACTGCACGGATGGCAAAGTGGTTTAAGCGATCACCTCACCTCACCCACGCGTCGAGTTCGATCCCCACATTGGACAACACGTTGTGTAATCCACAAGTTGTTGTTTTGCGTCTAGGTGATCTTTGTGTCCGTTTCATGTGCGTTTGGAAGTCCCCGCGATGCAGGATTATATTCCTAGTGCGAAAGTAGTATTAAAGAAAAAGAACTACATTATCCGACAGTCAATCCGTCAATGTGGTACAATACTATTATTACTATTTATTTATTTACAAAGTTATAGGTCGTTCACACGCTTAGCAAGCTTCGACAAACACAAGCGTGTTAACGGGGTGTTTGGGTTTGCTTGCGTGAGCTTGTCGTCGATCGGGGTTCGTGTCGGTTTCTGAATACAGATCAAAGAAAGTTTGCTTCAAGCGTTTGCGATGTATTTACATGTACTTGTTCGCCACTGCTCAATTTGATTTCGTTGAACAGTCGGAATCAACATTAAGTCTCAATGCTTTACTGGTTGAGCAGTAGGGCGTGAGGATTATCTTGTTTACATATCGCACCGTCGCTCGGTGCAACAAAGTCACAACACGTCATTTTGTAATTTTACAGGAACGGACTTTTTTTAACAATTTTCCTTATTTCTAGATTACTACCTACAGTACCCGAAATATCTCAATAATATTATATTGTTTGTTCTTTTAGCTACAGTTTGTACAAAACTTAATTTGATTTTATGAGAAAATTAAAGAAAAGGCAAGCAAAAGAAAATCCCCTTACTTGTGATTTTGTCGCACTTGGAATAAAGATAATTTATAATTTAAGCGTTATATACCTTTATAATTGAAGACAACTTAAAAAAAAATTAAAACTTATTACATATTTATTACGTTTATTTTCTTCTCACAAAATCAACAAACAATTGTCTTATAAAAAACTACACAATTTATTTTTAAGAAATTGTACACACAAAAACCTATTTTCTTTGCTCCTCGCCTGCCTAGACCCTCGTGCCAAAAGAATCAAAATGTTTTCTCATCTTTGATATTTAATATTGTGACGTTATAACAGTTCAGTTTGCTTTTATAAAAAATGATGATGATTGATCTACTGGACAAGGCAATACAGCCTGAAGATCGTAAATAGCCACAATGACATTGCTGTCACACTTTTTGCACTCATCTACATCTTGTTTTTGTTCTATTCTTCTAAGACTCTTTTCTTCTTGATGTAGTTGGTAGCTAGACGTTAACTGTTCTTTATCTAATGCATTCTTATATGCTTCGCATGGGTCTTTCCGAGGAACGACGAAACTAAAGTTGAATTGCGTATTGTTATGCGTCGTAATTTACTGATTCTTTGTTATTAGATACGCTAATTTGTTTCTAATTATGTAGCTCCTCTACAGTTAAACCTCTGTCTATATGTTCTATAGATGAACTGTCTCTAATATAATGCCTTTAAATCCGGGGGATTAAATTTATGTGGTCACTTACAAATAGTTTAAATTTGGCATCTAGCTTTGCCTCTTTTCCGTGTCTGCTACGTTTATCCGTTCGAATTTCACTTACGCTTCCAAACATACCAGCAATTATAGTGCGTAATGGTTTAGCATTTACAGCTAGTGTATTCAGCAAAAACGTTTTACAAACCCTTATCTTTTAACCTTGATTTACAGGCAAGAAGCATGCATTGAATTTTGTTCTATTCAATTCTCTACCTCTTGGAACTTTGATAGTACGAAATTTAGGTTCAATTTGCTTTACACAAGATGCGAGGAAGTCATGCTGCCTTTGAAAAGAACCAAGGGTGTCGGAAATATTGCATTTCTATTGTCAATGGAAAATTTAGTCGAACACCAAATCGGCAGATCTTTTCACAAGGTGGAGGATTTTTTTTTCGCCATGGCTTTTCCTCCATTTGATATTTAAGGTTGACCAATGTTCTTCGAACGCTGTCTTTTGTTTTTTTTCATGGATTTGGTTTTCTGGTCCTTTTTTTAGACTTCTATTCCTGGCTTACTTGTATAGTTTCTAGGATTGCATTATTTTAGCTATTTGATAAATTAGATAAACTATTGGAATTTTATTTATACCTTGAAATTATAGCTCTATCAGATTAATTTAAAAAATGAAGTTCTTGGACCAACAAAAAGCTTTTTACAATCAATGACTTTTTTAGCTCCAATTTATTTATTTATTTTATTAAGGACAACTAACAAGGCTTACACTAATTTACATGTTAAGGTTACCATATTTTTACATTTTCTAGTGTAGTCTTAATTAAAGGCTGCTACGGCATGCATTAAACATAAAGGTAGGAAATGCAGTTACAAAACTGATTAAGCTTATCCAGAACATTAATACATAAATGCGGTACATGTTATAAAACAATCATAAACAAAAACATTCAACATACAAATATATACAAAAACTTATTGATGCTATGGCTCGCGTTGTGGTTTTACTCGAAAGAGTAACAGCATAAATATATTTACATTTCCACAACTAATAACAAAAGAAAACAAAAAAATTAAAAATAATATAAAAAAAATATCTAAATATATGTGAAAGTGAAAAAGACAACAGATACTCCACTATTCCTTTTTTTACTCTTGGGATAATGCCCTATGCAAGACCGACCTGACTTTATGTAAAGAGTAAGACATATCAATATCTACAGTGATATTGATAAATTGAACCTGCATTCTGTTAATGACCCAGGATGGAGAAATGACCCAGGTTGGTTCTAAAGCCCTTATCGCAAAGCAACCGATATCTAGCCATACGAGCAAGTTTGTAAGGCACATTTCTTGGTAATAACAAAAAACATATTGAAGTCACAAAAACAATTGAGACCATGTTTTCCAATATATTTTAATAAAATTGGTCACAAATACTTTTAAGCTTGTGTAGCTCCAAGTCATGATTAGCTCACGGCTCACGCAGACGCAAGTCTTGGATTTATAGTGTTTTATCTATGGGCACGAGGCCACTACTGACCAATCAGACTGAACTTCAAATATGCGTTAAAAAGGAGCAGAAACCACAACGGCACTAACGCCATCTATCGGAATATCCAAATACTTTCGCGGCTGTCCTTGTTTTCCCAAACGAAGACAAGGTTTATATACAATTTGGCATACTTGTATAATTCTTGCAATTTTGCCTATTTGTGACTGTTAAAATAGAATAGAATAAACTTTATTGTACACCAAGTCAGCATATTATACATACAATAGTATTCCAAGTTAATGACCATGTACAAATGGCGGCCTTATCGCTAAAAAGCAATCTCTTAAAGACAACCTTTGGATGGACAAATAGACTGTAAATAGGTAATTTCATGGATCAGATATTTTGAATGAAAATATGTCCAGGTCGCGCTTTTTTTGCCTGCCCGGAACACACTCGCAAGCGTGTTAATGGCATCCAAGCGTTTGTAAAGGATTGGAACTTGTAGACTTTTGCCAAGCAATCGGCAATCGTGTAAACTATGTATTACAAGCGTAGCGTGTTAAAAAAGATGTCAAATTCTTCGTACAATAACAAAAAGAAATTTGAAAAACAAAACAGTTCACTCTAAGTGAAATCCGTTGCTTTAAAAAACAACGTATAAACTGTTTATAAAAATAAATAAAAGAAATGTAAACACAATGTACATCGACGTCAATATGCTGGAAAACGTAAATATTGTGATTTAGTGATGTGCTTGTTGTTGATAAGTGTTATATCGATAAAATTGTTTTGTTATTTTTGCTTTGGAGAATTTTACACCACATATATATAAATCCCGTTTGATGTTTTTTCATCTTGAAATTTAATTAATTGACAAAGCAATCACTATTATAATTCTCAATGTTGTTATTTTCGTTAAACCAATAGGTTATGTACTTAACGACGAATTGACGAAAACGTTACATATCAATAATCCACCTTAACAAACTGTAAAGAATTAAGAATTTTTAGTTTAAATAAAAAAAATAGCTTACAAAAAGAAACAGAGGGCCGAGTGCAAATTTATTCCACATGGATTCGCTCTCGACGGCGAGCGATTGGTAGAGATTTTTAGTGCGGGTCAATCGTAGCTCCGAACGCAGTTACCGTGACGATCGAGTAGAACTAAAATATACTCGCACTTGGCCCTCAGTATGCATTGCCAATATTTAAAAAATCATTGACTTACAAAAGATTACATCTTTTTTTAAATGAAGTTGCCTCCGACCGGAAATCCATCCGATAAATGGCGGATCTTATGAAAACTTGATATTGCGTTTGAAATATTTGGACCGTGGAAACTTGGAAATGATTCGAATTTTAATCGAAGGACCTGTTTAAATGTAAACAAAGAAAAATCTATTTAAAACGACATTACGTATATTGTACATAATTAACTTTTAACACGCCAAACATCGATAAGTTTCCCGCCCTCACCTCCTCACTATCGTTATCCGCATGCTCAAATTTACAAACAAAATGGCACCCAAATTGCTTTAAATCATAAACTTAATTCCTTTCATTCACAGTCTGCACGAACTAGACAAATGACATTATGTTTTGTAATTTATCATTAATAGTTTCAATAGTAAATGTATTTACAATTGGAGTGATACGTAGTCAATATTTAGGGCCTGAATCGACTGATCAGAAGCCGAGACTAGAAAAAAATAACATTGTGAATAAAGGAGTATGGGTCCGGAACAAGGCTGAAGAGAATGATCTCCTAGTGAACAATAATGCGGGTAACTTTATCTTTAGAGAAAACTCTATGGACATCGACAATTTGTTGCAGAATAATTTTGATGCTTTTGGCGGGAATTATATGCAAGAGACGCCATTTGTACCGGCGTATAATGACAGACAGAAAAGATCTATTCGTTGTAAGTGCTTCATTTTCTTTTCTAATAATAAAGAGAAAACATATTGATCTAAAATGGCTTCTTGAGTGTATAACTCGCCATTTTATTTCTACGTTTTTTCATTAAACTATACCGTTAATATAGTAAAAAAGACGATTTCTCGGATACCTGACTATTTTATAATCCTACGTGTTGCGGCAGGATGCTTTTTAATAAGAACTCACACTCTTATTAAGGAAAGCCCTGTCACGTGAGTAAAAGCCTACATCTTTAATTATATTCTAAAAGAGATAATGATGATTTATTTATCGTTAATGGTTACAGATTTGTTACATTGCCTATGATAACCACAGCAGGCGCAGCCTGTATCGTGGCTATCAGTGAAAACAATTCCAAATTTAAGTAACATAATAAATAAATAACTGCATATGAATGTGTGTGTGAAAGTGTGATTCATGAAACATCTTGTGTACATTTTATTTTCTCTTTTTCTTTAAAAGACAACTCCCGCATTAGGAATATATCCTGTGTTGCGGGGGAATTTACAAACATACATGAAACGGACACAAAGAACACCCAGACTCAGAATAACAATTTGTGGATCACACAAAGTGTCGTCCCATGTGGGGTTTGAACCCACAACACCTTAAACCACTACGCCATCCGTGCAGTCATTACCTACTAATGTACAGTTTAAAACCAACTTTATCTTAAGAACTAGAGTACAATGGTCGGCGTTATCGTTAAAAGCAATATCGTACCTTATGTAGGTACATATTGCAATTATGTACGTTTCTCAGCTCAAATAACGTTACAGTTCAAAACTCCAAATGTTAAGAAATGTTAAATGTTAGGAGAACAAGTTAGAAGCTTGCCGAAGCTACAAATTTGACTCCTAGCAAACTTCTTACTTTCTAAAAACCGTTTTGTTGCTTTTTAAACTAAAACCCGAAGGTTAAACACAAAGGTAGAATTGTTAACCGCTTAACCTAACTTATTTCTTACAGACAAACGCCCTCGGAAAAGCATTACAGGCAAAAATATTAAAACCAATCAAAACAGTGAATATGAAAAAGCAGACTCGGCTCAATCAAAAATGATTAATAATCTAAAACCATCATTGGTATTCAATGACTATCCCTACGAAGTAGCAATACTACTTAACGGCAATATAAGTATGGAGAAGGAAAAACTTGCAAATCTATTAAATAATGAATCTTCTGACGCTACAGCGGTAAGTCACCACAATAGTAACGATACCGTTGATGAACTGACAACAGTGTCCATTGATACAGAAATGATTACAACTAACGATACAGGCAAAAACGTTACTTCACCGAAACGAAGCATGAAGTACGACTTTGAAACAGAAATTATAAAAAAGATTGAATATACCGAGGATTTAAATAAAACTGAAGAAAATAACAACAATAACGAAAATAAGATTAACGATAGAAATGTTTTTGATAAAGATAATTCTGAATGGCATCAAAATGCACCCATTCCTGATGTAAATATATATAAAGTTGTACCCAAAGAACCGATGCAGAAGAGTAAACCTGTGACTGAAAGAGGTCTTCTCAAGGTTATTTCAATGCTTACAAAGACTTTCAAGAAAATTATAAAGCAACATGGGGAAATTAAAGAGACACATAGTAGAATCAACGATATAAATGAAGAATTTAGAAAGAATACAGCTTCACTTGCCGGCAAATTTCAAGATTTTGATCTCAAATATTTGTATTTAATAAAACTTCACGATAAAATGAAAGAATTTGATTCTAATTTAGCGAGTCGCGAGCAATACTTCTTAAATAAAGAAAAAGAAATAGCGAAAGGTTTCAAAGAGTTTGAGAATCAACAGAAAAAGTTCTTAGTTCAGCAAAAGCAATTTTATAATATCCAGAAGTTGATGTTAGCACAAAATGAAAAAATCAACATGAAACAGAATTTGATAGCAAAAACTCAAAGTGAGATTTCGCATAGACAAAACAATTTCGCTAGAATACTTAAAAAAGCAAAGCAAATGTATACGGACAATAAAAACACTGTAATTACTAAATTAAGTTCTGGTATTTCTAGGCTAAAAGACGCTACACAAAAACCAAGCGAATCGGAATTTGCACAATCAAGTACTCCAGCCCCGGAGTCCACAACAGAATCAGTAAAAATAAATCTTTTTTCAATTCCGACGTCAAACAAAATACAACAAAATCCCGATGAATTCATATTAAGAGAAAAAGACGAGCAAGCAATAGATGATCTAGTTTATAAATATTACTTCAACAATACATTTATTGATAATTTTATGAAAAGTAAAATACTCAACGGTTTCATGAGTGACGGGGAAACCGGTGTCAAAAGACGCACTGCGAAAAACAAAAGAAATAATTTTGAAACAACAATATTATTACCCATTTTGGAAACTAACGAATCGGCAACGTACGGTCGCCATAGACAAAGGAGGTGGATTAACCGTCATTATTCAAGACATCAAAACAGAAGGAGAGAACACAAAAAAACAACTCCAGTTTTAACTGCCACTACCACAGATAAACCGAAAGTAGGCGTGCCTATACAAGTAAATATACCTTTAAATGTGATTGATAATTCTGTGAAAGAAAATAGCAATAAAAGTCATCCGTTTTTAACTATGGCTAGGAGTTTTTGTAATGAAATACATCAGAATACCAACCAACAAATGCTTAGGTGGTGCGTTGAAAAAGCGTTAAGAAAGCTCCAATTTCTTGGTAAGTTTTTATTTAAAACATTTTCAAAGTATATCGTTGCTGTCACAGTCTCTTTTTCCATCCAAACCTTACGATTTCACTTACCCTAGCTTCTACCGTCTTCCACGGTTTTCCACGGTCTTTTCATATTCCTTTAACTGAAAGAAAATAAGGGAAGATAATGAGAAAGAAAACAAAATATACTTCTTTTAATGGAATAAAGGGAAAACGAGCAGACAGATCACCTGCTGGAAAGTGACTACCGCAGCCTATGGACACCTGCAACAAGAAACACGAGTGCTTTACCGCCTTTTGACTGTCTTCCCCCGCTCTTACTAGGGAGAGCTGTGATGTTGAGCCCTGGTTACCTCACTCACTCGATGAAAAACAATGACAAAATTTGATGAACAGCGATTTACTGCGAGACAGTGGTATAGCTCAGCCAGTGGAGCTATACAACATAGCTCCGGTCGAGCCGGACCAAATACATGGCTTTCTTACGGAAATATAATTATACGTTTAGCTCTAGCAGTTTAGAGTCGCAGACGTAAATGATAATTTAAAAAAATTTTAGACGTAATTAAAATATCTATTATTTCCATATTAATACGTTACAGAAGAAAAAATGGTACACCAGCCACCAATACCTTACAATATGCCAACAGCAAGAGTCGGAATGAATGACGCAATGGACAATGCTAAAAAACCAATGAACAAAGATAAAAATATAAATGAACATATTGTTAAAAAGTATCTACCAAATGAAGCGATGACTAAAATCAACGGGATTCGTTCAGAAATTGGAGCTACCGATCATCCACTTTTTGATACTACAAGTAAGTATATCAGTAGCCATTTTGCGCATCCCTCATAAATAAAAAGCGCATTTCACATTCTACTAGAGTTCTCTGTGATTTAACATTTTTGTTTGTTAATTAAATTGTTTTGACGTTGTTCGCTAAATAACTTAAAATGTACGCGTTTGTGACTCATGAGTTGCAGACGTTCATGGGCGGCGATGGTCACTATCTACTGGTTTCTATCAGGTGACCCGTCTGCTCGTCTGCCATCTGTAACATAAAACAGTCTTCTTTTTTTGTTACGATTTCACGTGCATTCTATCATCATGAAATTTGTCGAACGTATAGAAAAGGGCATAGAGTATCTAATTCGTATTCGTATTAGTATAGTAGAAAATTTCTTTCTTGAATGACAAAAACTACATTCAGGTGTACAGTGGGAAAAAAATGGTATTATTTACTACAAAGGAACGTTTATTGCATGATTATGAGTAACTTAGTGATTTGATTTATCTTCCCTAAAAGGCGTAGATATAAATTTTTGTTGCTAATAACAATGCTATGTCACAGATTGATTACAATACGCTGTGATCCTTAGAAGCAGGACGTGGCTCTTGTGTTCAGTCTTTAGTCAGACGGTGTGTTAGGATCGCGGGTGTATTTCTCAGCCCGGGGTTAAATACCTTCTGCATACTTTTATGTACCTCTTCTAAAAATCTATGTACCTACGCCCGTACAATAATATTTAAAAAATTAGGAACACCTGCCAACCTGATGGGTTCTGAAATCAGTCAAAATCGTTTTTTCTTAATTTTCCCAGAAAGCTTAAGTATTTTATTTATTTAAACCTTTTTTCTGCAGGTACACAAAAGAGATACTAAATCTATTTAAATAATGCACTAAGCTACATATATTATAAGTTAAAAGTACCTACCTTATTCTTAAAATGACTGCACCAATTAATTTAGCACAATCTGAGAAATACACCCGCGTTCCCCATACGTCTGACGTATTTTTTCCATTCTTCTGCTAATTCCAGCATTCCTTCAACAGCTTCTCCACCAGTTCAGTTAACAACATTAACTCTGCAGACTTTCGAGACGGCATTCACAAATGTTCCAGCCGAATTTAAATTATCACCAGACTCGTTATATTTCCCAGGTATTTATAAATACATAGTATTTCCATTTTTGCCAATGATTATCCATTTCCCATATGTCCGTCTATATATCAGCACATCTAACCAAGTATCTTCAGATATACGGCATTAGTGTCGTTTTTTTATGATCGTGATAATATCAACAAACATATTTTTATTTCAGATAATGATGAATTGGAGATGAAATTAAAAGAATACGGTAAGATATTTTTAATGTTATTCGCCTGTTGTAATAACGTATTGTATGAAAAGCATATACAATGCGTTATCCGTGTGGTGACGGATTAAGAATACAGAGTGTCACCACCCCTATTCATCCCGTGGGTGTCGTAAGAGGCGACTACGGGAACAAACTACGGAGGACAACAGCACTGCAGAGAGAAGGAAAACTTGAAACAAACCCTAGAACAACCCGTCTGGCCAGCGTGGTATAGTAGGCCAAAACCTCCTTTCTAAGGAGAGGTCTATGTCCAACAGTGGACTAGTAAAGGCTGTTGATGTGATGATATGATGATAATAACCATACACCTATTAGACTGTTTATTAAGAGCGACTCATAGTGGAAAAATATAGGAATAAACGGACAGTATACTGAATTAATATTTATATTCATCCAAACCCTCTACTCTATCTATTAACACGAGGAAGCCTCAGAAAATTACACCAAAAAAAAATACATTTACAGAATCCTCTCTGACCTAGCGAAGGTTTAAACTTCTAATAAATTCTATCTGTAGTCTGATACAGTCCACGGTGAGGTCTTCTCGTAATCTCATGCGCAGAAGTCAAAATGTTGAAAGTTGATTTATGTTACAAATTACTTAGATTTGTCAGTAACGGTATCATCTCCTGGCCCGGTTTATATGGAATGGCTTCAGAAGATAAAGATATATATAGGTACTCAAGATGACAAGATGTTCGAAATTGGTTACCAGAATATACCGCAAAAGGCGGAAGACTAAATTTATCACTCTTTATATACAGTTGCGTTAAATCAGTATTTTATTTCAGAGTTACAACCAGACACCAAAGGAAACGTTTATTTTGAAGGCAGCGTCCACGCTAGTGATATAATAGGTAAGAATATTAAATGCGCTGTCAATGTGGTGACGGATTAAGAATACGGAGTGTCACCACCCCTATTCACCCGGTGGGTGTCGTAAGAGACGACTAAGGCAGCAAACTACGCAGGACAACAGCACTGCAAAGAGAAGGAAAACTTGACACAAACCCTATATCCACTTTCTGGTCAGCGTAGTATAGTAGGCCAAAACCTTCTTTCTAAGGAGGGACCTATTTCCAGCAGTGGACTACTTAAGGCTGTTGATGTTGATGATGATTTAATGAGGAATATTAACTACATACATACATACGCCTACGTTCCCGAAGCGTACTAAACGCCTACTTTTTGTCAAATTTAATTTTATTCCCACTGACGTAATAGAGAGAAAGTTTGCCCGTTGCACGAAAAAATCAAAGCTTTTAAAGCGTATTGTCAAGCATTTTACACGTGCAGTCTTTTGATCAGTTGCACGCAAAAGCCATTAGTGCTTTAAGGGTGAGGTAAAACAATGCCTTCAGGATGCTCTTAGGGCTTCATCGGCAGTGCCCCTAGCATGTTCGCCCATGCTCACACAGACGGTTTTGCAGCAATCAAAGCAAGCGGCTTCACAGCTGCAGGGATACGTGATAGTCCTAACCGTATTTTATTCATTGCAGACAGACATGACAGACCATAATTAATTCTGATATAAAGGTATTATTATTATCCCTTTAGACCCCTTTAGGGAATGAGATAAGAAGGAGTATATTAAAAGGAAAGATAGGAAGGCTATGTTAAGATAGGAATAGAAAGAAAGGAAGAAATGAATGTATTGGGAGTGTTAGCAGCAGCTCGAGCAAGTCAGGGTCACACCTGTTATACGAATCGGCATTATCCATCAAAAGCTGGAAAGTCCAAGTTCTCTAGCCGAAGAAGATCGGCAGGGTTTCTTGTCGTCATACTAAAAGTAGTTCCGAGACGGTATCGCGATAGGATCGTGAGCCTGAGTGGTCAAAACCCTTTTTACTTCACGTTAGGTTACGGAGTCCCCCAGATATCGACATACATCAGCGATGCCTGGTGGAGGTTTCTAGAAAGTTGTAACAAAAACTGACTGATTCATCAACGCAGATCCTGAACCGCTGAAGCTCTAAACTTGACATTTTGACAGCTGATGCTCTTTATGTTGTAAGCACACATTAAGAAAGGATTTTTGGAAATTTCACCCCTAAGAGGGTAATAACACGAAACAAGAAATATTGACGCGAGCGAAACCGCGGGCTACAGCTAGTATTTATTCAAGTTATATGGTTTTACTTACGTTTCTATTTCGGGGATGCCTTACGACAACCTTTTGTGGTAGAGAAAGTCGGCTGCCTCGTCATCAGCAGCCAGAATTCAGTCCTTCACTTCAGTAACATGATGTGGCAGATTGCCAAAGACTTTTTCAGCATCAAGGTTTGCATCTGCAAGCTTATTGAGACCCTGGCCTGATGTCATCCTTATCTGAATATATATAAAGAATATATATATCGACATTTACTGAATATATTTTTCTCGTAGCAGATGACAGTGAAAGTGGTGTGGATGACATCATGCCAGGGTTGGACAGCAATTCGCGAGTAGAAGTGGACCCTTTGGCGTTTGACCTGCAAGCTAAAAGACGAGCTGCTGTTAGAAAGTGAGTATGGAATGGATATTGAAATAAACTTTCGATGATGATGATGCTTTTTACCAAGTTACTGAAGGTCTAAACCCCAACTCTCTTAACTCTGGAGAGGGGGCAATCAAAGAGCGTCACTGCATTTGTGTCTTTCGAGCTGCAGTTGGTTATGGACAGCGGCAGTCACCATCAGTCCATCATACTATCCTCTGCTCACTATAGCTATAGCTATGGTCTTGAAACCTGATATAATTTATTAGGCCCGGGATCCAATTTGGTCGAATTTGGGGCCCTTACTTTTGGCCTTCCTTCTGTGAGATAGGAGTACTGCCGTCTTTCAAAGCCAATGGTGGATGTCATCGTCACACTAAGAAGCTGTTGACAAGTACAAACCTTCAAGTGCCCACATTATTGCTCACCACCATGATTTTCGCATTGATACTTCTTTTCATTGTACCTTGGCAAACTTCAAAGTACAATTAAAAGGATACAACCATTTTGCCACGTAATAAGGGGTGTGGCTGCTCGGCGCATTGCCATATTTTATGTTTCTACGGAGAAACAGAATTTCCTAGAGACTAATCCCGCGGATTCTTGCAAACCCGCCGTTCTATAACAGATTACAGTTGGGCTAGAAAACTATTAGTAGGTACCTACTATCCAATGTGGGCTGTATTTCTTTTTACAAGAGAGCGCCGGAGGGTCATGTATGTATGTATGTATTGTCACGTGTGGATATATGTGTGTATATTTCTTATGAAAGCTATTTAGCCTAAACGGCTTAATGGATTTTAGCTTGAGAGTTGTGGTTATATTAGTCCCAATTGTGAAAATGACACTGGGTATATCAAATTAAGAAAAAATAAAATGCGATTTGACAAAATTTGAAATTTCCAACGTTTGTTATTCTTCAAAATATATCTTATCGAGTGGGGTACCAAAATTAAGTCTTTCATATATGTCTTAGAAAAATATATACAAGTTTATAATATTTAAATGTAATTTGGGATAAGAAATCGCGCTTTTCAAGACACTTTTTGCCTTGTCGAATTCGTCTGCGGTATTTCCGGACCGGTACAACCTTCAACCCTACAAGAAAAGAGCGTATGTAAAAGGCTGGCAACGCGCGTGTGACTCCTGAGTTGCAGGCGTTCATGGGCGACGGTAATCACTTCCCATTGGGTGACCCGTCTGCTCATTTGCCCCCTCTTAGATAAAAAAAAGGAGACAGCTAAAAAAACTTTGTTTAAATAATTACTTGTTCATCTATAGAGTTGTTTATGAGTTCTTCTATTTAGGATAAGTACCTCTATGAGAACTTGGATTGGCAATAGTCTAGTTATACAACTGATGACTGAAATGCTTGTTGGAATTTCTGTTCATCTCTTTTTCTTCTTTGCTCACCGAGTCAGACAACTATATGATATGCTTTTTTACAGACTGAATGAAAGACTCAAGAAAACACTTCTCTGAGCCCGAAGCATCAAGTTTTTTATGAAAGTATTGTTAGAATTTTGGAGGCAGCTTAGAGGCGGTGGAGCGGAGTAGAATAAGATAGAGTTGAGATACGAAAAATAACTAGAAACATGCATTTTATCGTAACTGTATAATTAATTTATAATTTTTTAAAGAAATAAATATAAAAACACGAATAATGTTACTAATGTTAAATGTGTATTTTCTTTAATTATTTCTTCATCGCCAGATAATAATTAGTTGAGTGTCTCAGAGGGTAGTTATGGGACAGTTAATTTCTTTTACTACCCTCTAAGATCAAAAGTTTTTCTAAGGTATTAATAAAACAATTGTTGTAAGGATTAAAAAATATAACAAAGAACAAAAAAATGCAATTTTTGTATATAATGTAAAAAAAATATGTCTTGTATTAAAGGATTTGTGAAATGTTTTGATCTGTTTTATTTATATTGACCGCCCTTTTTCCGGGGGCAGTCTGTGTGGTGACGGATTAAGAATACGGAGTGTCACCACTACTATTCATCCTGAGGGAGTAAACTACGCAGGACAACAGCACTGCAAAGAGAAGGAAAACTTGAAACAAATCCTATACCAATCTGCCTGGCCAACGTGGTAGAGTAATATAAAACCTCCTTTCTAAGGAGAGACTAGTCTAGTTTATATGTCGAACAGTGATCTATAAAAGGATGATGATATAATTCTTAAATACCTACATTATTTGTTATAAATAAATAACACAGAGACATAGAACAAATGATTGTGTTCATTACACAATTTTTGTCCTGGGTGGGAACTGAACTCACGACCTCTACGACGAATATTATGATATCACAGCAGTCTAGTTACAGCAGCACAGGTTCTACCTAGTTTGAGATCAGATGGCTGTGGGTTTGATGTGTCAAATTATTAACAGACTTACGAAAGTTCATCAAAATCGGTTCAGCGGTAATTGATTCCCCATTCAAACTTCCTTCCCCCCTTTCGCACCCTTTAAGGATGATTTCTGGGATAAAAACTATTCTATGTCGTTTTCCGGGACTCAAACTATATCTATACCAAATTTCATGAAAATCGGTTGAGCGGTTTAAGCGCGAAGAGGTAACAGAGAGACAGATAGATACACTTTCAATATTATATAGATACTAGCTGACCCCGCAAACGTTGTTTTACCATGTACATTTTTTCAAAAAAAAATGCCAAAATCAAGAAAAAAAATTAGGGGTATGAAAAATAGATGTTGGCCGATTCTCAGACCTACCCGATACGCACACAAAATTTCACGAAAATCGGTCGAGCCGTTTCGGAGGAGTTCAACCACGCACACCGTGACACGAGAATTTTATATATTAAAAAGATGCAATAACACTACTTTAAACTAAACAAAGACCATACGAAATCTTATAGTAAAAGGGAAAGGAAAAGTTGTAGAAGGCGTCAATTAACTGTGAACAGTAACAGTTTTTAAATCTGTTACAATACAAAAAAAGGCAGATAGACAAAGCATTCGGTGTTAAGCATTTCTAACGTTGCTTTTCATCGAGGTGATTGATATTGCCGTAGCCCCTCCATCATCATCATCAACAGCGTTCAATAGTCCCCTGCTGGACATAGATCGCTCCTAGGAAAGGAAGTTTTGGCCCACCATACCACGGTGGCCAGACGGGTTGGTATAGAGTTTGATTTGATTTAAGTGGGTCACGCATTCATTGTAATCTTATATATAAAATTCTCGTGTTACAATGTTCGTTCCCGTACTCCTCCGAAACGGATTGACCGATTCTCATGAAATTTTGTGTGCACATCGGGTAGGTCTGAGAATCGGCCAACATCTATTTTTCATACCCCTAAATGGTAAGGGTGACCCATCCCTAATTTTTTTTTGTTTTGCAAACGTTTGCCGGGTCAGCTAGTAAAATTATATTTAAATCCATACTAATATTATAAATGCGAAAGTGTGTCTGTCTGTCTGTCTGTTAGCTCTTTACGCTGATGCGCTTTAGATGCAATTTTCTATTGAGATAGATTGAGTCCCGGGAAAGGACATAGGATAGTTTTTGTCCAAGAAATCATCCTTTAAGGGGTGGAACATTTGTATGGCGAATCAATAACCGCTGAACTGATTCAGATGAAATTTGGTATGGGAATAGTTTGATTCTTGATAATGGACATAGGGTACTTTTTACAGCGATAACCGACATCCAAGCAGGCGGAGCCGCGGGCAAAATGTTGTAATAATTATAGCTTAATATGAAAATATAAAAAATGCACTTTGAAGTAGATTAAAAAGTAGAAAATAGTTACACTCTCCTAGTCCTCTCCTAGTCCATCATTACCAAATCCAATTTGTTCGACTCGTCGCGAAACGAATTATATGAATGCAATTTCGAGGAGTTTACAACTCAAACTCAAACCCACAGCCGTCTGATCTCAAACTAGATAGAACCTGTGCTGTTGTAAACCCCTCGAAATTAGATTCATATAATTCGTTTCGCGACGCCAATCAAGAGTTTCACCATCTGCCTCTTGGCGCCATCATCGGATTAACTCCAAGGTGCTCAGTTATAGTATAATCATCTAAGCCACATATACATAACCACACCTCGTACATCTCACACACGGCCGTCTGATCTCAAACTAGCCTGTGCTGTGGTAACCAGACTGCTAAACATACTTATATATTTCTAAATATACATACATATTAACACGCTTGTGTTAATATTTTTATGTATGTATGTAACTGAATCGTCGAACGTGATTTTGACTGAATTAACTAAAAACTTAACACACTTATCAAGGACCGATGGAAATACAATAATTTCATGAATTTGGTTGTTTATCCTGATCAAGATCTTTAAGAAGGCTTTTTCCATCCCTAAAAATGCAACAGTGTCTTTTGCTACGTATTAAGAGGTGTGTCACATCAACAGCCTTTAACATTCCACTGCTGGACATAGGCCTCTCCTTAGAAAGGAGGTTTTGGCCTTCTACACCACGCTGGCCAGACGGGTTGCTATAGGGTTTGTGTCAAGTTCCCCTTCTTTTTGCAGTACTGGTGTCCTGCGTTGTTTTGCAGCCTTAGTCCGCTCTAACGACACCCACGGGATGAATTGGGGTAGTGACATTCCGTATTCTTAATCCGTCACTCCCTTTAAGAATGATTTCCGGGATAAAAAAACTATCCTATGTCCTTTCCCGGCACTCAAACTATCTCTATAGCAAATCTGTCTGTCTATTACCTCAATAGACAGACAGGCAGCAATATTTTCAAATTTATAATACTTGTATTTATTATTTCCTACTTTTTATTTCGGATAGCTACAAAAGCGTATTTATTTAAGTTTTTAAAACTATAATTTACTATAGATAAATAACCGAGACACAGGACAAATGATGGTGCTCATCATACCGTTCTTTGTCCTGGGTGGGAATCGAACCCACAACGTCTGGTTTAGCAGTCAGGTTCACTAACCACTAGACCAACAGGGAGGTCACGTTCGTGTATGCACAAAATTATCAACACTCAATCTCTTATCTACAAGCACAAAACTTGCTATCAAAATCGGTGTCGTTATTCAACAGTTTTGTGACATTCACGGGTACAGAAGATGCATTTATAAAGATATTAATTCTTGTTTTGAAACCCAACCACTGTAGCAACAACAAGCCATGTTAGTTTAGTTAGGCCTAAATAGCGCTGCGTCACAAGTCGAAGAAAACAACTTATTTTACCAATATACGCCATCTTACTTTTCGTTATTTAAACACACACACACAATAATAGATGATAACCGACTCTTGTCTAAAAAAGGCTGTTTTTGATTGATATGATTCAAGGCAACGTAAATTTCATATCAAACTTTTCTAAAAAACCTGTGAAAACAAAATGGCATCCGGCGATAAGGGGTTTGTTTATTAAATCCGACTCATTCGTGAGCGAACTGTTAGCGGTGAAACAATTCTTAAAAGTAAGTAATTTCATATTGTAACACTTTTGTTTATCGTCCTTTGGTGCTCTTTTGTTTCTTTTTCCTAAACAGCTGTCAGTTTTCGCGCCAGAAACCAGAGAAATAATAAATAATTCTAAATATTCGTTTATTCTCTATGACAAATCATGTTACTTATTAACCGACTTCAAAAAGGAAGAGGTTCTCAATTCGATTGGTATTTTTATGTATGTACACCGATTACTCTGAGATTTATGATCCGATCTACGTGATTCTACTTTAGTTTGATGCGGAATAGTTGCCATTTGGTCCCATAAAAATTTAACATAGTTAGGCCCAGTAGCCAAACCCTCCTTTCTAAGGAGAGGCCTATGTCCAGCAGTGGACTAGTATAGGCTGTTGATGAGGCCCAGTAGTTTTCATTTTATGAACATTTTTAATGAATATATTTTAATATCTATAATAATAATGACACCTAGTTATAATTTTGCAATTGTTCTGGATTCATTTTCTAAGTACTTTACAGATAAAAGTACTACGATAGGGAAATAGAATCGAAATGAAATGTTATAGGTATAACCTGATAACCTCTTTTATTTAACTTTAAAAAACAATGACATATCTACGTAACTGTAAAAAAGTAAGATATTTGTATAAAACGACAGTAATTAGGAATTCATTTAATTGATACATTCATTGGTCTTGATATGATTTCGTTTTATTTTACCTATTTTGCTCCAGATTTTAATCTCAAAACATGATTTTCAAGTCGGCCATTGTTATTCAGTTCTTTTAGGTTTTTTTTCCTGTACAAACATACTTAATACTTTATAAGATGACAACTTATTGTTCTATCTTGAGTATGTAGTCGGGCCTATTGGTCCGGTGGTTAGTGACCCTGACTGCTAAGCCGAAGGTTGTGACAAATATTGTGTGATGAGCACGGTAATTTGTTCTGTGTCTGGGTGTAATTTATCTATAATATGTACGTATTTGGAAATACTCTGTCTAGTTTGGGAACAGACGGCCGTGTGTGGGATGTATGAAATTAATACTTACCATTTTTAATTAACATCCGTGTGGTGATGGCTTAAGAATACAGAGTGTCACCATCCCTATTCATCCCAACTAAGGGAGCAAACTACGCAGGACAACAGCACTGCAAAGAGAAGGAAAACTTGAAACAAATGCTATACCAACCCATCTGGCCAGCGTGGTATAGTAGGCCAAAACCTCCTTTCTAAGGAGAGGCATATGGCAATAGACTAGTAAAGGTAGATGATGATGATGATTTAATTATTAAATAAAGTTGTAGGATAAAATTAATGAATTTGTAAGAGTCGCAGAGTGCTTTGTCGCCCATAGAGAAGAATAAAAGAAGAAGATTGAATTGAATGAATGAACGATTGGGAGGAAGGGTTGTCGGTGACGCAGCTGTATTACTCCGCTGGAGCCAATCGTGTCGAAGCTTGGCTCTAACTATTGACGATTCATTGTTCATTTTTGTTTTCAGAACAAACAATTACTCAAAGGAGGAATCATATGACACGATGCGATCACGACGTTGTCTTCTACAGAGTGTTCTGCGTCACCCTCCTGGCCATCGCGTTTACATTCACCATCATATTGACTAACGTGTTCATTGATATCGATGGGTTACTCGCAGGCAAAGGTAACACAAATAATATCATCATCATCATCAACAGCCTTTAACAGTTCACTGCTGGATATAGGCCTCTCCTTAGAAATAAGGTTTTGACCTACTATACAACGCTGGCGAGACGGGTTGGTATAGGGTTTGTTTCAAGTTTTCCTAACACAAATAATATAACAAAATTAAATTGCAGTTTAGTATAAGAGAAAAACAAAATTAAAGAATAAAGGAAAACTTGATACAAACCCTACGCCTCTCCTTAGAAATATAACAAACAAAATAAAACATAGTGGACTGCAGAATCTAAATCTCGCGGTTCAGAAAATGTTACAACGCCAACTATCGCGCCTAAACTTTAACATTGTACAAAAGTGTGACCCACCTGACCACATCAACAAAGATAATAATAAAATATACTTTGCAGATAAACATAGAAGCAGTGACGGACCCAAATCGGATATGATTCGTGAAGATATCACCTCTGAACCTTTTAACGATGATGATATGAATTACAGAGATAGTGATGATTCTTACCGAACCAAAAGATCCATAGGTAAGAATTAATCCATATTCAAAATTATTTTTTAAGCTTAGGGGTAAACGAACAAACGAATCACCTGATGGTAAGTGACCATCGCCTCCCATGAACACCTGCAATTAAAAAGCATCCCCATTAAAATTAGGGAGGAGCTCCGGTACCCTCACACACTTGAGTGAAAGCAACGAAAAAATTATTTCACCGGTTGTAATGTTGACGAAAAAATGTTTCAGAGACCCAAAACTTCTTATTCCACATAAAGAACCCAAAAATAAAAAATATTCTCACCAGTCGATTGGAGACTCTATTAGAAGCATTAGATGCTGAAGAACTACCACAGAACACAAAAACAGAGCAGACCAGAGAAAAGGATGAAATACAAGAAGTTCCACCAGATCATGTAGCTGTAGCAGAAGAAAGTAAAGTGCAAGATGATATAATTAAGAAGCGAAAAGAAGAAAACATGTTACATTTGACAATGCACAATGTACTGCTGCAAGGTATTATTGGGCATATGAACTTGAATGAAGTTTATAAAAGAGTTAACACACTAATGAAGACTATGGATGAAGAACAAAAAGAGCAGACAGGTATTGTAATGTCGGCAGTTTATAAAGTTATCTTTAGGCCAAAGTTAGGTTAGTAACCTTGAAATGACATGGTCCGGGTTCTATCCAGAGTAGGGGCGCCTTAGGCTTTGAGCAGAAACACAATATAACCCTTTGTACCCCTTGATTTCCCACCTTGTGACCAAAACAAAAGGCCAAAAGTTGTGCAAATTTATTAATTTTGTATAAAAATATAAGATTATTTTGTAACTTGAAAACCCATTTATCGGTTATTTAATTAAAGATCCAGACTATATAATAATATAGATGTACCTAGGTATACGTATCTGTATAATATACACAGCGAAAATGATGATAATGATTTATGTTACAATAGGTAAAGCAAAAAAAAATGTACCCCTTATTGCAGTTTGATAAAGAAGTAGAATGAACGTAGAAGAAGTGAACCAAAATAAAATCTAAAGATAAAATTTAACATATATGTAAAATTTAACATAAAGAGGTCCAGTATATATTTGGACCTGTCGTGGTACAAAAATCAAGATAGTTCAGGTTATACTGGCCTGTGAAATAAAACAAGACATTCGGAACGGGCCAAATTCAACCACCAAGCGATCATCAGTATAAATAAATCCACTTTTTATTTTACAGTCAATGAAAGATCAGAAGAAAAATCAATCAAAACTCAGCCATCAGACGTAAAAAGTTTATCAAAATCATCACTGGATGACAGATTGGTCGCAGAATTGATCAAATGCAACGATTTGCAAGAGCAGATATTATCAAGTGCAGTGAAGCAGGTTGCCAAACAGGAGAGCTTAAAATCACAGAGGGCTAAGTTTATTGAAGGACCAGAACCGAGTACAAAGGAGCCTGAAGAAGAATCCGAAGTGAAAGAAGAAGAAAGTGTATCTGTTAAGGCTAACACTGAAGATACCACTCAAAGGAATTCTGATGTTGCCGTAAAAACAAAATTAGGTAATTTATTTGTTTGCAGTTCGCGTCTAGATCTACCGTTTGATCTCAAACTAGGCAGAGCCTGTACTATGGTAACCAGGCTGCTGATTAATATACTTATATATACTATATATACTCAATACATACATATGAGGGATAAAAGACACCCTAAACTTAATACAATAGACACTTACGGAGTACTACACTACAATACGAGTATACTCGTATGCTCAAAACTAAGGTGTTTCCTAAATTTGCTTCCACATACTACATTTTAGGCTATTTTTAGTAATATATTTGTGCCGTCTGAACTAGTTGAGACTGTGACTCAGCAATTGAAAAAAGATCGTGCTCATCACACAATTACTTGTCCTGGGTAAATCCAGAGTCAGAGACACCCAGAATCATCAACAACTAAACCAACAGCCTCGTAGGTTGGTGTTTACAAACACTGAATCACATGAACATACATAATGCGATATTTACTATTTATTTCATCAACAGGACCTAATCTTTTAATCAAGACAACTGTGGACATCAGGTCGATTGAAAATGAACGCAATGATACGTAAGTAAAGTTCAATCCATACTAATATTATAAAGGCAAAAGCGTGTCTATCTGTATGTTACCTCTTCACGCTTAAACCGCTCAACCGATTTAGATGAAATTTGCGACAGAGATAGTTCGAGTCCCGAGAAAGAACATAGGATGGTTTCAGTCGGCACCGGCGGGCCGGCTCAACCGGAGTGATAATACGGCCGGGCCTCACAGGATTATGGTACAGGGAGACACACGAGCAGACAGGTCACCTGATGGTAAGTGACTACCTGGGTGGTAAGTTGGGCCTCCGGTAAACTCACTTACTTGATGAAAGGTAACGTAAAAATGCTCAACACCGTACGAAAATAGCGATTACTTCGTCAATTTATTCGTAACAATTATTCTGTTCCAGAATCTCAAAGGAAAACGTACATGGTATAGTTGAAGTTATATATAATGGAAAGTCAATGAAATTTACAAAACCTGACAAAGAAGAGCCAATCGTAGAAAAGGAAACGAATAACATTGTAAATGAGAAATTCACAAATACCAGAGTTGATACAGTTTCGGCAGAATCTACATCAGCATCAAACCCCTCAGATGATGTCCAGACATTGAAAAAAAAACCCAAAATCTACCTCAACAAGGTCATTGCCGAATATCTCAAGCAGTTTTCAAGTGATAATAAAGATTTATCTGAAGAAATTAAAGAACACATCGAAACTAAGCGTTTAAAACGTCATGTCAAAATAAAATTTAATAACGAAAAGTCAGGGACACAAGCTTCTAATATGGAAATAACACCAACTAAAAAAGACACTGAAGACGATGAATTGTATGTGGAGATTGAAACACATTTTGATAGTAAAGGAATGAAAGGTGAAAGAAAAAAGAAATTAATCAGGAGTTTGATAGATAAAATACAAAAAGCTATACATTCTGAGGACAATAAAAAAGTAGGGCCTGAAACCACAAATAAAATGTTAAAGGACAAACCATTACATGTCAAAAAACGTATGCAAAACCCATTGGAACATAAAAATCAGGGGTCAAGTAACAAATATAATAATTTGGTTCCTGTCAGTAAAATAGTACACCGACAGTTGAATCCTATTATTGTAACGCAAACTTTCCCAGGTGAAAGTACTAACAATGGACCCAATATGAGAGATAGATCAGGCGAAGCTTGGAAGAAAGAAATTGTAGGACCAGCATTTTTGACTGCAACAAAATCTATTAATTCAGCAGAGATGAGTGAAGTAGAAGTGGACTATAATAGAGTACTTGACGTGAATGGCATACCACAGAGATTACAAAAACCTTTGAATACAGATATGAGTGATGACATTGAAAAACAAAATTCATATTTTGATTTAGGAAATATGAAATTCTTTATAAAGGATATTGATGGTTCTGGATTTTCTATTGGTTTCAATCAATATGTAGACGAAGCTCCAGATCCTGAAACCATTAAACTTTTTACGGGTTTAGAAAACGTTATTAACACTTACCACCAGGACGTTGATCAGGTACAAGAGGGACAAGGTGAGAGCTTAGATCCTCATGACGACCAGACTACTAATGGTGCAAAAAATAATCATATAATTGTCAGGAGATCTGTAAACCATCAACACGATTATCATTCAAATGAGTACAAGATTATCTATGATGGTAATTTTCTCCCATTTAATGACTATAAAGATATTTATGAAAGAGAGAGCTCTAAGCCAAATATGGAATATAAAGAAAACCAATATCGAGATTCGCCATTGATTGTTGATGAACATATATTTGACAAAAATTTAAAACCTGCTGAAATATTTGGACTAGCTAACCTCTTTCGTAAGAAACGAGCTTTAAAGGTCAAAAAAATATCAAACTTAAAAAGCAAAATTAAATTAAACAGATACTTGAACACTAAAGCTATGTCTACTAAAAGGATATTCTTGAAAAAAAAGAGGCATAAGAGACAAATTAGTAAAATAAGAATCATCGCATCAGATATGCCTTACAAACGTTCAAGCGATGGAAACATTTTTCTAGTTTCTGGTGAAAATGTATTCGCTGATAGAGCTATTGTTAAAGATGTTGAAGCAGCGGAAGCTGATAGTGAAAAGAATGAAGATTCAGACTACACACTTTACCAACCAGAGGACGTAGGTGAATCTCTCTACAAAGAGTTCGAAAAAAAGTCTAGGAAAAATAACTTGATGTCCAAGTACCCTCACGTGTTTATGGAAGAAATTTCAAAGTCGAAAGAAGATTTTTCCCCCGCACATAGCTTGTTATTTCATAAGCTGCCAGACTACAAACGATCTCCCACATATAACATAGATAGTGAAAATGCGGATGATAATTTCATGACAGATACATCTAGCACAATACAACCGGAATCTGAAGTTACGATGGCACCATTCGACAAAATTGAAGGCGTACACGACATTCTTGCAGCCTTACAAGCTCCTAAAACAAACTACAAAGTTACTGTAAAGGTAATACCAAAAAACCAGACCAATAATATGCATCCAGGATTTAAAGAAATACATACCAGTATCAATAAAATATACAACAAAAATGGTCTAACGTATAGTTCTTTAGTTAATGTATCAGAAATATCAAATATTACTCATGTCCACGTTAATAAAACTGAACATAAAGCACCAGATTATACCAAAGCCGCTGATGAATATTTAGCAAAACAGTTTAAGACACAGCATGAAAAGATGCAAACACTATTAAAACAACATCAAAAACTAATAAATGAACAACTATCAAAATTAAATAAAGAAAAAAGTAATTTAGAATCAATATTGATTGATGAAAATAACACAGTGGTGCCACATTTTGATTACTTTGATTTGATGACGCCTTCAAAGTCGCATAAACTTTTACATATGAGTAGAGATGAGGTCAAAAAAATGGCTGATGAAATTCTAAAAAATAAAAGAAAAGATATTTTTAATACCGAAACAACCACAGTAAAGACTACGCCTATTACGACTTCGACCACTACGATTTTGAACACACCATCAACGACTACTGAACACCCTGAACCTATAACTATTAAAACAACCATGTCAACACACCCATCAATTTTCACGGAAAAGTTAAAAAACAATATACTCCACACTATTGAACGTAACGAGAAATTAACAGATCAAATATTAAGGAAAGTCGATAAAAACACAGAAATACTACAATCATTTCTAACCAAACTAACCAATACAATAGACAATCAAAAAACTGATTTAAGGGCTCCTACGACAACAAAAGAAGGAGTAACTGAACTGTATATACCAAAATTTGAACATATGCAACCGTTTTCGATAGACTGGAGACAGCACGGAGCAATTCCTTATAATCCGAGTTTGATAAAAAAAAACAGTTCTCACATATCCATACCATTCTTGTACGCTTACCAACATCCATTAATGCCATTAAAAGGGAATTCTCCAGTAGCTAGTGTTGTATACCACGGTACGATCCACACGAATTCTTTACACTTAAAAGATGTTGCAGTGGAGAAAGAGAAGATCCAGCCGACTCACAAAATTCCGACTTCAAAGAATCAAACAAGATTTTTTCTTGACGATGTAGAAAGTGATTATAAAGTAATACCTGTGCAATCTGTACATAATATAGAAAAACCACATATATTCAACAACATAACGACCACATGATAATATACCTATTACTTATTTAATTTGTATACTTTTTAATGAAATAAAGGACTTCTAAATATATATATTTTTACTAACCCTGTTCTCTTTATGATATAGGGGTTACCGAGCTGACTGATCAACTAATAGTAAATTTTGCCATTCTTTAGGTAACTTCTTCAACTATTCTTAGCTATACATGGAAGAGCCATGTTTCGGCAAAAATGGGCAAGCTCGTGATGGGAGGTGTTCGGCAACAGCTGATATTAAGAAATCCGGACCCTTCCTTACTTCACACGCAGGGCGGCATGAGGCGCTGGGTTCACCGGCAGCGAATTGGGTCCGACCCTCTACAAACCCGTCTGGAGAGCGAATATCCTATCTAGATATAATTTCTATTTAGATATAATGAAAGTAAATCAGTACGCTAAAATGGATGGTCTCTGGACATGTGTTAGAGTGGATACCGTGATTAGGCAAACGTAGTGTAGGGCGCCCTGCGGCACGATGGACCGTAGACTTGAGAAGAATTGCTGGCAGCGGATGGATGCATACTGCACAAGTCCGGTATAGTTGGAGCTTCTTGGTGAAGACCTTTGTTAGGCAGTAGACTAATGGTGATAGGCTGATGAAGATGATTATGATCTTTCATAAATTATAACCATTAAAGAAGTGATTAGATAACAATGTGTTTTTAAACATTGCATTTCACTTATTTCAGGCCTTCGTTTAGGTATAGAATTATTGGCGGACACTCACTGCATATTATTAATAGATAATGCTAGAAATCTAAGTAATAAAACACCACATTTCTACATTCTAATGAATCACTAATAGTTAATTTAAACAAGTTAATTTCAAACCCCAAATTTGAGCATTTCTCAAGTAATTGAGTGATTAGAAAACAATTAGTTACGATATATAAATTACGTCAGCAAGAAATGACAACGCTTAGTTGAGTGTGATTCGGTTTAAAATGAAGCATTCTGTGGTGAGTATTTAATTTTATATACATTGCGTATTTGTTTGGTAAATTTTGATAATATTTGATAAGAATATACGCTGTGTACAGCGAAAATAATAGTGACGGAAAGATTTGAATAATAATTAATTTGTTTATATAATTATATTGTAGATATAGTAAATATTTGTATTTGTAGGTATGTATAATTATATAATGTATATTTATTTATTTTTACACTACGTTAGCTTCAATACGCCTAGACTACCCACTGTTTCTTCTCATCTACTGTCGATTTGTCCATCCAAAGGTTGCCTGTGAGAGATTGCTATTAGCAATAGGGCCGCCCATTGTACATATCCATCTGTAATATTTAACCAACTTACTGTAATTGGTGTACAATAAAGAATATTCTATTATATTAAGGAAAAATATGTTTGTCCGTGTGGTGACGGATTAAGAATACAGAGTGTCACCACCCCTATTCATCCCGTGGGTGTCGTAAGAGCCGACTAAGGGAATAAACTACGCAGGACAACAGCATTGCAAGAAGAAGAAAAAGGAAACAAACCCTATACCAACGCGTCTGGCCAGCGTGGTATAGTAGGCCAAAACCTCTTTTCTAAGGAGAGGCCTATGTCCAGCAGTGGACTAGTAAAAGCTGTTGATGACAAAAATTACTTGACCATAACGACGTTACTGTAGGTGACTCAAATATCTGCTGGACGAGGCGGGTAAATTGTTTGAGAGGGTTCTCTCTGCCCGCATCGTCCGGCACCTCAACGAGGTGGGCCCCGATCTGTCGGACGCCTAATTTGGTTTTCGGGCGGGGCGTTCGACAGTCGACGCTATTTTGCGCCTGAGGGCCGTCACCGAAGAGGCTGTGAGCTGTGGCGGCGTGCTGTTGGCGGTGTCACTGGCCATCGCCAACGCATTCAATAGTCTGCCATTCAGCTGCATCAGGGAAGCACTCCACTATCATGGGGTGCCAAAGTACCTGAGGCGGCTAGTGGCAGACTATTTAGAGGAGCGTACCTTCGTGTACGAGGACCGAGATGCTAATTTGAGGTGTCGGCCCATGTCGTGCGGTGTTCCACAGGGGTCTGTTCTTGGACCCCTCTTGTGGAACATAGGGTACGACTGGGCCCTTCGCGCCGATTTCCCCCCCAGGCTGTGTAATCTGTTACGCAGACGATACCCTGGTGACAACCCGGGGGGCAAACTTCCAAGAGGCGGCGCGCCTGGCCATAAGGGGAGTCTCCCTGGTGGTCGGGCGCATTGAGGCGCTGGGCTTATGGGTGGCCCTAGATAAGACGGAGGCCCTGTTATTTCATGGGCCCCGTCGTGGTCCACCCCCTGGCGCCTCAATCGTGGTCAACTCGGTCCTCGTACCGGTTCGGGCCCAGATGATATATCTAGGCCTGATCCTCGACGGGAGGTGGCTCTTCGACGAGCACTTCCGACAGCTTGCTCCAAAGCTGGTCGGCGCTGCGTCTGCCCTAGGGCGACTTTTGCCCAATTTGGGTGGACCCAGCGTCGCGACAAGACGGCTGTACACGGGGGTTGTCCGGTCAATGGCACTATAAGCTGCACCGGTGTGGGCGGCGGCTCTGACCGCCCAGAATAGGGCACGCCTATGGCGCCCTCAGAGGGTAATGGCGGTCAGAGCCAAACGCGGTTACCGCACCGTGTCGACGGAGGTGGCGTGCGCGTTGGCCGCAACTCCCCCGTGGGATTTGGAGGCGGAAGTGCTCGCCGAAGTTTATCGGCGAGTGACTGACTCCTGACTGACTGATGTGCGCGAGTGGCGCGAAGCCGCTCGCCGAGCCACGATGGCCCGTTGGTCGTTCCGGCTGGAGACTCTACGCGCTGGCTTCGCCGCCGTGGAGGCTCTCCAGCCGGTCATCGCCGAGTGGGCAGGGCGGCAGCACGGGACCTTTACCTTCCGGCTGACGTGGGTGCTTTCCGGGCACGGTTGCTTCGGAAAATACCTGCACTCGGTCGCTAGGAGGGAACTGAGTCCCGCCTGCCACCACTGCGACTGCAGTGAGGACTCGGCCCAGCACACGCTGGCGGTCTGCCCCGCATGGGCGACGCAGCGCCGGGCCCTCACTGCAGTCATCGGAGTGGATCTCTCGCTACCGGCCGTAGTACGCTCCATGGCCGGTAGCGACAGTTGTTTTACCGCGGTCGCAACCTTCTGCGAGGAAGTAATCTCGCAGAAGGAGGCGGCAGAGAAGGCCCGGGAGGACGACCTCCACTCGGACCCGATCCGCCGCCGGCGAACCGAGCGGCGGACACCGCCTCATGCCGCCCTGAGTGTGGCCGCGGGTGGACGGGGTGGGTTTCCCCTCCACCCGCATTAGTTTGGCCAGCCGCGAGGCGGCGGCGTCCGCGTGTGCCGGACGTCGCCTAAAGAGAGGAAAAAATTTTGAGACGGAGCCCGCACCAGGAGCGGGCTGGCGCTAGGAGGGGTCCGGATGTCTTAATAACAGCTGTTCCCGGATCCCTCCTATTACAGGCGCAGAGTGGCACACCGTGTGGTTTTACTCGGTCCGAGTCCGACACACCACCCCGCAGCAAACCCCGGTGGGGTGACGGTCCGAGGGGATTTCCACACGTTAAAAAAAAAAAAAAAAAAAAGGTGACTCAAATATCCGAATAGTCTTTAAAAGATTCAGCTGAGTATCGTTAATTTGCACCTAAGAACTGAAGAGTTGGACCACACGGGAAGCACCAGCTTTCAAATAAATAAAGAATCATCAAAATCGGTTACGGTACGCCTACATTCAACAGCACGAAAAGGTACGTTTGTGTATTTTAAAGACCCAATAGTTAGTGGTTAGTGGTAGTTAGTGACTGGAGGTCTTTTGCTCGATTTTCACCCACGGCAAATAATTTTTTGATGAGCACAATCATTTGTTCTGTGTCTATGTGTAATTTATATAAAATATGTATGTATTTAGAAATATATAAGTATGTTTAACAGCAGTCTGGTTACCATAGTACAGACTCTACCTAGTTTGGGATCAGACTGGCGTGTCTGAGATGTGTAAAGTTATTAATATTATTTTACGGCACGAAGTCATAGGTCCGTTTTTCCCAACCCCCAATGTGACCTTAGATGTTCTTTGATCCTAATATGTACTGTATCTTGTTTCAGATAATACTATCACTAATTTTATTAGTGATACCCTTTAACTACGGATTTTCACTGCCCAGGATTGATGTGAGTACCTTTATCTAGACGTGCTCACCTCTTTGGGTTATCACTTCGCTGATGATAACAGCAGTATGTCAGTCAAGGACCGAACAAAACCATACCGTTTTCTGAAAAACCATAATTATAATTTTCACTGAGGCTTTGATGAATGAATAACTAATGAGACTAATCTAATAAAGCTACAAAGCTATTATTAGCTTCATAGCCTTTAAAGATTAGCCAGCTAGGGGAATCCCCGTGATAAGTGGCAATAGCAGCATAGTCAGGCAGACAAGTCACCTGATGGTAATTACCGCAGCCCATGGACACATGCAACTCAACAGTCACAAGTGGGTTGGGCATTTATCTTTGTCTATAACCAAATCACAACCACATGTGAAACCGCTGTGACTAAAACCAATCATTTCATAAAATGAATATGATTTAAAAGTAGCAATAATTTCCATGTCTAATAAGGAGTATTTATTTTTATTTATTCTGGCATTTTCCAGCTGCAACATCCCACAAGACTGGTGTACAAATCTAACGATGGTTCTACTCTTTCCGTTTCTGATTCTTACGTTGAGAAACCAACCCTTAAAGAAATTATATACTATCATCTCATAGAGAAGCCTTACCCCGAGGAACAGGAACAAGGAAAGACTAAGGTAAATTCTAATATACTAATTCTATTAATTCTATTTATAAAAGCCAACTCCCGCATTAGGAATATATCCTGTGTCGCGGGGGACTTTACAAACATACATGAAACGGACACTCAGACTCAGAACAACAATTTGTGGATCACACAAAGTGTCGTCGGACCCACAACACTCAGCGTAGTAGTGAGCGGCGGCGTGGCGACCGCTAAAACCATCACATCACATCAACAGCCTTTACTAGTCCACTGCTGGACATAGGCCTCTCTATAGAAAGGAGGTTTTGGCTAAAACCATACGTGCAATCAATCAGACACTAATAGTAATTCGTAACGTAACGATCCGACGCATTACCACTTGAAAGACATCATGAAAATATTTACTCACGGCTCACCGATTTAGATGAAATTTGGTATGGACATAGTTTGAGTCCCGGGAAATCATCAATCTTTTTATCAGAGAAATCATCCTTTAAGGGGTGAAAAGGGGGGTGGAAGTTTGTATAGGGAATCAATAACCGCTGTACCGATTGAGATGAAATTTGGTATGGATATAGTTTGATTCTTGAGAAAGGACATAGGCTTTTTACTGCGATAACCAACATACACGCGGGCGGAGCCGCGCGCAAAAACTAATTATTATAATATTTTTCAGGACATAATGTCAATGTTTTTTTTTCAATTTCCAGGCTGAAACCCCCGAAGACACCATCGATTTAGTTGAAGATGTAGAAATTGACCCACGGAAGGATGAACCAGCCAAGAATAGCTACTTTACTGAGGTAAAGAAACGAAAAGGCAATATATTATTACGATCGTAATCACCATCACCAATAACGCTACATTTTGATGTTCTGAAATAAACTGAGCAGGAGAAGAGAGAGAATTTTTATTGCGCGATTGAGGATCAACAGTTAGTACTTAGTTCGGTCTATCTTCGCTAGATGGTGCTGTTGTACATTTTATATGCATGTGTATGTCGCCTTGCCATGTTTATCCGTTGTTTCGAACCTATTATAGATAGTTCAACTCAGATGTGCGCGCGGCCCTATGTGTGGGTAAACCTTGTACATATACAGTGTACGCAGAGTCGAAATACTTCCATCATAGTTAAGTTTATCTTGAAATATTCTTTTCAACTTTAGCAAGGTAGGTAACTCGTAAGGTAGATGTTCTAAATGGTAATTTTGAATAGTGGAACGTATAACATCAACGTTAAAGTTGTCTAATTCTAACTTTTTTAAACGTTTTTTACGGTCTTTATGCGGAGATTTAAATTTAGAGTCAGATTCTTTTCCTTCACCCAATATATTAGTAATTGTTCTCTCTGATACCCCCACTGCCATTGCTGTTCTTTTCCGTACGCTATTTAAATGTTCACTTAATTTCGATATTTAAATTAGCCTTGCACTGCAAACTGGATCACTTACTAGTTCCAATATATCTCTGGTCTAATGGTTTCTCGAGTCTAAAACAATAATACGTACACGTCAACAAGGATATATTTTTTCGTATATAGAATCATAATAAATATTAATTACATCTAAATTTAAAAAATATTTACCTGACTCCTTAAACATTTTCTCCGTGAAGAACTAGACATTTTCGTAAACGACTGTACCCTTAAGAAAAAGCGATAAGAACACGTCTTGCTGCCGCGTCACTGCCAAACGAATGAAAGTTGTATATTTACAAGCCCACGCACACATAGGGCCGCGCGCACAACTGAGTTGAACTATCTATATATAAGCATAGTCGTTTAAGTTGCGTCTGGACAATGCTGCGTAAAGATTGTATTATTAAAGCTGATTGCACTCTATGCTTATAAATGAATTAAAAAATACATTTTTTTTACTTTTTTAGAAACCCAAGCATGTTATACGCCAGAGAAGAGACGTTTCAACAGAGGTAAGTTTTCAATCAGGTGCTCAATTCACGATAACTCAAATTCCATCACAATGTCAGATAAAAAAATTCAAATTCAGTAATTAGGTATCTAAAAAAGTTCATCATTTAAGTATTAAGGGCCTATTGATCTGTACCACAAGTTATTTACTCTATCTTGGTTACTACTAGTTTATTAGTGGGGCATATGTCTATTCAAATATATTTACGTAAACGATGATCACCCAAAGATGGAAATTTGCTAATGGCTGACTACCTGGTAATCGGCGCACATTAATTAAATATGAATTCTTTTCTCTTATCGTTGAATAACTATAAATAGCAATAGCTAAGAACTGTCTCTGACATTTCTTGTAAGAAAAAATAGAGATTTTAAAATTATTATTTTTTTCAGAGGATCTCATCCAAGAGAAGATCGAAGAGGACATTTTATAGAGTTAGTATGAGGTTTTTAATAAATAATAATAATAAGTAGGTAACCTAAGTACTGGCCTAAATTATCTATACAATCCTGCCACTTGTATGGCAGTTTGTTTATTCGATTCGATTATTTGCGAAAGCGTTTTGTAATTTTTTTTCACCTTAAAAATCCTCTAAATTTTGGTAAAAGTAGAAATCCGGTGAGTATGGTGGATGACGAAGAGCTGTAACTCTTGTAACTTTGCGATGGTCTCGGTCATTGCTTGCAATTCTTGTCAATAGACATCTGCCATCACCTTTCTGGTCCATCAGACAGTCACCGTCATCTTCCTATGGGTAACCTTTTTTTTAGCGCACTGATCAGCGCGCGCGTGTCGGGTGGCTCTAAGAGTATGTACATATATGTATGTATGTGATATTTCCCTGTCCTGGGTTAGTGGTAAACTGCAACCTGTCGAGGCTCTGACTAGATTATAAACTTCCTTGTTTGTTACACAGAATTGGGTACCGTTTACATCAGATCTATCCAGAAAGCACACCCAACAACTTCCAGAGTACGTGAGGGAAATATTTACGGAGCAAAAACCAGTGGTTGTAAGTATTTTTACTAACGATCTCCATACAGTAAAAAGGTTTTCCGGTAAGATTTACCGTGGGAGAGCCATGCTTCGGCACGGAGTGATACCACGGCCTCACAGAAAACCGGTGTTAAGCAATTCTCTCGTTGCCTTTCACTGAGTGAGTGAAAGCCAAAGCTGCCCGCCGCCTCGCGCCGCAGCAACGCACTTGTGACTTTTGACTTGCAGGTGTCCATGGGCGGCGGTAGTTGCTTACCATCAGGTGACCCGTCTGCTCGTATACCATAAAAATACCAAATTACTCGCACTTTTCTTTAATAAATTAAACAAATGATGAAAAAATATTAACTATAAACCAAAACAAAAAAAAACCTGCGAATCACTGAATTCGCGTTTTTTCTCTTTTAAGTCTATTTTTTATATTAACGTCATCGGTCCTGATGGGATGTAACAACCGTATTACCGTTTTCAGGCTGATTAACCTGAAATACTGGTTACAAAAGTTAATAATTTGGAAAAAGATTTACCGAAAACCCACGACATTAAGTCTTCTGATAAAGAAGATATAATTATGTTGATAAGCAACACGTCATCAATACTTCGGATAGGAGGATTTCTCAATTCAACTAAATATTTCTTTTGATTTTGTTACGCGATAATTTCATCATTTGTGAACATCTTTATATATATATATTCTTTTTAACTGAATCTTTTGTACTTAAGATTGATCTGATTAAAAATTAAGGAATCCAGCTCTAAAAGTAGGAGAAGAATGCAGCTTATTAGAATTTGTCATAAACGAAGCGCATTAAAACCAGTGATACTGTTTAAAACCGACATCAAAAAGGAGGAGGTTGTGGCGACTTCCACATACGATGAAACAAAGAAACATACCGAACTAAGGAGTAACTCCTGAATGAGAATAGCTAATCCTGTATCGCGAAATGAAGAATTCTCTCGCCGATTAGCATATATACAACTTCCCAACATCAACCGTTGGGCCGCGACCCGCCTGGCATGATCACTTCGTCTGCTCGCCTCCTCCCTATGTTTTGGAGGGACATGACACCCGTTCCTCCACAAGGTTATAAATTCGGATGTTTATATTTTTTTAAATGTATTGTCGCACATAATACCGTCATATATACAAGGATTTTCAAGTTTCTTTTTTTTGTTTGAAAGGGGTTTATCCCGAAATGGTCCCATTTAAACTTAATATAGATCTGATAATGAGTTTCGCAGACAGGCAACGGAACTCCTCAAAAAATGACAGCAAATCAACCGAGATTGCTGCTAGTATTTTATTAGTGCTCTTTGTTAGTATTGTTTGAAGTCGGCTCAACTGTTTTAAAGAGATTTTCTTGTGCATAATTTAATTCAGATAAATTCTCTCTCTTACGAATTATTTATTTTCTTTCAGAAATCACACAACCCAAAATACGCCTACGTCGTTGGACATATATCAAGTATACTGGCTGAAAAGGAGAATGAGGTAACCATTGTTGTTTAATTTTCTGGAGTAGGATCACCAGTTTTTTTATTCCAATAAAGGAAGTATTATTGGAACAAAAAGTTTCGTGAGAGGCTTTCAGATCTGTAAAAGATGAACGGTTTTAGTCAAGTGAGAGTTTTAGAGATGACTGACTATTTTAGGAACCAAGTGGAACTCTTATTTCGTGAGAGAGCCTTGTTTCGGCACAAATCGACTCGTTCGTAGTGATACCAATAGAGATAATACAGATACAGGAGGGAAACGAGCCACCAACTTTGGTGCCTTGGTAGAAAGAGAAAGAAGGCGGCGATTTGCATGTGGACGAGGGGAGAGAATGCAGCTGTGTTTATTTATTCGAGCCAGTGCGAGAGAGACACATATAAATCGCCGTCTTCTTTCTCTTTCTACCGACGTCGCTATTCCACTTACAGGCAATCCAACGACTTCACAGAATTTTTAAATCTTTCATTTCTTTTTACCGATTAACTCAAGGCGGCAACGTATTTGTGACTCACTTACATAAAAAAACCTTTACCAAGGTGTGAATCGACCTCTTGATGAAGGTCTACCCATGCACACATGAGTTAAATCGTTCATTCTTTATAAATAGCAATCATCACATTGGGAAAGCCAAAATAATGTCCCAAACAACTTTCGATTTTTTTAATTTTCTTTAATCCGTAACACATCCTGTAAATTAAATGTTTTAGGTAATAGGTGATAATGAACTAGATTCAGAATCAAGCAGTGACGAATCAGATATAGTTGATGATACTCCTAGTTATACCGAAGAACCTAATGTTGTTGAATACTTGGAATATGATGAGCTTGATGAAAATAATAGTTCTGAAGATGATGCTGACGTGTCTATTGAGAAAGAGAAAGACTTTAACAAGGGTAATAAACCAGAAGCAAGTGGTATCTTTCTAGAAAGCACGACTATTAGATATAATAAAGATTCTGGAGAAAATTCTAAAGTTAGTGATAACTCCGAAGACGATTGGACAGATAATACCGCTCTGGATGATGATAGTGATAGTAATGAAGACAGCGGCTCGCTTGAAGATGAAGAGATTGAATGTGAAGATGGAAAAGTTTGTGATGAATCTGGTGAAGGCACAAATACAAATTTTGATGATATTTTAAATGAAATACACCAAATATTCATAAAAGAGAATTCAACAATTGAACTGTCGCCAGCAACGATCGATAATCAACAAAACTTTAACGTCTTAAGCCTTCTTCAAAATGTTTTAAAAGAACACAGTAAATCAACTAATCAAAGCATTGTTATTCAAACGAACCAAAATCAACCAAGCTTTCTTGACGCATTAAGAGGATTGTTTACTAATATAGTCAAGAATAACGTAGTCATAAATAACCATGTACCTGTAATGCCTGTACATATCGCAGCTGAAAAAGATAGACTAAATGACAGAGAAAAGCCAAATGAAAACACTAAAAAACCTATCTCTGAACAAAACTTTAAAGAACACGGTACAACAACTGAAAGCCCAAAAGAGACTAATCTATCTAATTATATTGACCAAAGTAAGGATAAAGATTTCACAGCGCCGCCATTAGAGTCAACCACTGCTACTGCCATCGTCATTAATGCCACAGAAATTGATAAAAATAAATCAAACGACACTGACAAACTTATCAACTCAACGTCGACTCAAGTAAGTTCTACCACACTCGCGATGGAAACAGAATCATCAAGCATCAGGACAGAGAAACCTACGACTCCTGGGGAACAAGAACCTACCACTTCTAATCCCAATAAAATCGAAAATAATGCTACAAATGAAAAAGAAGATGGCGCTGATGTAAACAAAAAAATAGACTTCATGTTGGATTTAGTAAATAATGTAAGTATAGTATTTAATACACAACATTTATAAAACAGGTCATAAAATTAAACTAATGGTTTTTTGTACACAAAATATAGTTAGCAATTTATTTATTTCCAGAAAAACTTTTGGGAATTTATGGGAGATTTAGGTGGGAAATACCTGGAGTCTTTGATGGCGGTAAGTTAAATTACCAAATAAAATTATTGAATTTAAAAAAGAATACATAGTAAAGTAAAAATGTATTTATAATTTTTCTTTTCATATTTCAGCATACTCAATCTGTAATCAAAGAACAAATTACAACTCAAGTTAAGGAACATTTTGATGCCCTTAATAAATATGACGAAAAACTTTTGGAGAAGAAGGATGAAGTGAAAGAAAACAAGCCTGTAAAAGAACCGAAAGAGAACGCTGGTGGAAAGAACAGAGAAGCTAAAAATATAAATGAAACAGTATCAATCAAAGCACACAATTTGTTTGGAAACACAGTAGGCAACGACAAAGTAACAAACGTATACGTTTTTTATGCAAACGAACACATAGATGAAATCATTAAAAATATTCATGAAATTGCAAACAAAACCAAACCAGTAAACAGTACTAATATATTTACATTCATTTCAAATCAATTTGAAGTAAATAACGGAACAAGCAAACCTACAACTCCAATTGTAAGTGAAGTGACTACTGAACTTCCTAAAAAAACAGTCAATCATGTTGGTGATAAAACAAATAATGAGCAAAATCCAACAAATGAGCAAAATGAAACTACAGCTAATATATCTGATATCAAAAACCCTAACATTGTCGGTAATCAAAGTGAAACAGATTCAAATTGCCATCACGATAAGTCTCGTTGTGATAAAATCGAAAATAGTACTAATCCTACTGTAAACACTGATCAAGATTACAACATCACAGTTCATCCAACGCAAAATTCAGTAGCTTCAACAACTGTTAGCAAGGAACAGACTCCTGAAGTTGAGACCACCCCTGTCGTTGATTTAAAACCTGATAAAGTTCCTGTTACTGAAACTACTGACACACTAATGCCAAATACAGATAAAATTTCATCGACGGAGCCCATCACGGCAAAAATCGATATTACAACCGAATCTATAGCAGCAGCACATACTACTGTGACCCAGGTAACTAGCATTGAAGTACAGACTGAAATTAGCCAACATACCACACATTTTGAAGCCACAACTAACGCTGACCTCACAACAGAATCTGTTATTTCGAAAGGAACTACAATAGCAGATGTTACAATTGAAAGTTCTACGGAAAGAAACGACGACATTAACCACAAAAATAATGAAACTTCATTAAACATAAACACTATCGATGATTATAAAGACAAAATTACTACGGAAAATGTAAAACCTGTGACAGATAATATTAGTTCGTCAACAGAAAGTACTTCTACAATACAACTTACAACATTAGTTATAACAACTTTAAGTACTACAGAGAAAATAGAAGGCGTCAATAACCTAAGTAATGAAATTCCACAAAATACATCCTCTAGAGAAGATGATAAAGATAAAGTGACAACGGAAAGTATGAAACCTGTAACAAGTTATATTAGTTCCACAACCGAAGTTATTTCTACAGTATCAGGTGTAACAATTGACAGTACTTCAGAAAAACACGATGTCACTAGTGATGATAATAAAGTTACTACGGAAAGCTCGAATTCAGTGACAAGTGATATTACTTCGACAGCGAAAGTTACTTCTAAAGCATCAGATACAATAATTGAAAGTATAACAGAAAAACACGACGTCACTATTAATGACGATAAAGCTGAAGTTACTACGGAAAGTATGAAACCTGTGGCAACGGAAATTAGTTCGACAACGGAAGTTATTTCTACAGTATCAGGTGTAACAATTAACAGTACTTCAGAAAAACACGACATCACTAGTGATGATGATAAAGCTAAAGTTACTACGGAAAGTATGAAACCTGTGACAAGTGATATTACTTCGACAGCGGCAGTTACTTCTACAGTATCAGAGACAACAATTGAAAGTACAACAGAAAAACACGACGTCACTAGTGATGATGATAAAGCAAAAGTTACTACGGAAAGTATGAAACCTGTGACAAGTGAAATTAGTTCGACAACGGAAGTTATTTCTAAAGTATCAGGTGTAACAATTAACAGTACTTCAGAAAAACACGACGTCACTAGTGATGATAATAAAGCTAAAGCTACTACGGAAAGTACGAAACCTGTGACAAGTGATATTAGTTCGACAACGGCAGTTACTTCTAGAGTATCAGATACAACAATTGTAAGTAGTACAGAAAAACACGACGTTACTGATTCTCTTACAAATAATATAAAATTAACGACCGAAGCTGTTAATACAGAAACTGTTGATATTTCCGTGGATCAAGCTGACAAAAATCATACAATACTTAATATTGAAAATAGTAATTCTACTGCTAATCATAGTGAAATTTTATCAACCACGGAGAGTCCTGAACACAAAACCGACAGTATTAGTATTACTACAGAAACTGTGACAGAGAAAACAGCAGATAATACTAAATCGACTAAGGATGAAAGTCACATTACAACGGAAAAGTTCGAATCGACTAGAGCAGATACGGAAGTAAAGGAAGCTACTGAATCGACAACAGAGAAACATGAGGAAGACAAATCATGAGACATGTTAATTGAAATGAGAATAATTTTAATAAATATTAAATTTTTAAATGTATCTTCAATACTTGCATTTTGTGCTTTTGAACATAATGAGTTTTTTATTCATAGAATACGAACTGTTACTACTTTCTGATCCCTTACCAAATATATTACCTACATTTTAATTGGGACTGCACGGATGGTGTAAGCGGTCACCACGCCGTTTCCTACTACGCCGAATGTTGTGGGTTCAAACCCCACATGGGACGATACTTCCGTGTGATCCACAAATTGTTGTTCTGAGTCCGGGTGTTCTGTGTCACAGGATATAATTATTCCTAATGCGGTATTGTCTTTTTAAATAAAATAAAATAAAAAAATTGTGAATTAGCAAACGAATTTCAAATTTATTTTTTTCTAGCATATCATCATAGATGGGAAGAAATTTTATGTATTTAGGAGGAAAGGGACTCTGATGGGTTAGAGACAAAACACTACAAGATTGAATTTATAGAAACAGATTTATTTTGAAAGTATCGTTACGCGACTATGACAAAAAAGAAAGATGAAATATAAAGCAACCATATTGCAGAGTCAAATTATCAAAAATAGTGGCGCCAACTGACGTTATTATTTAGTACTGAACTAAAATAGGGTAAAATAACTATCAAGTCAAATCAAAATCTTTTTATTAAATAAAATGTTATGGATGGACGTCATACCGAACTATACTCGAATCATTTATAGGTTTCGGGTATAGGTTTAGGGATTACTCCATGTGACGCGTCAGCGCTCACCTCCACTGTCTGCTGTTTTACCTCCTCTACCTAACCATATTTGATACGAGCACTTTGGATATTTTGTTATCTCTTTGTCGGTCTGTCTTCTAGCATTTCCCAATCCAACTCTACTGGACTGTGTGTCATGCATTTCTCGTGGAATTGCAGCCGTGACTCGAGCTCTGATGAATTTTTGTCTTTTGGAAGGGATCTAACGATTTCGTCTTGTGATTTTGACAAGACATGCATTTTGGTAACTCTTAAATTGAACTCCGAAGGTTTTTTTAATTTTATTCCAAAGTTATTCGAGCCCCTGTACAACGTCGATGGGTCTGCAGATGTTGCTAGCCCGAGTCACGACTTCAATGTCTTAGTGACTTTCGCGTCCAGTGGTGTTTAGTTAGTAGCTTATTATATAGAACACGGATGTTTCTGAAAACTTTTAACGATACGACCTTCAAACCTTTTCTTTTCTGTTAACTGCCCGCTGAACTAGTTGTCTGGAACATTTTTAAATTCTGATAATGATCTGATGATGGTTAACATTGCATCTACATCCAACACCGAACAAAAAGCGCACACACTTTATGCACATTTTTAATATTTATGAAAGTTATTGCATTTTTTTAAATATAATATATTTTAAGAAAATAATACTTTCAAACTTTGCATAATTTATATTTTAGTCTAACGATAGTATAGTATATATTTCTGTAACAGAAAAATACAATTATTTATTAAAATATCTTTAACATACTAGTGGTTTTTTGTAACTTTTGAAAAAAAACCGTCGCAAACGAACAGACGGGTCACTTGTGGTAATTTTTTTTTTAGACAACTTGCGCATTAGGCATAATACCTTTACCGCGGGAACTTTACAAATATACATGAAACGAACACAAAGAACACCCAGACTCAGAACAACAATCTGTGGATATCACAAAGTGTCGTCTTATGTGCGGATCGAACCCACAACACTCGACGTAGTAGGCAGCGGCGTGGCGACCGCTTAAACCACTACGCCATCCGTGCAGTCGACAGTAAATGACTGCGGCCGTCCATGGCACACAAGTATGTTGACAGCTTTTGATGGTCCCGCAGAATTAGAGGGGGGGTTGAACCTACAGTAACCTCACTCGGTAAAAAGCGACGAAAGAACTGCTTAACACCGGTTTTCGAGCCAACCCATACGTTCCGAAGCATGACTCTCCCACGAGTCATCATCATCAACAGCCTTTAATAATCCACTGCTGGATATAGGCCTCTCCTTAGAAAGGAGGTTTTGGCCTACTACAACACGCTGCCCAGATGGTTTGGTATAGGGTTTGTGTCAAGTTTCCCTTCTCTTTGCAGTGTTTTTTCCTGCGTAGTTTGCTCCCTTAGTCGGCTCTTACAACACCCACGGGATGAATAGATGAGACTCCGTATTCTTAATCTGTCACCACGAGTAATATAGGTTTATAATATTATTTGAAAAGAATGATATCGGCCATTTAATAACTATAGCTATAATTAACACACATTATTTTTAATAAAAGTTATATTTAATAATTAAATATGAAACACACATTCATGAAAACTTTATCAAATTGTGTACTTATAAAATACAAACATCCTATTCCAATAATATAAAATTCATTTCGAGACTAAACGACAATACATAGGGTTGCTGAAGAGTACGTTTATATTTAAGGGTTTATAACTGTTAATATATGAAGCAAAGGCGGGTTAGTTACACCATTTATAATCTTTTATTTGTTGGATTTGTCTCCGTCCGGAATTATAGAATTGTTTTTTTTTAATGCATTGTGTATGACCCAAAAAGCAAATTAAACTGCGGGGAAATGCTAGTTATGAAATAAACTATCAAACGTTTATCTATAAACCTAACATTAAGTAAAATAAATACATTGAAATATGTAAATCATTTTTTTTATTATAATATTTATTGTTAACGCTTCTATTCAAATTTATCTCGCATCCAACTTTAATACCGCGCTTGGCCGCACTCGAACGCGATTGGCCCGAATGGCGTTCAACTTGACGTGACGTGACGTGGCATCACGCAGCACAGGAATGCTACAAAAAAATTCTAGAAGAACGTAAAATGGGCGACGCAAAATTATAGTAATTGTTTTAAAAGTACATAAATTAAATATGGTACAGTTAATAACAAAGAGTTTTACAACATACAAGAAGGCAACATAGACAATATTTATTTACTTGCCATTAACTCAGAACAATTAAAAAAGTTGGGATGGAACTTTGCGAAGAAGGAAGCGACGAGTGCTTGGGCATTTTATATTATTGAAAATATTGGTTTCTACGCTTACTTATGTGTGAAATGCTATTCCATTCTGCTATCTACGTCTTGTAGTTTAATTTTTACACTCTTTCACAACACAATTCTGCAGTTTTACTTTGAGGACATTTTTGATGACGTTTTGACTGACAAGGCGTAGTTTCGTTGTACGTGTGTGCGTGTAATCGTGTATGTACACGCCAAGGCGTAGTTTTAATTGGCCTCACTTCTTTGTTCACAAAATATCATCTTAAGTTTTTTATTTGATATGAGGCCATAAATAATAACCTCAAAATATAAGCATACTTTTCATCAAAAATCTGTAGTATACAAATAAAATTGAAAGCCAAGATCACCGTATATAAATAATTATATCTTATATTTTAAATAGTCGTTGTAATAATATATAATTGTATTAATAAAAATAATTATTTTTGCTGGTACATAATAAAGAATCCTAAATAAGGATGGAATAACTATCATTATTGCTTGTTTTTTATTTAGGTATTAAGTAAAAATGTATAATAACATTTATTATTAATAAAATTTTGAATATTTTTATAACATGAATATAAACATTTATAATTTTTATTTTTTATTTAAATTTCGGTCGTACATCCAAGGTCTCCTCTCGGGCCTGAACCCCGACAGGAATGTTTTAAGGCAGTTATGTAGCTTTCCTTATCATTTTATTGCTCAGGACCCGTAAATATACCAAAATAATCTAAGACACAACTTATAAATATGTTGGCTTAACAAAAAAGACTAATATAAACTTAACTGTTATGATAATAAGACATTTTTTTGAAAAACAGTTTCTAACTTAAGAGGAACGCATTGAGCACGGTATTGCAACTCATTATGATGTCAGAGACATCTGGCGGTCAAAAGAAATAGTTTGAAGTACATTGCCTGTTTCCTATGTCAAATATTTAATTGACGTTCGGAATACAATACAAAACACGACATGTATTATAAACAATAATGGAGAATCTAATGAATTCGGATTTTATATTACTCTTGTAGATGGATTTCAGATAAACCAACATACTGTTACTCTAATTATCATTAATTCTTAACTCAGCGAGTTCCTGCTCTTCGTCCACCTCGTCTTCGTCATCAGATCCGTGGACTGAGGCGGCCGGGGTTGTAGCTCCTGTGGAGAGACATGATTAAATAAAGTATTTCAATATATAGGAACGTACCCGTACTATTTGACGCAGGGGATATTTGTCGCACCAGGGACTTCCTTTCTAGGGTATACCTGGTTCCCCGGCTATTAGTACCTGAGACGGCGTGCGGTTTTAGTCGGTTCGAGTCCGACATGCCACCGATAGGTGGTATCCGAGGGGATTTCCACACGGAAAAAAAAACCGTTGTCTGTAAAGTCGGTTTACTGGCGATAGTTGAACGTGACAACGTCATAAGAAAATACTGATGGAATGGTTGCATTTTTCAAAAATGTATTATTGTATACGAGTAGCAGCTGTCCACGCGGAAGCATCGCTCACTCAAGTAGGAGAGAGACAGATGTCGAACGCTGCCGAACGCGGAGGCCGATTGTGCCTCTTTGTCACTCGTTCCGCGCTCTCGCTTGCACTTCACGCCTTAAATGGAACGCCTCAGAACGGTAACGCCAGTGGTAACGCCGCATGAGTCATGTTTTTTCGTGCGTGCAGCCGGCTCCATCGAATTACAAGACGTTGTCATGTCAAAAAAAAAAAAAAAGGGGACATTTGTCGACACGAAACGTATTTTTTATTTACTGTCTGCGTCATAAACACTTTGCTATACTGCACACACGATCTACAAGGACATACTTTGGTTGTTTTGATGCGAGATGTCGCCGGGCCCTATCATAATACCAGTACTGCAGTCTCTCAGGCTCAATGCTGAGATAGGCGCATTTTCTAGCAATATAACTGAATAGACAGAAAGACAGTTGAACAGTAAGTTTTTCTTTAAGTGTTTTAAAAAAAGTTTCGTTTGCTGCATCAAAATATCATAAAAACGACAGTGATCTGCAATTAAATAAATCCTTTACTTTGTGCTTAAGCCATGTGCTCAAATTGAGTTGTCAAAATTATACTAATGTTGCCAAATATTTACTCAAAACTACCACAAAAATCTACTAAGTTTGTGGGAAAACCTTTCTAACGTTGATCCAAAATGTGACCACAAACCAGATCATGTTAAGTCCAGATTGTGTAACAATGCTGGCGGCATCTGTCAATACCGTTCATACTATCATAGGCATAACTTCTATTGAAATCATCATCAGCCTATCGCAGTCCACTGCTGGACATAGGCCTCGCCCATTGCACGCCACTTAGATCGATTTTGGGCTTCTCGCATCCAGCTCCTGCCAGCCATCTTGCGCAAATCGTCACTCCACCTGGCCTGTGGGCGTCCTACACTACGTTTACCACTCCACTCAAGAACTCGTTTTCCCCAACGGTTGTCGGTTCTGCGGCTAATATGGCCAGCCCACTGCCACTTCGGCTTGCTGATCCGGTAGGCTATGTCGGTGACCTTGGTTCTCTGCCGAATCACCTCATTTCTGATGCGATCCCTTAGAGAAACACCGAGCATAGCCCTTTCCATAGCACGTTGAGCGACTTTGAACTTGTGGACCAGCCGTACCGTAAGTGTCCACGTTTCAGCTCCGTATGTCATGACGGGTAGGACGCACTCATTAAAGACTTTCGTCTTAAGGCACTGTGCGATCGACGATGAGAAGACTCGACGTAGCTTCCCAAACGCTGCCCAACCCAACCGAATTCTTCTGTTCACCTCGTCCTCGAAGTTGTTTCTACCTAACTGCAATGTCTGCCCGAGGTACACATAATTTTGAACAACTTCGAGAACGGCACCGTGTACCGCAATCGGTTCCGGTAGTACATGTTCTATTGAATAATAATATTTTAGGTTTTGACAGATGGCGTTCCATTTTTGACAGTTAAATGAACTACTACGCAAGATGTCTGTTAAGTCTCGTGGAACGTGAGTATCTTTTTCGTACGGACACGTGAGTTATACAAAAAATGGCCCCTATTCGCTAGTAAAACATCACTATTGGCGAATAAGGGCCTTTTATATATATTTATAAATGTATTTCCAAAGAGACGGAAATGAATATGGATACTAAGACTCCGCCAATTATTTTTTTAAAATACATTCAATATTTCTTAAAAGTAATGAAATATGACAATACAAAAGAATCATTTAAAAAGAAGGAAGTTTTCTCGACTATTCACGAAAACAGATACAAATACCAATATCCAACACATTACTTCGTCGGCAGCGAATGTTTTATTTTCATATTTCAAGTTAAAATACAAATCTTTGTACGTATTTCTTTCCAGGTAGTATTATTTCTCCGACAGCCCAATATCAAAAACCGACCGATGGACCGATTTTGATAATATTTTACAACCAGGTATTTGTCTAAATAAGGAGGAACTTAGGCTATTTTCCCTCTCAGAAAAACCTTTGCCCGATCCGGGAATTGAACCCACTAAGGCAGTGCTTTTCGAATGCCCCGCGAACGAAGTCGCGGGTACCAGCCAGTTATAAATATAAGTACTATTAAACTAGAAAAGCCGCAATGCTTTTCAAGTAAACCATGATGAGAAGACCTATACTTACTGGAGTGTGTGGGGCTGGGTGGTTCAGAGATAGGTCTTGGATAGTTGAATCTCTTGCCTAACTCCTGATCCATGTGGTCTACATAATCTGGGTACACTATCTTGAGGGCTTCTGCGCGCGCTTGGCGGTAATACTGTTGAAAATAATGATTATGAAATTTTAAATTTGTTTGTTAAATGTTTAACGTATGTCTTTTATGAGGTGTAATGGTCTTTGTACTTTGTACTAAGTATGACATCACATTACATAAACAGCCTTTATTAGTCCACTGCTGGACGTACGTCTCTCCTTAGAAAGGAGGTTTTGGCCTACTATACCACGCTGGCCAGACGGGTTGGTATAGGGTTTGTGTCAAGTTTTCCTTCTCTTTGCAGTGCTGTTGTTCTGCGTAGTTTGCTCCCTTAGTCGGCTCTTACGACACCCACGGTATAAATAGGGGTGGTACACTCCGTATTCTTAATCCGTCACCATACGGCCAACTAAGTACTAACTACTACCCCGTACCTACTATCAACTACGAGTATTAGCTATCACCCACTATCTACTTAAAAACCCTTACTACTAATAATTAAATACCCTGCTAACTACCTCATATCTACTATTAGCTACTATACATAGTCTGCTATCGCCTAACTACTAAACTGTTAATAATACCTACTCCCTAGTAAGTACTAACTACTATCTTTTACCTACCACTCACTATCAACCATCTCCTAACTAATAAATACTTTCTACTAAATAATAACTACTACCTACTATCTTATTAAGGTTTAGGATTTATAAATGAAATTAAGATTTTCTATTTGCACAAAAACGTTCCTTACTTTATTAAGAAGTGCCAGTCAGTGCCAGTACTGCAACACATAATATTACAGAGTAGTACAAAGTAGTAACTCATAGACAAAATTCATAGATAATATAAGTGCTGCTCTCTTATCTATTAATGCACCATAATAGCCTTATTATATTATCTACTAAGAACATAAATAAAATTTTATACTCAATATATCTTTTACCTACCACTCACTATAAACCATCTCCTAACTAATAAATACTTTCTACTAAGTAATAACTACTACCTACTATCAGTTACCTACCACTCACTATCAACTACTATCTTTCAACTACTACATGTTAACTATAATCATGTGGCGACTCCCACATACAAAGAAACAGAAACATACTACAGCGCCATCTAAAAAACAACTAACTTAAATCATCGAAGACACACCGGACTACGGAGTAACTACTAAATGAGAATTGTTAATCCTGTATCGCGATATGGAGAATTCCCTCGCCGATTAGCATATATACAACTTCCCAACATCAACCTTTGGGCCGCGGCCCGCCAGGCATCATCACCTCGCCTGGTCGGAGGATCCTCCCTTTGTGTTAGAGGGACATGACACCCGTTCCTCCACAATCTCATCATCAGCGACCATAGATAACAAACAAATGTGGTAATACTCACGATGCCCAAGTTCCTCCAGTCAAGTAGATCTGACAGTCTTTCAGTTCTGTTCCTCTGAATGATACGTTGCCGCCTTGTTAACCTGGATTAACGTAAACAAGATGGATATAATAATAATAATAACCTCACACATTCCACACACGGCCGTCTGATCCCAAACTAGGCAGAGCCTGTACTATGATAACCAGACTGCTCATAAACATACTTATATATTTCTAAATATATACTTATTATAGATTACACCCAGACATAGAACAAATGATCGAGCTCAACACGCAATTATTTAGGTTGTAATCCTGGGTTGGAATCGAACTCACAACCTGCGGCTTAGCAGTCAGGGTCACTAAACACTAGACCAACAGGCCCTCCCTCCCCATTCTTATTGGCTGGAGGGGACTCAAAGGGTGCCAACAAAGGGGACTCTTGAGATTTATATGCGAAGGTGGTCACTTACCATCAGATCAACCGTCTGCTCGTTTACCCCTATACCATAAATTAATAATAACCAAGCACTTTGAGAATTTAAGTTAACTTCTCAAAATGCCCAGGTATTGTAAGGAACGGTATAATGTGTTAGGGCACTCACTTGGTAAAATCATACATGTATTGCGCAAGGTGTTGTACGGAACCTTCCAGAGATATGTATCTACGGTCCACCACGTAGATACCGTACGACATGGGGTCCGCTATGTGTTCCTGCATGAAGCAGCCGAAACCTAGAACAGAAGGCACAGTTTTAACACTTTCTTGAAGACCGCTCTAACTTTACATTACCATATCATCATCATCATCACTACAGCCTTTACTAGTCCATTGCCTGACATGGGGATCCTCTCCTTAGAAAGGAGGTTTTGGCCACGCTGACCAGACGGGTTGGTATAGGGTTTGTTTCTAGTTTAGTCCCTTAGTCTGCTCTTACGACACCCACAGGATGAAGAGGGAGGACACTCTGTATGCTTAATCCGTCACCACACAGATTACCATATGTTAAAAGTAAACGATTGAATCATTTTACATTATATTTAATTCAATTCTTCACACCTTGATTTTCCCCTGAGAAGTGTAATTTCCTAGTTATATTTTTACATAATTTTAAATTCTTCAGTATAGTTGTCTCACACAGAGCCGTCTGATCTCAAACTAAGCAGAGCCTGTACCACCGTAACCCAACTGCTGTTAAACGTATCTTTATGAACAATCGGATTACGGTCTTATGTGTACCAAAAACTATAATCCCTACTAATTATTAACGCGAAAGTAACTTTGTCCGTTATGTTTTCACGACAAAACTGCTGCACAGATTTTAAGGAAATTTGGCATGGGGATACTTTGATAAGCAAGGACGGATATAGGCACCTTTTTAACGCGATAACTCCGATACGAAGCCACAGGCAAAGCTAGTACCGTAATATATCCGAAACATGATTTGCAAATCGTCCAAGAACAACGTACAGTAAACATATTTGGAAAATTTATAATTAAGTTTGATCCAGTCTGTATATTGATCGTTGTGTTTCTTTCTTGAAACTCTGTAATTTAGTGTGCAAAGAAAGAGTTATCTATTTATTTTTTTATTTATTTTATTTATTTATTAGGCCACCAACGGCGAGTACACCATTACAATGTATTTATAAACATATGAATTTTAAAGTTAAGCATCACGCCACTTAAAGGTAGGCACAGCATGGACCAACAAAAGTGCAATAACAATTTACAAAAAATAATGTGAACTTAAAAGTTATTATAAGACTTACAAAACATTAATCAGAAGCAAAATCAAATTGAAAAATAAACAAATAAACCCCTATAAGCTTACATTCCTTGTATCTAATACAATTCTCTTGATTCGAGGCACGGATGTAAAGTTAATATCTATTATATTGGCAAAAGGTTGAAATGCAGCAAATAATCGGGCTATTGAGTAATGCAATTTAAGGTTCGTGTGGCATTTAGGTCTACAGAAATTTTCTCGCCTAGTACAAGACCTAGCGTTTAATCTAGGAACATTGAGGCCAATCCTGCTGAGCAACTCGGGGCAGTTCATGGTCCCAGTCAGCAACTTGTGCAGAAAAATTATATCCAACATCCTCCTGCGACTCTCGAGAGAATACAACCCAAAGTACTCAAGTCTTTTTTATATGATGTTAGTTCTTTGCACATCTTGTAACTGTAAGATAAGTGTCTTAGAAAACGTTTTTGGATTCTTTCAAGGTGATCAATATGATTCCTATAAGTGGAAGACCAGACAACACTGCAGTATTCCAGATGGCTTCTTACTAATGAGTTAAATAATATAATTTTGGTAGAAGCTTTTCTATCTATCTATCTATATTAGTTATACATATTAGTGCATATATATTTTAAATACATTTTCGATAAGCATTCTAGTTTGTGACAGCTTAGCAACTTGATCTGTCTTCTTTGAATGGTATCATAATGTTGCGCCATAGGATTAAATGGTTCGATTTTATGGAATGTGGAGGACAGCGCCATCTAGTATCGACCAAGTACATCTATTAAGATTGTGGTTTATACGAGAAGTTCTGATCCTTACAGCGCTAGATGGCGCTGCAAGTAACGTGTGACTGATTCTGAAAAAATCTTGTTTGTCTGTGACGGACTATCGAACACTAGGGTTTTTTCTAGTAAAATTCAAAAGCGCGACTGATATATGGTGATTTCTAGTTTATTGTAGTGTGTTTGTAAATACAGTGCAATAAAGTAATTAACCGACAACTTTTATTTATTATATACCCCGCTCGTAACAATTATATTAAAACCGCAAACAAAATGATGCATTGTTTGATCTGAGCTGATGATTACGCTTACCTGATAGGTTTGTGGTAATGCTGGGAATGCCCATGACTGTACACTCGGCTGGTGTATAACCCCAAGGCTCGTAATAAGATGGGAACACGCCCATGTGACATCCCCGAACAAACTCCTCGTAATCCAGTCCGAAGAGTGGATTCGTTGAGGTCAAGAATTCTGGGTGGAATATTACCTGTAAGGAATATTATCTTATAAAGAAATTGGAAGTTAAAGGGACACTAATAACAAATTATTTTTAACACCCTTTTATTAGCTTGGTATGCATGTACTCGTATGTAACGAAATCTTTCAACGTGATTTTGACCGACTTCGAAACATCGAATTAAATTAAAACTTTGCTCACTTATCAATGACCGATGACAATGCAATAATTTAAATAGTTTGACCCATTGTCCTGATCAGGACCTTCAGGATTAACGGCTTTTCCATACCTAAAAATAGGGTGTCTTTTGCTACTTACTTTTTTATTTTAGAACTTATAGAAAATTATTGCTACTTTTTAGTTCGGCTAACTACAAATACATGTTTTTTTTAAATTTATAATTATAGTTTAAAAATACTTAAAAACACGCTGGCTGAAACTTGTAACTAGCCGAAACAAGTGTACAAACCGATAGTATTTGAAGGATATAACAGTAATTACTATCAAGTAATGGAAACGGAAACCAGATCCATCAAGTTGTGGCTGAAGGGGTTTTTATGTCTCTCCAACGCAAAGGGAGGATCCTCCGACCAGGCGAGGTGATCAAACCTGGTGGGACAGAGCCCAACGGTTGATGTTAAAAAGTTGTATATAAAAAAAAAGAAAAGATATTAGAACTTTTCATATCGCGATTCAGGATTAGCAGTTACTCCGTAGTTCAGTGTGTCTTCGTTAGATGGCGCTGTAGTATGTTTTTATTTAATTGTATGTGGAGGTCACTACAACGTATCAAAGTAACATAATTTTGACTATATTTTTACTTGTACTAGTTTTATGGAGATCTGTCAATGTATCGATAAGTGACGTAATCAGATACGTTGAGTATTTAGGTGGGAAATTTGTAAAGGTCATTTTATGCCTTCCTTCTTTCATTAAGTTTATATTCTGTTTTTTTTTGTTAAATAAGGGCCTTATTGTAAAATAAAAGCAGAGCTCGGTTGACACAGAACAAAAACTTTTTTAAGTATAGTTAGAAAAAAAATATACTTCTCTGCCTACTCTTTCGAGGATATAGGCAATAATATATGTATTAACTGTAAGCTTTTTGACGACTTACCTTCACTTTATCGTTGACGGTGTTAAACAATTCACACCTTCTAATTGAGTTCAACACTGGATCGCTCCAATCGTCCACCTGTAAACGAACATTAATCCAATAGCGAAATATAACAATAAGTTTGAGTAGTTACAATATATTGGTCGGGCTACATTTAGTTATTTTTGTTATGGTGTAGGGGGGGCAAACGAGCAGACGGGTCACCTGATGGTGAGCACCTACCGCCGCCCATGGACACCTGCAACTCAAAAGTCACAAGTGCGTTGCTGCCCTTAGAGTCCCTCCCGCTCAAGTCTGGGGAGGATTTGAACTCAGGTAACCTCACTCACTCAGTGAAAGGCAACGAAAGAATTGCTTAACACCGGTTTCTATGAGGCCGTGGTATCACTCCGGTCGAGCCGGCCAATTCGTGCCTAAGCATGGCTCTCCCAAGGTCAAAAGTCACATTTAGCGACTGGTGCCCAGTTACCTTCCAGTTTCACAAGATATGATATTTTCATTTAAACAAGTAGATTTAAAATTTGCACTGATATTCTCACAGATTATATATAAATTGTAATACTTTAACAGTCTGGAATTTTAGAGTTTATAAGTGTGCATATATGTGGGCGTGCTGGTGTGGGTATGTTATTTTTTTTTTTAAAGACAACTCCCGCATTAGGAATATATCCTGTGTCGCGGGGGACTTTACAAACGTACATGAAACGGACACAAAGAACACCCAGACTCAGAACAACAATTTGTGGATCACACAAAGTGTCGCCCCATGTGGGGTTTGAACCCACAACACTTAGCGTAGTAGGAAGCGGTGTGGCCACCGCTTAAACCACTACGGCATCCGTGCATGCCATGTGAGGATTTGTGTGAGTACGAGCAGGTGTTTGAAGTTTACAGTTTATTGAATATAATACAATATATCTCACACATGTCACACACGGCCGTCTGATCCTTAACTAAGCAGAGCCTGTACTATGGTAACCAGACTGCTGATAAATATACATATATATTTTTAAATAGATACATATATCACCCGCGATGAAGGTTTCAATTAGACAACTTAATTAAGTACAGAAGTAAAAACAATGATTGGCAAATAAATAGATAAACGTGTGCATGTGTTTGTGTGCGCATGGGACTGTATGTGTGTGTGTGTGTGTGTGTGTATGTGTGTATGTATGTGTGTATGTAAGTATGCATGTTTGTGTGTGTGTGTGTGTGTGAGAGAGAGAGAGAGAGAGATAGAGATAGAAATATACTACTTTTAGACTTTTACAGTTAGAAGGGATTCTATGTCGTGATAGCTTAAGAAATCATGATTATAGGTATATTCTCCGTACAAACTTGAACCCCTTTTTAATAACCCCTTAATAGTTTTGAAATAGTAATACCAATGTTTTATAATGCTTTTAATACAAATTATTTACTGTGAGTTAAAAACGCTACTACCAAAAATGACGAAGTTTCATATAAATTGCCAACCCTTATTTTACACCCTTAGGGGTGGAATTTTTTAAAATCCTTTCTTAGTGCACACCTACGTCACCTAAGGAATATTTGTGCCAAAATTTCATGCTTCTATTCCCAGTGGTTCCAGCTGTGCGTTGATCAATTTTGAATTTGAATGTAAGAGAAGATATTACTTACAATATTGTGCGTGGTGACCGGTGGTAGAGTGTCTCTGTGCAAACTGTAGATACAACGTTTGAGCCTCACTGTGTCCTCTTTCTGTAGGAGGTCTAATGCATCCGGGAGATGACCTCTGAACAAATATTTATATATTAGTATTACAAGTATGGGCTTTGGAACTGAGTAGCTGAAGGCCTGTGGGTCTCAGACTTCCCTACAACAGCCAGGAGTTTCTCCACCTATTGCTTTCTTTTCTATATATGTGTGTGTATTTACAAAAAAAAAGTATATAAGTGTTCTATCAGTCAATCTAGCTTTCATAGTACAGGCTCTGCTTAGTTTGAAACTAGATGGCGTTGTGTGTCAGATGTCCGAAAATATTATTATTATATCCATGCCTTCCCTTCTTAAATTTATCATCTTAAATTATTTCTACTTCTTTAATTACTAAAGGGATATAAGCGTGACTGTATAATTGTAGGATCGGCAGGTGTTCTTCGTCAAGGGTGAAGCGACCTGTCGCATAGATGTTGCTATTGGTGTCGGTGTGGCGCCGGACTTCGTCACCGTATATAATTATGACGTCAGTATATCAGAATCTACATGAGTTAGGTATAACGTAAGAAGAAACTGAGGTTATACCTAAGCATTAGACACCAATAACAGAATATCAAATAGTTTTTCTTAATTAATATTATTTAACGGGAATTAACGCGATCTCTTACCCTAAATAGGTACCCTAAATAAGAGATCGCGTTAATTCCCGTTAAATAATATTAATTATCATGGAACGCGAAAGTTTAAAAGTTAGTATAGTTTTTCTTAGTACAAGAATGAATCTTTTTTGAATAAAAGTTGAACCGACTTCTAACAATACGAACAAAGATCACTAAAAACCTAGCAGCAATCGCGGTTGATTTGCTGTCATTTTCTGAAGAGTCCGTTGTCTATCTGCGAAACCCATCATCAGATCTATATGAAATTTAAAGGGGACCATTTTGGATAAACCATTTCGGACCAAAAAAAACAATTAAGAAAATCCGTTCATATGTTCCTTTCTAAGGAGAGGCCTATGTCCAGCAGTGGACTGTTAAAGGCTGTTGATGATGATGATGTTCATATGTAACTTATGTCCGAACATACATAAAAAAAACCATCCTAATAGATAACCTCCTCCTTTTTCAAGTCGGTTAAAAATGTTAGCCAAGTAGAGTACTCACATAAAAAAGGTCCGTATGGTGACGGATCTGTGTTTTTAGACAGAGTATAAATATGTATATATAGTCACCACCCCTATTCATCCCGTGGGTGTCGTAAGAACCGACTAAGGGAGCAAACTACGCAGGACAACAGCACTGCAAAGAGAAGGAGAACTTGACACAAACCCTATACCTACCCGTCTGGTCAGCGTGGTATAGTTTTTTTTAAATTATTTTAGAGGGGGCAGACGAGCAGAGGGGTCACCTGATGGAAAGTGACCAAAACCAAAAGTTAGGCAAAAACACACCCCTAGCTGGAGTGAAGAGGAGTTAAGATCTTCCGGTACCCACATTTAGACAGTCGGCTTAGTAGGCCAAAACCTCCTTTCTAGGGAAAGGGCTATGTCCAGCAGTGGAATATTAAAGGCTGTTGATAATCATGATTGATGATAATATAGGTTCAACAATACACAGCAAGGAAAAGAAGAGACGGGGGAACTAAAATGACATTACTTTTACCTTAAACATATATCGTACATCCGTCTCCCGACCTTCAGCTGTATGTCGTGAATGGTGTCCCTCAAGGCCTTAGTGACGGCGTGGCCCCGGAGACTCTCCACGTTGAAGTTGTTGGTCTTCGCCGGGAATATCATGAAGGCGATAACTGTCATATCAGATCCTGAAGACTGAAGATATAAAAGATTTTTAACACGAGCACATATAATTAGGGAATTATTTGCTTGTGTTTATAACCACTGGTCTGCTCCTAAGAGTCAAATTACCTATAACCTTCCTTAAGAACATTTACTAATGGTCCGTGTGGTGACGGATTGAGAATACAGAGTGTCACCACCCCTATGAAAACTACGCAGAACAACAGCACTGCAGAGAGAAGGAAAACTTAACACAAACCCAATACCAACCCGTCTGGCCAGCGTGGTGTAGTAGGCCAAAACCTCCTTTCCAAGGAGAGGCCTATGTCCAGCAGTAGACTATTATAGGCTGTTGATAATGATTGATGATTATAAATAGGTAAAGTTTGTGAGTTTGTATGTTCGGGGTAATCTCAGGAACTCCTCGGTTCGAATTGAAAAAGTTTTGTAGTATTGGATAGCCCTTTTAAGTAGTAAAGATATAGGATCTATAACATCATTGTTTGCACTGATGGCGTAGTGGTTAGAGCGGTCATCTCGGCGCTTCCTACTTCGCTGAGTGTTGTAGGTTCGATGCCCAGATAGGACAACACTTTGAGTGATCCACAAACTGTTGTTCTGAGTTTGGGTGTTCTTTGTGTCCGTTTCATGTATGTTTGAAAATTCACAGACACAGGATATATTTCTAGTGCGGCAGTAGTCTTTAAAAAAAAATATACTACGACTAATAGAACGACTAATAAAAGCCGCGTATCAAAGAAAAATTTTGCGAAAAAGGAATTCTTTTTTTGCTTTTGATAGAAACAGACTAAGTTACGTGGTTTAGTAAGTTGTAATATAAAATGTACAAAAATTGTATTATACGAAGATAACTAGTACTTTCAAAAGTTATGGCGTTCAAACAGAAAAGATAATACTTTGGAATCTCGAAGTTAATTTGATAAAGGAGCCGGAGCCGGAGGAGGAGGAGGAGGTGGGTGGGAGTTTGAGATCTTGTGAATAGTTTAGATGAGTCTAAGAGATTTTTTTTATGTGAGACGAGCAGACGGGTCACCTGATGGAAAGTGACCATCATTGCCATTGACGTTGCAACTCAGGAGCCACAAACGTGTTGCCGGCCTTTTAGGAAGGAGTACGCTCTTTTCTTGAAAGTCTGAGATTTTCTACTTCTGTTTGCCATTACATACTGAGTGAATGTTGGTACCGGAAGATCTTGTCCCTTCTTAACCCCTTTCAAAAGGCGGACCAGACTAATTGTTGTCCCTTTCACCCCCCCCCCCCCCCCCCCCCAACCCCCTTCTAATTTTTACAGTTGCAGGTGTCAGTGAGCGGCGGTAGTCACCATCAGGTGACCAGGCTACTCGCTGTCCCTTCCCCCCCCATCCTATTCTTTTGAGTTGCAGATGTCAATGAGCGGCGGTAGTCGCTTAGCACCAGATGACCAAGCTGCTCATTCTCCCCCCGATTATCCAATAAAAAATAGAGAGGTCTATAAGTTGAGTTTACCTTTAAGTAATGGTTGAGTCTCGCCAACGCCTCAATAAATATATCTGCCCCCTTGTTCCCGAACTCGTACCGACCAGCGATGAAAAAATATAACGTTTTATCCAAATCAAAGTTGAAATGTCTGAAAAGAAAATAATAAACAATAACCTCACACACCTTTCTTTCTTTTCTTTTTAAAAATACTACTCCTGCATTAGGAATATATTCTGTGTCGAGGGGGACTTTACACGGAGTGGGAGTTTTCTCGCTCGATAGCCTGATTGCGGCTATCGTGCGGAGCGAGAGTGCGTGGAGAGGGCAGAGCGGGACCGGGAGAGGTTTAGGACTCTCCCGGCCCGCCAGGCCCGGGAACGGGCCAGGTACCGCAGGCGACTCAGGCGCCGGAGGTCTTCCGTCCTCCGTCCTCCATAAGCGCAGGCCTGGGGGTGACAGGTGAGGCCATCTGTCACCCTAGCAGAAGCAGTCCATGGTGGCGGCGAGCTCATTGCGAAGCGCGCTCGCTTCCAGGGAGCAGAGGAAACATGGGGTTCCCACACGGGGAGGGTCGTCTACCTGTTGTTGTAGATGGCCCGAGGTATGTCGGGGCACCAGGGACTTCCTTTCTAGGGTATACCTGGTTCCCCGGCTATTAGTACCCGAGACGGCGTGCGGTTTTAGTCGGTTCGAGTCCGACATGCCACCGGTGGTATCCGAGGGGATTTCGCACGGAAAAAAAAAAACGGGACTTTACAAACATACATGAAACGGATACAAAGAACATCCAGACTCACAACAACAATTTGTGGATCACACAAAGTGTCGTCCCATGTTGGGATCGAACCCACAACACTCAGCGTAGTAGGAAGCGGCGTGGCGACCTGAGTCTGGGTGTACTTTGTGTCCGTTTCATGTATGTTTGTAAAGTCCCCCGCGACACAGGATATATTCCTAGCGCAGAAGTTGTCTTTTAAAAACAGATAACAACAGCATACCCATAAAAGTGTCCTCTAGCGAACTCATGAATTTTCTCTTTAGCCAAAGCGTGGAGGTTCTGGAACTCGTGAATTGCTGAGAACTTCTTTACATTAAGGCCGTTGGGTGTGATGATGTCCGGCTTCCGTTTTAGGAGATGTTCTGCTTCATATCCTGGGAATAGTAAATAAATCGTTACGACCATATTTAGTATAATATACCTAACACATGTCACACACGGCCGTCTGATCCCAAACTAGGCAGAGCCTGTGCTGTGGTAACCAGACAGCTGATAAACATACTTATATATTTTTAAATACATAAATATTATAAATAAATTACACCCAGACTCAGAACAAATGACCGTGCTCATCACACAATATTTGTACTGGGTGGGAATCGAACCTACGACCTCCGGCTTAGCAGTCAGGGTCACTAACTACTACACCAACAGGCCCGTCAATTTAATCATACGCAAGTTAGCGCACCACAACTCTATAGGCCGTACGTAAGAACCTACCCCCCACCTCAATTCTGGTTGAGGGGAACCTAAAGGGCAGAATCGCACTTTTATCTCTTCAGTAGAAGCTGTCCATGGGCGGCGGTATTCACTTACCATCAAACGCTTCAATCAAATTTCAAAAAAAGAGTAAAAAGAAAGCCAGGGAACTCTATTTCGAGCAGAAATTATAAGAGTCAGTGTGTCTCTCACCAGTGATATCAGAAACAGTGGTAAATATGTGTGTCATGTGAGCAGCAGCTCTTTCCATGCAGTAACGGTGATAGATCTGGCGTTTGCCAGCCTCCTCGTCCACGGAGAACTGGAAAGAGAAAGAGACATGAAATAGGATTGTGGCGACTCCCACATACGAAAAAATAGAAACACACTTCAGAGCCATCTAATGAAAACACACCGAACTACGAAGTAACTACTGAATGACAATTGCTAATCCTGTATCACTATATGAAGAATTCTCTCGACGATTGGCATATATACAACTTCCCAACATTAACCGTTGGGCCGTGACCCGCCAGGCATGATCACCTCGCCTGGTAGGAGGATCCTCCTTTTGTGTTGGAGGGGCATGACATCCCTACCGTTGATGTTGGGATATATATGTCAGCGAGAGAATTCTTCATATCGCGATACAGGATTAGCAATACTCATTCGGGAGTTACTCCGTAGTGCGGTGTGTCTTCGTTAGATGGCGCTGTAGTATGTTTCTGTTTCTTTGTATGGTGGAGTCACCACACTTAGGGTAGTTCGGTACGTCTTCGTCAGAAGGCACTTGATGTTTGAAAGTAAAAAATATATTATTACGACTAACCTTATCTAAATTGTTATAGAAATCTATGTTGCCAGCGCAAAGATAGCGTCCAAGCAGCGTGGCGTGGGTTGTAAACACTGTAGCGACATCGATGTGCCGGGTCCTAGAAATATAGAATAACAAATTGTCTATGGTTAAAATAAATTACTTAAAAATCTATTACAGACTAGCTGAGACCCGCGGTGTTACCCGCGTTTGTTGTTATAACCGCGGGCAACGCCGCGGGGCGAAGCTAGTCTAAAAAAAGTAGCCTAAGTTACTCCTTATGTCATCAGCTATCTGCCAGTGAAAGTCCCGTCGAAATCGGTCCAGCCGTTCTAGAGATTACCCGGAACAAACAGACAGACAGACAGACAAAATTTAAAAAAAATGTTATTTTGGCATATGTACCGTGTAAACATACATATGCATTTAGTAAAAAGCGGTTATTTTAATATTACAAACAGACACTCCAATTTTATTTATTCGTATAGATAGAAGATAAATACATAAGCGTAATTAGGAAACTAAGTTATAAGATTTAGACACGACGGGGTTTTTTTACCCAACTGCGGCAGAAGGAGGGTTATTTTTCGAGTGTATGTATGTATTTTATTTGACATAATACATAACCTAAACGCCTGGATAGATTTTGGCTTGGAAGGTGTCGTTAAATTCGTCTTAATTGCGAGTGTGACACTGGGTATATGTAACATTTTAAAAATTAAATTCGCCTGTTTTTAAATCTTAATTACCCGTACTTTTTCAAGTCGTTTTTTTTTTCAATAATTACCTTGTTCGAAGAGTAAACCATCCTTCTCTGAGTATATTAGCTACTAGCTATTGCGTACGGCTTCACACGTTAATTATTACCTATTTCTAACTTTGAATATAACGAACTACGATACCGTTCATCACTTATTTCACCCCCTTAAGGGGTGGATATTCCCAAAATCCTTTTTTAGTGGGTGCTTACATCATAAAAGGCATCAAATGCAAAAATTTCTCTCTCAAAAGGCTCTGCGTTGATAAATCAGTCAGTTATGACTGCACGTATAGCGTAGTGGTTTAAGCGGTCGCCACGCCGCTTACTACTACGCAGAGTGTTGTGGGTCCGATCCCTACATGGGACGACACTTTGTGTGATCCACAAATTGTTGTTCTGAGTCTGGGTGTTCTTTGTGTCCGTTTCATGTATTTTTTTTAAAGACAACGCCCGCATTAGGAATATATATTCCTGTGTCACGGGGGTTTACAAACATACAACAATTTGTAGATCACACAAAGTGTCGTCCCATGTGGGGTTTGAACCCACAACACTCGGCGCAATAGGAAGCGGCGTGGCGACCACTTAAAACACTACGCCATCCGTGCAGTCATGTATGTTTGTAAAGTCCTCCGCGACACAAAAACAACAAGTCAGGCCAAGGCATTTTATATGTATAGATTGAAGGTACAGGGGTACAAACCTGACCAGAGTTCATTCTTATTACCTGAGCAGGATGAGGCCGATGCCAGCTTGCCACTCATGGAAATGTGCTACAACCCGAGGTGGAGTATCACTGTAACCTTCAGCTGCTTTGCGAAACTGAAAAAATATTTGATCACTTATTAGTTATTACTGTGGCAAGACCGGCGCTAAAATTGACCTATGATAACATCTTTTTGTTTTTTTACGTGTAGAAACCGTCACCTTATCGGGGTCTGTGGCGGGTGGTGTGTCGGAATCGGAACGATTAAAACCACACGGTGTGCCACTCTGCGCCTGTAATAGGAGGGATCCGGGAACTGCTGTTATTAAGACATCCGGACCCCTCCTATGATAACATCTACTGTAACCTAGTCGAAATATCAGTTGAGAGTATATAAATAGTTAATTGCCATAATCGTTACAGTATTAGTAAGACCGGGGTCCCTAATTATGGAGCGAAGCGACTAACCACAAGACATTAGCCGGAGGTCTTGGGTTCGATTCCCACCCAGGACAAATATTGTGTTATGAGCACGGTAATTTGCTCTGTGTCTGGGTATACTTTATCTATAATATGTATGTATTTGGCAATATATAAGTATGTTTATCAGCAGTCTGGTTACCATAGCACAGGCTCTGCCTAGTTTGGGATCAGACGGCCGTGTGTGAGGTGTATGAGTTATTATTATATTATACTAGTTGACCCGCGCATCTGACTGCCTCGATGGCGCAGTGGTAGCGTATGCGAATGTTGTTCTGAGGTCTCGGGTTGGATTCCCGGGTCAGACCAATTGTTTATAGGCTCTGCAAATATTTGTTTCGGAGTTTGGGTGTCTTCTAAGTATAATATGTTTGTATTTACAAAAAAAAAGTATAAGTATTCTATCAGTCAATTTAGCTTTCATGGTACAAGCTCAGCTTAGTTTGAAACTAGATGGCGCTGTGTGTTAGATGTCTAAAATATTATTATATTATTATCTTCATCTGCGTCTCTCAAAAGGAACAAATTTAAACCGCTTTGCACTTTTTCATAGATTGTCCTATGGCCTATGGCTCCTATTGGTGGTAGCGTGATGTTATATACCCCTTGTCGATAAATGGATTATCCAACACTAAAAGATTTTTTCAATTCGAACCAGTAGTTTCTGAGGATAACGCGTTCAACTAAACAAACAAACCCATCAGATTTATAATATTACTATAGATATCAGTCTTCCTACCTCCCCAATGAGTTGCGCAACCATAAATCCTAGAATAACAGCGTCATTAGCCTCGACGTCCAGGTGTGGGATCCCGATGGAACAGGTGTCCCAGAGCTCCTGCTTGTAGCTGTCCAGCTGCCAGGCGCCAGAGCCAATATCGAAGAGTATGATTTGAGGGTTGCCGTCAACCAACCATGTGCCTGTATGAAGCTGTAAGGGATAAGCAAATATTTTACTTTTAAAACAGTACTATCGACTTCAATGCCTACATCATCATCTCAGCTGAAAAACGCCCACTGCTCGACATAAGTCCCCAAGGTTCGCCACAACAACTGGGCCTCAATTCTGCTATTTTATGTTCACTCCAAGCCACTGTCATACCACTGACACACTATTGAGACGCCATCGAGTGACCATTGGCATCGGTATAAATATCGGTAGTCTACACTAACTCAGTGTCTTTACAGTGGCGATGGAACTGCCAGTAGCTCATCAGTGGTGCTGTTATAAATATATTTCATGCCTACGTCTTAAAAAATACTACTGAAAAAAACTTACCTTATAACCCTGACTCCTCATGGCATTGACGGCAGCGGTGAGAGGTGAATTGGGAGGGAAATCAGCCTCCTCGACCTCCGTCCTCGCACATTGCTCCTTGTAAGGACCAAGGAGGCAATAATTTTCCCCCATTTCCTCTGTCGAAACGTACGCCTTCGATCTGATCACAGTGTAGATCCCACCAACTGAAATGAAGAGTATACACTTCTCTTTCAATCCCAAGTGGTTGATCTCACCACTGAGCTAACAAGCCAAACATTTACAGAGTGTCACCACCCCTGTTCATTCCGTGGGTGTCGCAAGAGCCGAGTAAGTAAGAGTTACGTAGGACAACAGCACTGCAAAGACAAGGAAAACTTGAAACAAGCCAGTGTAGTAAAGTAGGCCAAAAACCTCCTTTCTAAGGAGAGGTCTACGTCCAGCAGAGGACTATTAAAGGCTGTTGTTGACGATGACTCTCGTTTGCATCGCCGTGGTTAGCTGTTCCAGATGCATATTTACTGTGCCCTGCTCCTTTAACATTTTCCTACTCTTCTACCAATTTTATTTCGGGTTAATATTTTATATTTATATATCGTACATTAACGCTAGTGAAGTCGGGCGCATAAGTTTGTGCTTTAATTTCAAGATAGTTTTCAATTAGCCGGCTAGCCATGTTCTTATTCCAGCCATTTTAAAGACTGTGAGAACAGGTATATCAGTTCTCGTCTGGACAATGGATGGGTAAGAAGAATGAGATATATGGTTACAACAAGCGCTATTCACGGAATAAATTCACAATAAATTGCAATTAGGTACTTATTTAAATTTTTCAGTTGGCTTTTTTTAAATCTTTATATATATTTTACAGCGTACAAATTTGGCGCAATGGAGGCATTTCATTTGAAGTAATAAATGTTTTTATGCAGAAGAAGTGCGCAAAGCCAAACATTTTAAACAATATATGATATGTTGACGTAAAAATGGCTTCCTACATTCAATTCAATTCTTTATTAATAAAATATAAGCATCACAGTATACACCAAATCGCTTATATCTATGCTAATTTTAACAAAAATAAACTAAATACTATTACAATTGTAAAACTCAGACCATCAAAAAGAAACAACATAAAATTTGTAAACAAAAACAACCTTACATCAACTTAGGAACTATAAAATTACTCTTTAAAATTTAGATATGTATAAATATGTTTTAAAATTATGTTCTGGGAGTCGAAAAATATATCTGCATCTGGACTATTCTGAAGGAACTCATTGATAAGCCTAATTGCTATAGCAGTGGGGCTTTGGTCAGCCTGGGGAGAGCGCCACGTAGGCGGACAGCACAGGAGTCTATGTTGTCGTCTTCCAACGGCACGCATATATTGGTCGGGAACATAAAAATGTATTGTTTCCCGTACAACAGGGCTATCTACCTTATTCGCCAGTATCAAACAATAATGCATTATATGTGTAGATTCCCGTCTGAGTTGAAGTGTATCTAAACCCACCATTCCTGACACAAACAGTGAAGGATAGAGAAAGGGGTAGTATCCATACTGACGCTTATATAGGTATCTACAGAATTTACGTTGAATTTTTTCTATCATAATATTATACAACGACTCCCGTGGACCCCAGACTATTGCATTATATTCTAATTTACTACGCACATAAGTATTGTATATTTGTATTATAACTTGAGTGTTCTTAAATTGTGAAGATATTCTGATGATGAAACCAAGGCATTTATTAGCGTCTTTGCATATTTTAAGTATCTGGTCATGAAAATTTAATTTGTTATCCATTGTTACTCCCAAATCCTTGATTGAGGGAACACGTTCCATTGGGGCGCCTGCAAGATGATATGTATTTGTAATCGGATTACGGGATCGAGAAAAAGTGATAGTTTTACATTTGGAATTATTAAATGATAACTTGTTTTTTAGACTCCACTCAACTACAGCGTCAATATCATGTTGTAGGGCCAAACAATCCTTAGCTTCATTTACAGAAAGGTACAGTTTGAGATCATCGGCAAACATCAGACATTTTGCATTTAATATAACATTAGGTAAATCATCGAACATGTACTACCGGAACCGATTGCGGTACACGGTGCCGTTCTCGAAGTTGTTCAAAATTATGTGTACCTCGGGCAGACATTGCAGTTAGGTAGAAACAACTTCGAGGACGAGGTGAACAGAAGAATTCGGTTGGGTTGGGCAGCGTTTGGGAAGCTACGTCGAGTCTTCTCATCGTCGATCCCACAGTGCCTTAAGACGAAAGTCTTTAATGAGTGCGTCCTACCCGTCATGACATACGGAGCTGAAACGTGGACACTTACGGTACGGCTGGTCCACAAATTCAAAGTCGCTCAACGTGCTATGGAAAGGGCTATGCTCGGCGTTTCTCTAAGGGATCGCATCAGAAATGAGGTGATCCGGCAGAGAACTAAGGTCACCGACATAGCGTACCGGATCAGCAAGTTGAAGTGGCAGTGGGCTGGCCATATTAGCCGCAGAACCGATAACCGTTGGGGAAAACGAGTTCTTGAGTGGAGACCGCGTCTCGGCAAACGTAGTGTAGGACGCCCACAGGCCAGGTGGAGTGACGATTTGCGCAAGATGGCTGGCAGGAGCTGGATGCGAGAAGCCCAAAATCGATCTAAGTGGCGTGCAATGGGAGAGGCCTATGTCCAGCAGTGGACTGCGATAGGCTGATGATGATGATGATGATGAGGTAAATCATTGATCATTATCAGAAATTGCATAGGACCTAAGGTACTACCCTGACTGACCCCTGATCGAGTATAATATTCTTCCGATTTATATCCTTCTACCTTAACAAACTGCTTACGATCTTTTAAGTAATCTGCCATAAATTTTAATAGAGAAGTTGAAAAGCCCAATACAGAAAATTTGTTTAAAAGTACATCATTATCGACGAGATCAAACGCTTTTTTAAAATCAAAGCATGCGGCGTCTACTTGACAGCCAGACTTAACTCTAGTATTTATAAAGTCTACAAATTCTAAATGATTAGTTAACGTGGAGCGTCCAGGACGAAACCCATGCTGGCAATCATTCAATTGTCCCTTTATTTGTTTATAAATGGCGTTATTGAGGACAGATTCAAATATCTTTCCAAATACACACAATACAGCAATAGGTCTGTAGTTTGTTATGTCTGCGGATGTTCCACATTTGGGTATTGGCGTCACCCTGGACACTTTCCACTTACTAGGGTATAAACATTGTCTAAGCGAGAGATTATAAACATGAAGTAACGGCACTTCCAAAGCTGACAAACAATCCTTTATTAAAAAGGCAGGTATGTTGTCAGGACCACAAGCTATTGAAGCTTTTAGTCGCCGTACAGCACACTTAAGTTCGGTAGCTGTAACTCGTTCAATAGTCACTGTGGATAGGCAGCCTAAACGATTAGCCTCTTCCTCAGCTACCTTTACATCTAACAACGGAGAAGTATCGTGGAACACTGAACTAAAATATTTAGCAAACGAGTCAATGGCTTCCTGGCCTTCTACAACTTGACTTTTATAAGTATATGTTTTTGTCTGCTGCCTATTTTTTCGCTTTTCCTTTATATACTGCCAAAAACTTGAAGGATCTAAACTTATATTGTTTTCAACCTTTAATATATATTCTTTAAAGGCTGTATTTATGAGGTCCTTCACTTTAGTCCTATAGTATTTAAAAAGTTCTTTGTTAAACTCTAAACCATCGCATTTAAACTTTTTCAAATTAAAATATTTTAATTTTATACAAGATATTATTTCTTTGGTATACCATTTGGGATATATATATTTATTGTTATGAGCTATTGTCCTTAAGGGAACTCGTGTACTAATAGCGCTATTAAGTTTATTATATAATATATCTACGGCTAGGTTTACATTTAAATTCTGCTGGTCAAGTAGTTCAGTCCAGTCAATATTAGCAACCTCAGTGTATAAGCCATGTAAATCTGCTTTACGAAAGTTCCACTCCATACTTAAATACTTCCCTGGAGTAAAAGACGAAGGATTGTTCGCTCTTTTAGGGAGTGTAAGTAGTATTTCTAAGGGAGGGTGGTATGCATCCATGGGCACTAAATGTTCAGTATCAGATGACACATTAATACTGTTGGAATCAAGAGTAGTCAATACTAAATCCAAGATGCATCCATATTTATTGCTAATGTTATTGCATTGTTGCAACTTACAATATTCCATAAAATTATTAAATTGAGATCTAACATTATTATTGCACGAATTTAAATTGAAATCGCCAACTATCAGCAATGGATATTCAGTATACATGTTGATAGCGTTTTCTATGCATGTTAAGACATCGAGATATTGTTTACTGCTGTAGCTGGGAGGTAAGTAGACAACACAAACCATTAGCTTAACATTCTTCCTGGTAATAATAGCAAATAATAATTCTTTATCATCAGTTAAGTCATCTACATTTGTAACTTTTTTCACATTATAACAGTTCTTTACTGCCAATAGAACACCCCCCCACCCGACGTCACCTTGACGGTCTTTCCGCAGGACAACGTATTCAGGTGGAAAGAGTTCAGCGTCATTAACAGAGCTATTTAGGAATGTTTCTGTAAGGATGACAAGATCGCTGGCTATAGTTATAGCGTTCTTGTAAAATATAGCAGTTTTGGTGCGTAGACCTCTTACATTTTGGTAATACAATAATATTTTGTTACTTTTTTTTTTATTGGTACAATTCTCTTTGATTTTGTGAACAGTGGTTTTATTTGTAAAAATATTCCTCCCATAATTATTATTATGCAAGAAAAAACTTAGGACACCTATCATCCGGTTTTGTAGTTTGAGGAATAGGTATTGAATACCCATAATAATTGTAATCAGCAACAATATTACACAACAGATCATAGTAGATATGTCTTAATCCTAAATAAGTAAGCTTGCCAGTTTTTAATGAGAACATATCAAAAGAAACTATGAGATTTGAATCATAAAAGTATACATAGGCATAATTTTGAAGCTCTAAAGACAAAAGATTATTAAATAATTCTATATTGTAATTATATATGGGAGCGCCACATATATAGGTAGGTGAACATATAATTATGTTTGTATTAGAAATATGTTGTACGGATTCCCTAATAGATTTTATCAATGCTATATGGTCAGTACATGAAGCTTTAAAATCTATTTCTCCCAACATAATAATGCAATAGTCAATCATACTATAATTACGTAACTTGTAGTTCAAGTTCTGAAGTAACCGTTCTATGTTACAGTTTGGTGACACATAACGAATATAATCAAATTGGTTGAATGTAGCCTCCACAGATTGTAATGTACCGCAAACACTATTGGTTAATATGCATAATTTAGGTTTTTTGCCTTGTTCTTTACGATAGGGAGATGTTTGAATGCTATATGAATATTTCTTCCCTTCAGTTTCAATGTTTGTATCCGTATCGGTCACGCCACCTGTCTTAGTAAAGTTAAGACATAAATTATTATTTTTGGTGTTGTGTAATAGTTGGTCATTCGGTTTCTTAGTTTTTTTAAGAGATGGCGTTACTTCTATCGATTTTTGATCAGATTTTCTTTCTCTTCTCAATTCCTTTTCAGTATCACAGAAATCCAACTTGGATCTCGTTAGACTCGTTCTCCGCTGATTACTGCATTTTCTTGTGGATGTTTCTTGACCTTTATGTGTTAGTTGATCAATTTTTAATTTGTACTCGCTGATTTGCTTTGCCTGTTTGCTATTTTCGAATAGTAGGTTTTCAATCTCGTTTTCTGCGCCTAATAACTTTTCCTGCAGTGTATGTAGTTTGTTTCTCATTTCCGTTATATCTTCTATTAGGTTAGTATTAGTAGCAGGTATGCTTCTATTCAGGAGACAAGACGGCATCGAGTTATTGTATGAGAAGTCATTATCATTGTCATCTGAGGAAACCTCAGCGAAGGCATCGAAAGAATTATCTGTTGGAATGTTAGTTTTACATCTACGAATAGTTATATTGTTCCTTGCGGTATTAGGAGAAATAGGACTAAGTTTTGTGACAGAATTTGTACTAACTAGTGTAAATTGTTCCGTTTTTTCGGTTACTTTTTTACTTAAATTCGACATCGTCTTCAGAATATTATCCATTGTATCCAAAAATAATAAGTATTTTATCCAAAAAATAGTAAGTATTTTATTTTGTTTTTTAACAACCACTTGTAATGGTTATTTGTTACAGAGCCATCTATTGGACAGTAGCAGCAAATCAATTGACTTTCAAAGTTTCGGTTACTAATTTTAGTTCTCTATGCCCTTCTAGATGGCGTATGTGAGCATGGTATTTTGAATTCAAACGGACTTAACACTTCAAATTTGTAAAATAAGTCTGTTTAATATTGTTTCAGTATGTATAGGATTTCACTCATTTAAAAACTTTATATTAAATGTTTCTAATTAGTAGTCAAAGCACTGTACTCACTGGTTTTGTGCAAATAGTCTTTTCTTAGGTGTTCATATTCACAGTACCTTATTTACGTTTATACTTCACTAATAAACTAGCCCACAATACCACTTATAGAATACAGGTTTGTTCACACTTTTATGCACAGCAAACAGTTCTTTGTGGAGGATAAATATTTTTATGAATTATAAGTAACGGAGACAACTTTGAGACGTGTTTACTGGAAGAGCGCCATCTATCTCTTTTTTATATTATTTACTACTAACATAAAACATTATTACTACTAACATAAACATTACTATTTAACATAAAACTTTGAGAGTCCAATATATATTTGACCTGTCATGTTACAAATAAAAACAATAAAAAAACGTTCGAAATTTGAAAGCCCGGCGTTTTCTAGTACAATTTAAAAAACAGCGGTAAAATAATTATCATTTATCTAAGTAGTTCAACAACACTACATTAAACTGTATAAACGGAAGGCTGTTCATATCATTCTATTTTTGAATATTTAAAAAAATTAAATATTATACTTTTTTTATGTTTGACTTTAAGAGTTTTTTTTTCTAGAACAGTGGCTATTCAGGTTGAATAACGTACTTAGCCAGCGCCATTTTGATTTGTCTCGATTTTTCAGACATGAATTTTTAATTATTAAACATAAATTCTTTGTCGACTGGTAGAGAATGTCAAAAGCCGTAACGTTTAAAACGTCTCTGATTATCCTTTTAAAGAAATAGGTTTGAGTATTTGTCTTTTTAATGTATGTTTTAAGCTTTTCGATAATACCTTGCCTAGTAGGATTTTTTAAGTAGGTAATTAGTACATATAAAAAATTGACTGACTGATACCTCAACGAGTCTAAATCACAGGAGCTAGAAACTTGAAATTTTAGCCGCCGATGCTTTTTATGATGTAAGCACCCCTCACAAAGGGTTTTTAAAATTTTTACGCATCAATAAAATAAGGAATGAACGGTTATATGGAAATTCAAAGTTAAAAACAGATTAACAAATTTAAAATAACGCGCGAGCAAAGCTAGTGTATAATATGTAGTTCGGATGAGAATACTATGACTTGGTATCCTGGTCATGACCTGATAGAGCCAGTTCTTTAAAGGCATCGTCTATGATTAGTTTTGACGTGTCCAAAAGACGACGTTAGAAGTTGGATTGTGAAACTATTTTTTTCTCTTTTTGATTCGATCTGCGATTAAGTAGAATTATAAAAGAGGAATAAATAATAATGTGTAATAATAATATTTTCGGACATCTGCCGGACAAAGCTAGATTGACTAATAGATTACTTATATACTTTTATTTCATAAATAACACTAAAGTCGTACGCTTACCTTTATTGGCGACTTCCCAAGCCGTTTCGAAGGTCCATCTGTTCTCACTGCTGGCTGCCTGGCCCTTGTCCATGTAAGACAACAGATCGTGTGTAGATTCAGCGCGGTAGAACCGCTTCGAGGACCTGTCCCGAGACATTCTGACCTGGAACAATTGGATGAAAATATTAATTATTAGCTGATTAACTTTTACGCAAAAATAATTATTTTTTGAAAGTATTACTGATTTCAGGACATCGTGATGAATTTTTATAAACGGTATTATTTATTTCTTAATTTTCACCCTTGGTGGTGGATTTTTTTATTCAAATTTCAATGAGACCAAACGGTAAGTACCCTTTCAAATTATAAAAAAAAATCCAATTCGATCCTGACGGTGTTCTGAGGTAACTAACAAAAAAAATATGCCGCCGAAAGAGAAAGTCCTTTTTTTGTTCAAGTCGGTTAAATAAAACAAGAAAATATAGTTGCCTATGACCCTTGAAATTTCAGGATTCAAGGGTCTGCATTACCTACTGATCATTGTAATTTCCAAACTAAATAATAACATACATTTAAGACTACAGAAAGAACCCCAAAAATCAATGTATGTACGAATAATAACATTTTTTAAGAGCGGTTCCGTTCATTTTTAACCGACTTCAAAAAAAGGAGGAGGTTATCAATTCGACTGTATTTTTTTTTAATGTTTGTTACCTCAGAACTTTTTTCTATGGTATAATGTCTCCTTAGTATTCAGAATGTAGATATGGAGGATAATTTTGGGTAATTTAACACTTCATGTGAAGAGGTGCACTACAGACACATTTAGACACCAATATAGAAGTCAATAAAGTTTTATACAATACTACTACTACTACTACTGACCCTTGAAGGGTCAGTAGTAGTAGTAGTAGTATTGTTGTTTTGCTATTTACATATTTTTTTTTTTAATTTCTTAAAATCCGTTCTTAGCTGACCTCTACTCGGTGAAAAGAATATTCCTACCAAATTTCAAGTCTTTATCTCTAATGGTTCCAGAGATATCGTGATGAGTGACTATATACGTGGAAATCACTTATATATATAGATAGATATGTATATAGTAGTTACAAATCACACGTACATATTTATTTAATTACTAGCTGAGACCCGCGGTGTTACCCGCGTTTGTTGTTATAACCGCGGGCAACGCCGCGGAGCGAAGCTAGTCTAAAAAAAGTAGCCTAAGTTACTCCTTATATCATCAGCTATCTGCCAGTGAAAGTCTCATCGAAATCAATCCAGCCGTTCCAGAGATTACCCGGAACAAACAGACAGACAGACAAAAATTGTAAAAAATGTTATTTTATGCATATGTGCCGTGTAAACATACATATGCATTTACTATCTTTTATATTTATATCTTCTAATATATAAAATTCTCGTGTCACGGTGTTAGAAGTTGAACTCCTCCGAAACGGCTCAACCGATTTTCGTGAAATTTAGGATCGGTCTGAGAATCGGCCAACATCTATTTTTCATACCCCAATTTTTTTTTTTGCCAAAAAAATTTGAAATAATGTATATGGCAAAACAACGTTTGCCGGGTCAGCTAGTATATATATACTACTTTAATTTCTTCTTTTTATCTATTTCCTAACACACCAGCCATTACCCTGTACCTCTTCCCTTTCATGTTTCTCTCCATACCACGTTTTCCTGTAAGAGATTGCCTCTGAGCGATAAGGCCGCCATTTGTACTTGTCTAACCTAATTTAAGTTAATTATTGTATACTAGCTGAGACCGCGGTGTTACCCGCGTTTGTTGTTATAACCGCGGGCAACGCTTCGGGGCGAAGCTAGTCTTATCAGCTATCTGCTATATATATGCATTTAGTAAAAAGCGGTTAATTTAATATTACAAACAGACACTCCAATTTTATTTATTTGTATAGATTTATACCTTTTTTTTTTTTCCGTGCGGAAATCCCCTCGGATACCATGTATAGATTTATACCTGGTGTACATTAAAGCGATATATTATAGTTCTACACTTTTTGGGTTGATTGTGTAGCTTACTGGAAGTGGGTTTGTATAAACTAGTTGATCGCGCCATGTGTAATGTCCGATTTACTTAATTTTCACTTAATTTCTTCGATAAATGCATATTAAATATTCTGTAAAAAATATGTAGACTGTGTTACTCTAAAAATATGGAATTTGTTGTAGTTATGTTAATTTTTTTAATTCAGTAAATGATTTTTATTTATTTATTATATTATTCCAAATCAACAAACCCTAACACGTAATAATATTTATTATTTTATTTACAACATATTTTTTTTTTTCATTCGATATTTTAGCTTGAAAAACAACAAAATACAATGTAATAGTATTAAACTGACAAATATTCTAATTCACGGCGTACTTTGCATATATTACCATAACTATTTCAAGATCATTCGTTAATTTGAAAACTTATTATACTTGCAAAGAATATTGATCAGTTCAACCAAATGTCGATTCTCGTAACTTTATAATTCCCAAAGAGACCCACTAACGTGGTACCGTGGTACTAGTCCGTGTGGTGACGGATTAAGAATACAAATTGTCACCATCCCAATTCATCCCGTGGGTGTCGTAAGAGCCGACTAAGGGAGCAAACTAAGCAGGACAACAGCACTGCAAAGAGAAGGAAAACTTGAAACAAACCCTATACCAACCCGTCTGGCCAGCGTGGTATAGTAGGCCAAAACCTCCTTTCTAAGGAGAGGCCTATGTCCAGCAGTGGACTAGTATAGGCTGTTGATGATGTTGATGACCCACTACCAAGCGTACCAAGCTCTCTCTTCCCAAAGGCTCAGCTGAAATGCGAGTACATCGTTTTTAAGTATTGGCGCTTAGGATACGTCAGCCGGTAACCTCACTGCTTAACACCGATTTTCTGTGACGCCGTGGTAACACTCCGGTTGAGCCCGCCCATTTGTGCCGCAACATGGCTTTCCCACGGTTAATTGTTTATCTTTTTAAACTTTCACGAGATTTTCGTCATGAATAAGCGCGCGATATGAGCACTTGGGCATTAGATGGCAAAATTTAGGCTTTAAAATGAAAGGAAGAGTTGGTAAAATTGAACTAATGCTTTCTAATCGCTGTCCTTTTGAAGTAGAAATACTTCATCATATTCTTTATGTATTCCTTATCTTGCTAATATATGTAGATTCAAATTAAAAAAAAAACTGATCAAAATTGTTTTACTGTTATGCATCTGTCCTCCCTACGTGAATGACGTCTTCGTCATAGCCAATTGATGGCGTTGATTCGCCGCAGTGACGTTTGCAGTTGGATGTTATCCAAGACATAAAACTGTTCTTTTTTCTTCACTTCCTGATAAACATTACGCTAGTTTGGGATATTGGATTATTTATATGTCTAGGTTAAGTGTCGCACTACAAAATAAATTGTCCATGTGGTGACGGATTAAGAATACGGAGTGTCACCACCCCTATTCATATCGTGAGTGTCGTAAGAGCTGACTAAGGAAGCAAACTACGAAGGGCAACAGCACTGTAAAGAGAAGGAAAACTTGAAACAAACCCTACACCAACCCGTCAGTGTGGTGTAGTAGGCCGAAACCTCCTTCCTTAGGAGAGGCCTATGTCCAACAGTGGACTGTTTAAAGGCTGTTGATGAATATGTAAGTATGTTCAAAAGCAGTCCGGTTTCCATACCACTGGCTTTGTCTAATTTGGGATCTAATTTGGGACAGTACGCCACAAACTCCTTCCTAAGCAGAAGCCTATGTCTAGCAGTGGACTATTAGGGACTGTTGATGATGACAAAACAAATTAAACAAACAGGTTAAGTTTATTATGCCGGGAAAACGAGCGGACGGGTCATCTGATGGTAAGTGAACTGCCACCCGTGAACTCAAGACTCAAGAGTCACAGAGTACGTTGGCACCATCCTTCAGTCGTAGTCACCAGCGTCCTTCCTCCCAGAAGCAGGAAGGACGGTTTGGGCTCCGACAACGCCATTCACACGGTGAAAAGCATAGAAAAAAGAACAGAGGTAGTCGTAAGGATTGCCGACAAAAGTGAAAACTCAAAACAATGGAATATCTGTGTTCTTTTTTTAAATTTTTAAGTAATTTTTAGTCTGAACGTCATGAACACAGGCCGCTATACTTCGCGTCGCTAGTCTGGCTCAATACGTCACGAGCATGTCGAGGTCATAGTTGACGCGAATCCATTAGTTTTTCCCCTACCAAAATTCGCGTAACGCGGCTAAAGAAATCTTCATTTAAAAAAAAACTTTTCATCAGTTTTGGTGGTTTTTTCCTTTATGGTGAAAATAAATACCACACACGGATATTTTATAACAACAATATTCTAATAAATAACTGTTTTAATCGTAGTTTTCAAGTCCAAACAGCAATATACGACCTACATTTTATAACGATTATCTAATCATTCATGAACACGCAGATAGACAAAAATTGTTTATAATAATACTTCACATAGTCTTGAACTTAACATTTTATCTATTGAGATAAGTTAGTGCGGCTAACAACGCGTTGTTATTACGTTATGTCAATTATAGTAATTTCTTATCGGTACACACGATATGTCTTGTGGTAGAGTATTGTACTTACTTAATGAATAATTGAGAAACTATACACATGTATAAAACAACTTGCCGTGATTGACTGATTATTAAACGCAGAACCTAAACCGCTGAACCTACAGACCTGAGATTTTTGCATCTTATGCTTTTTAACCGACTTCAAGAAAAGGAGGAGGTTATCAATTTGACTGTATTTTTTTTTTATGTTTGTTACCTCAGAACTTTTGACTAGGTGAACCGATTTGGATGATTCTTTTTTTTTGCCAAACGGGTTGGTATAGGGTTTGTTTCAAGTTTTCCTTCTCTTAGCAGTGCTATCGTCCTGCGTAGTTTGCTCCCTTAGTCGGCTCTTACGACACCCACGGGATGAATAGGGGTGGTGACAGCGTGGTATAGTAAGCCAAAACCTCTTTTTTAAGAAGAGGGCTATGTCCAGCAGTGGACTGTTAAAGCCTGTTGACGTCATGTGATGTGACCCACTAAGAAAGGAAATAAAGGATGAACGGTTGTATAAAACTTCGTCATTTTAATAAAGACCAAATACAACTTAATCTAGCAAGTTACGAGCAATACCTAGTAACATAAAATACTCCTGTTTTTAAACATAATAAAAATCCTTATCACACTTAGTGATTAATCGACTACTAGTTTCTTCCGCATCGACAATCATGCGTAGAGTGGTTGCTTTCGTCGTGGGAGAGCCATGATTCGACACATATTGGCCGATTCTACTGAAGTGATACCACGATACCACAAGTGATAGCTGTCATAATGGTATGATTGTAGCCCCAGCGATTTAAACTCTGCTTTGATGATCAGTCAGTACGTATTAATTATAAATTATTAGATAATGGTAACAATAGATACACACAAGTCTTCAACAGAAAGTACCGTTTCGACATCATGCAAATACTTGTAGGAACTCTTACGGAACATCAAGCCCTAAATCGACAACTATTCACCATACATGAGACAAATGGCCCTCTTTGTAGAAGATGTCTCAAAGCAGAAGATACAGCCACTCACATCATCATCATGAACAGCCTTTAACAGTCTACTGTTGGACATAAGACCTCTCCTTAGAAAGGAGGTTTAGGTCAACTATACTATTGTTTCAAGTTTTCCTTCTTCCTTCAGTGCTGTTCTGCAGGATTTGCTACCTTAGTCGGCTCTTAAGATACCCACAGGATAAATAGGGGTGGTGACACTCCGATTTACATTTAACGCAGAGAAGTATATTAGAGTAAACGGTCAATAATAGTTACCATTCTATATCAAAGTGTTCAGGAAACTTTGGTTATAATCGGTCTTTACCCATGAAGTTGGCGATTTTTAAAACCACCATATTTAGATTTTATTATCTGAGGATTGTGCAATTCGAAATTAAAATAAATTTTATTCGAAAGCCATGTTATTTTAATTTAAAATTCAGTCATTTGTTTTAGATAGTGTTTTCTTTTTGTGAAATTATGGTAGTTTTTGGCGGCATGATGGATAAATTGAAAATACATATCATTTTCGAATGTGGAAATACAACACGAAACGTTAACGACGTCTACGGGCCTAACACTGTTTGCATTAACACTGTCCATTATTGGCTCAATCGGTTTAGGTCTGTAAATTTCGAGTTGAAGAACGAGCCGGTCGGTCGGTAACTATAGTCGACAACGACGAATTAAAAGCAATACTGGAAGCGGATCCAACTCAATCTACGGTACGGCTAACCTTGCTGCGGCGTTTAGATTTATTGTAAAAACAACATTGAAACCCTTGCGTCAAATCGTAAAGATAAAAAAGGTAGATAAGTGGATGCTACTAAACGACCATCCGCGAGATTTACTCGTCGAAGCATGCACAGCACTACTGAATCGGTATAGAAACGAGGGAATTCTGAATCGAATTGTTACCTGTGATGTAAAGTGGATTCTGTATGACAACCGTAAGCGTTCGTCTCAGTGGGGGGACCCAGGTACAGCACCTAATCAGTGCGTTGAAAATAAGATTACCCATAGGACGATAATGGTGACTGCCTGTTGGACCAGTTTTACATTAGAGCTTCTTGATGAATGGCACGACAGATGTCTATTGCCAAGAAACGCAAACAATGACGGAGAAGCTCGCAATTCAGCAACCACGACTGGTCAATCGCTGTTTCCTATTGCATCGCACGCGCGAGCTCACACTTCACGACAGACCATCGCAAAACTACAGAGTTATAGCTGGAAGCCCCTCCGTCATCCACTGTACTCACCGGACCTTGCCACAACAGATTTCTAAGTAAAAAAAAAATAGTGGGAAAAAATTAACAGCCAAGAGGAAGTACAAAAAGCTTTTGCTGACATCATCTCGCGTCCAGCAGACTGCGTCAAACACACTGCCATCAAAATGGCAAATTTGTATAGATAATTTGGGCCAGTACTTTGATTAGATAAAATAATATATAATAACCAATTTTTGTTAATAATATTTCAAGATTCTGCAATAGAATAGGACTAATGTAAAAGAATTTTTGGAAAGTTCTTGATTTTCAATACAATTTATAGGTGGAAATGAAATGCAGAAGGACAGCAAAAATGCTGTATAGAGAACCTACATATGAAGTTGATGGATACTAGAGTAGCACATGAGCAAAGAAATAAGAACTATGTGAAAGAGGAAAAATTTGAAATAATTTGTTAACAGTAAAATGATGAATAATAAATCAGAATTGAAGCACAGAACATATTTACCAAAGAAAATTGATATCCATATATTTTGTTCAAAAATATTGTTTTTTTTTTAATTGCAATTTATTCAAGCTAAACTTTTTTGCAAGGGATTTTGTTTGTAATGTTCTTTACTTTACTTACTTGTTTTTGTTTTTTTCATCTTGTGATTAATAAAACAAAAACAAGTAAGTAATTAAAGTAAGTAAGCTTAGACTTCATTTTGAATAGCCAAAATATTCTTATAGGTATTCACATTACCACTCAACCGGTGCTGTGCAGTCGTACAAATGTAAATAATATGTATTATAAAAAGACTACAGAAAAGAAATTCAAAGAAGAATTTACTAAGAATATTTTGTTTTACCATTAAGGTCCTTAACAATTACCATAGAGTTTAATTAATTTACCATTACTTTATGCTTTTTTTTTGTTTGACTGTATGTTTTGGTTTGTTTTTAATATTGTGTTAGAAAATTCCAGGTACTTAATACATCAATAATGGCATGAAGTAATTAAAACAAGAACCAACTAAAACCATAAAGAATCTGTTATGTTTTGTTTAATATGTACTTTTGATAGTATATATTGAATAATATTTTAGACTATTCTGTCAGAGATATGCAGATCTATATATTTATATATAAATTTATTATATCATCTTATGGTAACCCTGTCAAAATATATTTCTTCATCATCAGCCTATCGCAGTCCACTGCTGGACATAGGCCTCTCCCATTGCACGCCAATATATTTCTTATTAGAATAGATTTTACTTAAATATATTTAAAACAATAAGTATTTAGAATAAAATATGAATTGATTTTTTAAATAATTAAACATCAAATATACCTTACTATAGACATTTAATAAAAAAAGAAAATAATATTTATGAAATTAATTATAGCCATATAATATAATAATTGTGTAATATAATAATGTTCAAATATTTCTACTATTGTATATTATTGTAATATTTTATACAGAGCGAAAAAAAAATATTGTAAAGATGTTTGATTCAAAAGTTTTTTTTAAGTAACATGATCTGTTTTTTTTTTAATTTATAACAACTATCATGTATTTAACCTGTCTATAAATTTTGTAAATCGAATAGGCACATTTGAAACATCTTTATTTACTTTAAAAAAAACAAGTCTACATTCAAACATGTTAATAAAATTGATGTCACGGAACTTTTTTTAATTTTCGAATGCTACATATTTATGACAGAAAAGAGATCGAACGTCATAGTATTTTTAACCACGGAAACGTGTCTAAGAAAATAAAAAGAAATAAATACGTACGGTTGAAAAAAAGTTACGGCGGTATGACGATCACGAAAACAAACACTTTTATCACTTAAAATTGCACTGAAAACTTGTGTTAATGAAATATCGTTCACAGTTTTCTGTTCAGCGAAATTATTTACGGCAGTGTGTCCTCATAATACATGTCTTCGCGGGTAGAGAATATAAATTAAAATAGTTTTTGTAGGTTACAAAACGTCAAACACACGACTTTTGAAGGTCACCTTGAACTGAGAGGTGGTGTTGTCAGATTAACCACCCACCGAATACTTGCTGATAACAAGTTTTCATACATTTCGTTCATTACTTTTAACCTAATTTTTTTAATATATCAATTTATTTAATACTGATATCATCAATACAATAGTTGTATCAACAAATGATGTCATAGCGTAAGACGGTTGGTTTGATACTCTAAGATTTCGTATCTAGTAGCAGCGTGTATTAGAATTGTTTTTATTTAATTGTCCTACTCGACATAGGTTAGGTTAGCTGTGTACTATTAATTCATCTGTGGCTAGTCATTTTATACAAAACTCGCGGTGTTAATAACAAATGGTTTTATGAAAATGACGAACTTTCATACATCCATTCGTCATCTCCTATTTTACCCCCTTAAGGGGTGAAATTTACAAAAATCCTTATCGGGTGCTTACAACATAAGAAGCACCAGTAAGTTTGTAGCCCCCGCCCTTTAGGCTCTGCGTTGATGAATCCGTCGGTCAGGGCAAGTAATTTTAAATGTATAGACTGGAGATAAACTGCAGGTAACTTCAGTAATAGTCTTTTCAATGAGGTTTATTGATACTATCGGGTAATACCCCTAGGTAGCAAATATATACTTACCAAAAAAAAAACATTGTCCATGCTGTTAAATGACGCTACTTACATGTGGTGGATTATGATAGCATCGTCTAAGCAAGATCTCTTATGGGGCTAAGTGCCCAAACCGCGTTTGAACTAGATTTTTTTGGTAATTTACTTTATTTAAATTTAGTATGTTTAAGTATACCAGTCTGCTCCAATTTCAAGTACCTGCTCCCTCTTACAATGTGATGGTTAGATCGATCGAACCGTACAATATCAAATCAATACAAGATGGATGAAGTGGCGGCAGGTAATAATTTGTGTCCAGTTTCCCCTTAACACTGAAAGGACAAATTTATAAAACTATCATCAGACCTGCCGACCTGTGTAGTTCTGAAAGTTGGCCCATTAAGAGAACGGATGAGAGACGCTTGAACGTAGACGAAATGCGAATGCTGAGATGGATGTGTGGTATGACTCGGATGGAAATGAGTATGAGAATATACGAAGGAGTCTGAAAGTAGTGCCACTGGATTAAAGTTAAGAAGTAATAGGTTATCTTGGCATGGATATGTCATGCGGTGGCATGAGAAAAGTGTGGTGAAGAAAGTGTTAGGTATGGGAGTTGAAGGGTACAACAGAAGGGGAAGACCAAAGAAAAGGTTTTTTTTTAAGTTTATAGACAACTGTCGCGGGGGACTTTACAAACATACATGAAACGGACACAAAGGACACCCAAGGTGGATGGACTGTGTGAGTGAAGGTATGGCTAGAAAGAGAGTAAACAGTGAGACTGATAGAGTAAAATGGAAGAAGCATACTTACTGCGCCGACCCCAAATAAAATTGAGAAAAGGGTAAGCAGATTATATGATACCCATATTTTAACAAGTATGATGATATGAGTAGATATGGCGATATTTAATTGCTATTTTCTACTACTAAATTATAAACTGCCACAGCGAAAAAAAACAAAATTTTAGAAGACTACTACTTATGTATACCGAATGTCACCACCCATATTCATCCCGTGGGCGTCGTAAGAGCTGACTAAGGGAGCAAACTACGCAGGACAACAGCACTGCAAAGAGAAGGAAAACTTGAAACAAACCCTATATCAACCCGACTGGCCAGTGTGGTATAGTAGGCCAAAACCTCCTTTCTAAGGAGAGGCCTATATCCAGCAGTGGACTGTTATGGGCTGGTGATGATTGACGATTATAGAAGAGCACGGCAGCATTTTTCCATGCTCGAAAGGAGGCTTCAGCAATTTTGATAAACGTGTAAACAGTTACTGAAGAAAACATTTTTCATACGAAGCTCGTGGTTTTCTTTTTTATGGTATAAGGGGGCAAACAGGTAAGCAACTACCGATGCTTATGGTCACCGGCAACTCAAAAGTCACAAGTGCGTTGCTGCCCTTGGAGTCCCTCCCGCTCGAGTCAGCGGGAGGGACTCTCGGATGATTTGGGCTCCGGTAATCTCACTCGCTCAGGGAAAGGCAACGAAAGAATTGCTTAACACCGGTTTTCTGAGGCCGTTGTATCACTCTGGTCGAGCCGGCCCATTCGTGCTAATGCATGGCTCTCCCACGGTAAGTATATACGAGGCGGTGAGCCTGATGTTGTATGTATTGTACATGTGCGGGTAGCGGGATCGTTCTCATGGTTTAGTATATTCTTACTCAATGCGTACTACCCCGACATGGCATAAACAAAGATATCCGCCTTTGACTCTACACTTTTTTATGGCATAGGCCTCTACTCTTCACCATAAACAACACTTAATTCATGCGATGTTCTGATATTCTACACTGATTTGGCTTAGGGATCAGCCAATTACCCCGTACCATAAATTAAAAAAAAAGAATTTTCAAAACTGGTTTGAAAATGACGTAGTTTTGACTTTTGACAGATGACTCTAAAGGACAACATTTTATTTCAAAACAAGGGGATTAAGAAAGAGGAAAATCCAGCATCCATTCTATGAATTTAATTCTTTATTAAACTAACAACTAGTATTTACTTTTTCTAACTGGTAACAATGACACAAATAAAAATAAACGCAACTATATTTTACAATGGTAACACAGTAATTAGATACTTCAAAACTTAATACTTAGGGTCTAAATTCGGTCAGGTGATCACAAGTAACAATTAAATCGAAGTTAATATGTACAGCTAACCTCGACATACGAACAAACATATAAAAATGCGATAAAACACCGTCTTATAAATAAATCCAAAATATAAAAAGAGGTCAGTAGGTTGTATGCGGTCTAAAAGTGGATTCATAAAACTGAAGGTAATAAAAATTTAGTCTGATTTCCGTTCCGATCAACTCTCGATCTCACAATTGTAACATAAAGGGTATTTTCGTAGTCAAATAGTAAAGTATTACTAAGACCAGCAGATTACCGATTCAATTTTCGGTTACAATACGATAAAATCACATTACAGTCAACGTTGGATGTTTAATACTATACTACGAAAGTACCTTTTATGCCATTTGTGAAATCGATAGTAGATCGGAACTGACTTTTGACCGACAGGGCCAATTGGTCAAGTTAAGCTGCGTCAATGGCCTTACGTTCAAATAAACATTTTCTTCAGTCCAGACTTAAAGGTGGACTCCCCTCAAACTCCTCAGCAAAATGATCAACAGTACTATCATTATTTTCTTGGACATCAAAATTAATTTTTACAGGATTTACATTCTTAACATAAGTCCTATTTAAAAGTACAGGACTGGTGCTAACTTCACTTTGAACTCCACACTTTTGGGGAGTAATTTCTATAGTGGTAACATTAATAGAACTGTCAGAAATATTGCGCAAATTATCTACAGTTTTTAGGGTAGAATTTTCGTTGACAGTTTTGATATTATTGTGAATATTAGAATTACTATTACTTGAAATTAAAGGACTTTTATATGAACTACAAGCTTGTTTAGACCTATTTATTATATGTATGGGTGATAAAGGAGGTGGTTCACCATACATTTTTAATCTGGCAATCTTTTCGTTAACTTTTTTCTTCCTTTGCAACATTTCTTCTGAAAACTGACTGTCTTGTTTGAAAGTGGACTCGAAATCTAAACCGGTAAGGTTGAAATTATCATCCATCTTGTTTGTTCTTACTAAAGGAGAATCTATAAATACCTTATTCTTAGACATATTAACATCAGAATTCATACACCTATATGGGGATATATTTTCATTATTTTTAGTGTATGAAAAACTATTTTTAATAATTATACAATCTTGACAAAATTTCCTTCTATCTAATCCGTTCAATTTCTTATTAAATTCCTCTAATATTTTTCTTGCGGCAACATTTTTGGGTGTTTGGGTAAAATACGAGAACTCTGTTACCCGAAACTGAGGGATACTTTTCCTAGTGTTGCCAGCCCTCTTTTGCAAATTCACACACGCCAATACCTGTCCCGTGTCTAAGACATTCTGAAAGCCGAACTTTTTTAAACCGCCCCAGAAATTGGCGCAAATGATATTTTTATCAGAATCGGCTAAGTAGACATTTTGAAATGATTGTTTAGTCGAATCGAATTCCTTAATCGATGGATCGATTAAGAATATTAGACCAACGGTATCGATTTCATTATAATCGGTAGACATAGATGGATTTTGTGCTAAATCTTTTATGGTATACCATTGGCGTTGGAGTAGCTTCGTGTAAGGTTTAAATTTATCAGGTTCCTTGTATTTTGTGGCACTAAAGACCGATTGTCTGCTCGCTGAGATTTGGATTTCCGAATACCTGAAAAAATAAAATAAGTTTGGCTCAGGAAACAACGCTGTATAAGCAGCTTCTTATCTGCTAATCAATAGAAAAGATATTATGTCAGATACTGGGTCTACCAATAGGAATGACCTGGTTTTGACAGCTCATAGCGGCCATGTTTGAAGATGGATTTTTGACGTCTCTTGACATTTGTGTTCAGTAAGGTTTGCCATTTTATCATGTCACGTTTCACTTTAAACCAACGCTTGGAAATTGTCCAAAATTATTAAGCAAATTTCGTTCGTTCTCCTACCGCTGCTGGACATAGGCTTCTCCTTCAAAAGGAGGTTTTGGCCTACTATAGCACGCTGGCCAAACGGATTGGTATAGGGTTTGTTTCAAGCTATCCTTCTCTATGCAGTGCTGTTGTCCTGAGTAGTTTTCTCCTGTCACCATACTTCAAAAGTAAACTCGAAAACATGACCTTCCTTCTGGCGCAGTCGGAATAAAAATATACAAAAATCTTGTGCATTATTGGCTTCTCAAAATTTTGGAATAACGACTTTATTCTACTTTTAATTATATGCTATATTACCTGACCGCAGTAGGGATGACATTCAAAACGTCGATCCAAGCGCCCTCTTTGATCACTTCCTGTATGGCATCATTGGGTTTCCATATTGACATCATACCTAAAACCAAATAATAATATTAACTTCACACATCTCTGTCTGTTCCCAAATTGGGCAGAGCTTGTACTATGGTAACCAGGCTGCTGAAAAACATACTTATATATTACTAAATACATATATGTTATAGACTAGCTGCTAGCTGGACTAACTGGACATGTCCGTGTAGTGACGGATTAAGAATACGGCATGTCACTACCCCAATGAGCCGACTAAGGGCGCAAAACAACGCAGGCCAACGGCACTGCAAAAAGAAGGAAAACTTGACACAAACCCTATACCAACCCGTCTGGCCAGCGTGGTATAGTAGGCCAAAATCTCCTTTCTAAGGAGAGGCCTATGTCCAGTAGTGGACTATTAAAGGCCGTTGATGATGATGATAGACTAGCTGGTACCCGCGACTTCGTTCGCGTGAAATTTGATTCGAGTGCCGCCTTCGTGGATAAGATGCGAAACAGACACAAAAAAAACTGATTTTTAGGCATAGGTATCGTGCAAATAACTGTGTGAGCATGAAAAAACCTGTAATTTTGACATTACAAACAGACACTTCAATTTTATTTCTTTGTATAGATGAATTACACCCAAATGCTTGTTCTGCTCTGTGTGCTTATCATACAAATATTTATCCTGGGTGGGAACTGAATCTACAACCTCTGCCTTAGCAGTCAGGATCACTAACCGCTTGAGCATCAGACCCGAATAAAATTTATGTATATACATACAATTTTATTTAGATACACCTGCCATGTCCCTCACTGAATCTTTCATAGACCGACTAGTCGAAAAGCCATGTTACATTGTGGTTCGTATAAATAACCTTCTTAATCGTAGGTCCTACATCTCTTTTACTTATGGTATAGAAGGGCAAACGAGTACATGGGTCACCTGATGGTAAGTAACTTTCGTCCATGAGCACCTGTAACTCAAGAATCACAAGTGCGATGCCGCCTTTTGAGTCGCCCCCACCCCTCCCCCCCTCACAATGATCAGAGAGAGAAGGAGCTTGGGCTCAAGTTCACTCACTCAGGAGTAAAGCAACGAAAGAATTACTTAGCACTGGTTTTCTATGAGGCCGAGCTATCACTCCGGTCGAGCCGACCCATTTGTGGCTCTCCCACTCTCCCAGGACAAATCTACCTTAGTGGTAAACTTGGCAATTATCATGTTATACCTTTGCTAACTTCAACATTTTCTTCTTTCTCTATCACTCCAGCGACTCTGATCTTCAACAAGCTCACAACATTCCTGTTAACACAAACCCCAGCTTTCTCTATTTTATCTCTTACTCTTGCTTGTATATCTTGGAGAAGACGGTCGCGGTTTTTAGATGTATGGGCTTCTAGCAGATGCAGTTGGGAGTCGGTTAATTGTGCCTGTAGAAAACAAAACAGCAATAAGTAAAATATAGGGCAGCACAGCCCAATTGTTGCAGCGAAACAACCGGTCTGTGCTGCCATAGGTCCAGCAGTGGACATCTTTCGGCTGAGATGATGATGATAATAAAATAAGGTTAATTGCCAAGAGCCTTTACCTCCACATATTCATGTTGAATAGCTGGATTAAGAGCCTGATGCAGAAGGCAATTCTTCTCGAAACAGTAAACCAAGGGGGTTCCTATCTCTGAAACCCCAATCAGTCTGTACCTGATACCGGTGGAACACTACTTTTATATTTTTTTTAGTATATTCTTTCATAACATTATATTGTATAGTTCATTTATTCAGAAACAATAATATAATTGTGTTTGAATGTAACACAATTCGCCATAATACAAAAACATTTAAAAATAAAACCAAAAACATAAATAACATAATAATCAAAAAATAAAACAAATAAATTTGATAGATTTTACAATATGTCATGCAGAATACAAAAAAAAACAAACGATAAATTATTAAGGCCTTTCATGATGTCAGAATATTATTCACAATATTTATTATTATTACATAAGTTATTAAGTATTTAATTGCATATATTTTGATTGATAAATTCATTGATGGAATAATAGTTATTTTCCAACAGGAAGGCTCCAAGTTTTCGTTTAAATAAAGAAGTCCTATAAATTACGCTTTTTATGCTTTCCGGTAAACAGTTAAAAAGTATTGGTCATGGGTTCGATTCCCACCCAGGACAAATATTATCCGATGAGCACGATCATTTGTTCTGTGTGTGGGTGTAATGTTCCTATAATATGTATGTATTTAGGAATATATATGTATGTTTTTCAGCAGTCTGATTACTATAGTACAGGCTCTGCCTAGTTTAGGATTAAATTTTAAATAATAATAATAACTTCTTGTGTGAGCCAGACTGCTGATTAAATACGTAAACATTACTAAATTATAACATATCAAAGATAAAAATCAACGCGATCTAGCGAAGACCGTCTAAACTACGTAGTAAATTAATGATCATAAATCGCGCAACGAACATTTTTCTATTTCTTCCTTACTACAACACTTTATTAATAGCTTTCGTGTTATTTCAAAATAGTAATTTTACTTTAAGCCTTCTTCTTTCTTTCCTATAACTCAGCATGCTTAAAATACTTTACTAATTCTTACTCTAAACTCAGAAGGGTCCTTGCTTTGCTTCATCATCTTAGCAATCTGAGAGCCACTCTCCATGCATGTCCTTTTATAACTATCAGATAAACCTTCAGAATCCTGTGATTCCTGGGAAAATAAAATATTATGTCACACTTTTTTGAATAAGACTTTTATGTGTTGTATTCCGTGTCTCCGTGCCTCTGAGAGCACGTTGCCATATAAATAAATAAAATAAACTTTATTCTGTAAGAAAACACAGCATACAACTTAATATAAATTACTAACTTAATACAACTACAAGAGTGCAACACTATACTACGCTATCTGTGGTCATGAGTATTTAGTTGTCTGTGAGACTGTGATCGTATATGACGTGGCGCTGACGTGGTGATCACTTTTATTTTAGGTACTATGTTTTGCATGTAACCAAGCAGGCCTCTGAATCTTAACCACATAGATAGCTTGTGCGGATGGGAGTTGTACGCTTTGTCCCACAGAATAGGTATATATATATATAGGTACATATGAACATCTGTGGCAATCGTTACCGGTAGTTGTTGCCCTAAAAAGTCCGACAACAGTCTTCTTATGGAACTTCGATATGGCCTAGTACTTGGGTTTTGAAGGTCTGATGGCAGACGTTCCGCGTAAAAAATCTAAGTTTAAAAATCGTATCGTAGTATATCTTTAAGTCTACTTTGCAGCCGATTTGGTTGGGGAAAAGGCTTGAAGAAAAGAGAACTAGGTATTGGACTAACGTATTTTTGGGGGTACTCGATCACATTCAAACCCAACAGCGACATCTCGAAAAATAAACACTGGCACTCCGGGAATGCCGATAGAAGCGAAAACTTTTTTTTTAAATTATAACAGGTTTTTTGTTTTTTTTTTTTATTCGAAAGTTCCGACATGAATGTATATGAATGTTGTGCGTATATACACAATATATGTTTATATTATACATAGTTATATTATCAATTTATTTCAACCCAAACTCAACTAACGGAACCAATATAGGTAGATACTATGTGAAAGGGTCCAGGGGACGTAAATAAAATGGCAGTGGACTGTATTACTGGTAGTTTAATTGCCAGGTCTTAACACGTATATCGAATGTAAGAATGAAATATCAAGAGGTCGGACCGTCCACGGTGTACCAAGGCGAACAACGGCTGTTGGATGTGTGTCCTCGCGCTCCTCCGGGCTCGGTCCCCCACTCGCCCCACACGTCCGGCTAGTCCCTCGCACGGTGCGCTGATGCCCGTTATAGTGCGTTTAGTTAACTCGCAATCGCAACACTTATATACATAGGTGTCGGTAACGGTGACAGTGTCGCGAGTTCAATGGTTTTTTCCCATCTTTAAAAAGCTTTGTTCATTCTTTTGTTTTTTGTTCAAAAATGCCGAACGTGCCAAAAGAAGTTTTCACTTCAAAAAATTGTAAGGCATCCTCAAAATATAAACGTGTAAAAAGCAGACAGGTCACCTGATGATAAGTGACACCTGCAACTCAAGAGTCGTGCCTTACCACCCTTTGAGTGTCCTTTGAAAGTTAAGGGAAGGGGAGCAGGGGGTTGTGCTCTGGTAACATCACAAAATTATGCAAGAGGATCTGCAAAGAATTACCTGATCGGCAAACTCCTTCTCAACTTCTTCGTACAGTTTCTCCATGAATGCCTGTCTCTCAGCTTCTGTTTTCATCTGATGAATATTCTCCAGACGCTCTGATCTGGTAACTGGAAAACATGAATGAAAAATCATTTAAGGTGGTGGTGTTTTTATCCATATCTTTATACATGTTGCAAACAAAAAAAAAGTCAAAATTGTTCCATCCGTTTAAGAGGCATGCTGACACAAAAAGATAAATAGATCCACGAGTAAAACTTATAATTGTGCATCGGGGGTTAAAACATCAAAGAACTCACCAGTACTGCCATCTTCGAATTTTTCAATATACAACGCTGGATAAACCCTGGTGACCAAAACTCGAAGCTTCGATACTTTCCCGCCAATAACTTGAATAGATGATAGTTGGGACGAGATGGTCCCACGGTGATAGCCCAATTTGGCGTCCCACCTGGCTCGGCGGGTTGAGTTCCCGGAAATTTTAAGACGAATGGCTGAAGTATCCTGCAATGTTGAATAAAATATAACTTAAATTGATTTTGTTTCATTTATTTATGCTCTTATAACACTGTCCATGCAGACTTGACATATACGTTACTGTATTAAGAAGGTTTCTTGGCGTGTACATCAAGACTTCATCAAAAATTCAGAAAAAAATAGAATGCTCGTCCGACTTCGTACAAATAAAATCTTCACATTAAAAAACGTGACTTCACGGTTCTTGAAATGACCCTTCATTGGGCATGGAGAGTGCTCCGAGGAATTGTTCGGACTAATACCAGCCGCATTCCGCCATCGTTCCACAAGGCTAAATGTTCATCCTCATTACCTGGATAGTTGACGCTCCACTACTGTGCGCTTTTCAAGACACTTTATGCCCCCCACAACCAATCTGCGTAACCGGTTATCGTCTGCGGTATTTCCGGACCGATACGACGTTCAAACCTTCAAGAAAAGAGCGTACTCCTTTCTAAAAGGCCGGCAACGCGTTTGTGACTCCTGAGTTGCAGACGTTCATGGGCGGCGATGGTCACTTTCCATTAGGTGACCCGTCTGCTCGTCTGCCCCCTCTAATATAAAAATAAAATAAAAATACGCAATTGAACCAACTGCTTTATGTTTATATGTTTATTCCCCTGTCCCTTAGATGGCACTGTAGAGTTTTTGTTGTATGTGGAAACATCATCATCAACAGCCTTTAACAGTCCACTGCTGGACAAAAGCCTCTCTTTAGAAAACATAGATAGTGGAAAAATGATTACTTAAATTAATGAAATCTAATAAAGCAAATAACTTCACCTCCCAAGGTGACACGCCCTGCTCACACCCTATCAACTCAGCTCCGGTGGTCGCAATTTTGCTGCCAGCACAGATTTTACCACTGCACACTATCTGAGTCAACATTTTATCTATCTTACAACGAATGCTGTACCATCCGTCTGTCAAAATTAACTCTATGTTCGAAGATGTGTCGGTGACGCTGCAAAAGATGAAGAAACTAATAAAACTTATATTTTTTTGTGTTAGAGCTGGCTATTCAACTATGGTGATGTTGGTGGAATACGTAGAATTTCTAAAAATGTCTGCACAAAAATAAATGTAATCATTGCTTTTGATGTTTAGAAATGTGCACCATTTAGGGGCAGCATTTCTGTAACATCCTTAATTAAATTGGTTTTATTATGACCTCTGTAAATATCGTCTATTCAATACGTTTAGAGATTAATAAAATGCACGCTATTCAGAAATTCCTTAGAAACTATAATAGTTTTAATAAACTAATACCAAATTACAATACAATTTAGTACATAATCATCATAACCATCTTCATCATATAAGTCCTGGAATCTCAATAACTGGTACTTCCACAAATAGTCATGTTTTGCTCCTTATGTTATTGACCAGGTCCATTTAGTGAACTTCAGAACCGTTTAGGTCAAAATTCATCAGTTCTCTTGACTAGGGTCTGCGTGTAAGGTCAATGCCACTTTAGTTTTCCTACAAGATTTATAAAAAAGTACAAAGTTTGTTTCTGTCTAGCGAACACTTACCTAGATACTAAGAAGTCATCCACGTAAATTCCAACCACACAAAGCGCTATAGTCTTCGAAGGCAAATCATCTTTTTCATAGATCTTTCTCAGAGCAGGCCTTTGCGCATTGTATAACTCTTTGTCATATCTAAATTTTAACTGTTCCGTCACATTTTTAGTCGTACATACTAACAAAGATTTGAATTTAATCTCATAAGAAATCAACTTCCACAATATCAGTTTAAGATGGTTATCTATCCATCCACTTGGTATTAATTTCGCGTTAACAGAATTTAAGAATTCTTGTTTTAGTAAATCGACTGTCATATTATCAGAGGACAAATCATTTCGCTCGTGATTGAATTCGAATTGCAGTAAGTTTTCGAATGTAAAACTACGTAAATATGGATCTATGGGTTTACTCATATTTTTTGACATATTATCTAAATCCTTAAGCGTGAATGTAATGTTCTTTTTATAGTTATCTCTGTAAGAAATTTTGTTATTTTCAATAGTAGATTCTTTAATTGGTTTTGCTATAGGTTTTGGTATTTGTTTTAAGTTATAAGGTACCTCAAATTTCTTTGTTTTTTTGGCCCTAGGACAAGACAATATTGGACTACCAGATCTTTTAGTATTCTTAGGAGATACTGCAAAATCTTCTGTATATAACGTCTCTTCAAAATTATTGAGAACTTGAGTGTCTAGCATGGCATCAATATCATCCTTGTGCATCTTTTTCTCCTTTTTTCCTGTATTTACGACACATTCTTCATCTATTTCGGAAAACAATCTTTTAGATTTCGCCAAAGCTTCTTCGGATACAGCAATAGCTTTATTATTGCCAGTTTGAAAGCCTACATTCAAATTTGAAGGATTAACTGTTACTTTTTCTTCACTATTTTGAATTTCATGATCACTAAACAATTGTTTAGCTTTAACCAAAGACTCCTTAGATACGGTGACTTTTTGATGACTAGCTGTTTGAAAACCTTTAAAATTGAGTCCTTTAGCTGTCGTCAAAGTTTTTGAATCTGTAGTTTTATTTCTTTCTAATTCACAACTACCAATTGCTTTGAGACTTACTTTGTCTATATCTGTGAACAACTTTTTGCTTTTTTCTAAAGCTGACCTTGATATTTCAACTGGCTTTTCACTTGCAGTTTGAAAGCCTTTAAAAGATGTTCCTGTAAACTCATTTTTATTAATAGGTATGTCAAATACTTGTGTACTTTCTTGATTTTCTTGAAGAATTTCTACAGGGTATAGGGTTTTAGCTTTGGTAATTGTATTCTCCACACTAACGTCATCACGGCTGTCTAGATCTTGGAATATTTTTTTACTTTTGGCCAATGCTTTGTCGGAGATTTTTACTTGTTTGTTACTGGCTGTATGAAATCCCACGAATCCAATATTAATGGGAATATCCCCCGTATTTCTATTCTCTAAATCATCAAACATTGCTATACTTTTTTTTGGGCTCTTTGCAAATACTGGTCTTTTAAGAGCTGAAGGTACATTGAAAACTGGACTCGTAGGTATATAGTCTACATGAGTTTCGTTACTAGATGTTTTAATAGAATTTAAGTCCTCTTCTGGATTGTTATCATGTCTTATATTGGAACAGTCTTGCCTTTTCTTATCTATACATTTATTTTTATCTTCAACATTTAATAACACTTTTAGTTCTGGATTCCTATTTACCACCAAGTGCTTAAGCTGAATACTGTTAGTAATTTCTCTATCACTTTTATAAGGATTTTTACCATTACTTTCATCATGTTCTTCAGTTAGATGTTCTTCAAAGTCAGGGTAATCTTTTTTATTTACATTAGGTAGTTTAAAGTCTTTTGAATCTATGTTTTTAAAAATATCTTTAGTTTTAGCCAAAGCATTTCGAGAAATCTGTATATTTTTATTACTTGCAGTTTTAAAGCCCGCACAGCTAGATTCAGTAGAAATCTCTGAACTACTTTTCTGATATTTATAGTTATATGTTTTCATTTCTTCTTCTTCCTGATTCTCTTTTAAAGGTGGTTTAGAAAACTCTGTGTCTATATCTTTGAAAATATTTTTTGATTGAGCTATAGCTTTTTCAGATACCTTTATCATTTTATTGCTAGCCGATTTAAAACCAACAAACCCAAGAGCTTCCTCTGGTTTGATTTCACTTACTTCCTTCCCAGTTACAGGATCATTTACATCTTGTGGATTCTCATTTAGCTTCTCAGAGAGTAAATCTGTAAAATTAATATCACTAAATATGTTTTTAGTATTAGCAAATCTCTCATTAGAAATATCTATGATTTTATTACTTGCTGTTTTAAAACCTCCGAATCGGATTTCATTGTTTGAGTAGTTGCTATCAGCTTTCCCAATTACTTTGCATTTATTTCTTTGCAAAGAGTTTGGATAATCTTTATTTTCTTTTTTAGGAAGTTCCATAGAATCTATGTCGTTAAACACGTTTTTACTTTTACTCCAAGCTTTTTTAGATATTTCGATATTTTTGTTATTAGCTGTCTTAAAGCCAAGAAAACCTGTGCTGGTGGAAGGCTGGTTAAGATTCACTTTTATACAATCTCGATATTTCTCTGTGTTTGACACAACTTTAGGTATTTCCTCAACAGAATCTTTAAAATGGTTTTTAGTTTGAGCTATATCATCATGTGTAATTTTCATATTTTCAGGCTCAGTTTTAAAATTTACGTCTCTCTCACTTGAAGGTTCTCCTTTTTGGTCATTATACACATCGTTGCTTATTTCCTTTACAGAATTAATCATATTTTTATTTTGTGCGCATAATCTATAATCTTTAGAAATATTCATGTGGTTATTATTATTTATTTTAGCATCTATAATAGTTTTAGTTTTATGTGTTTTTACTTTATAATTACCAAGAATTTGTGATAGTACGTTATCATTAATATTATTTTCTTTCGAAATATTTTCATTTGACTTTTCATGGAAGGGCACATCTTCTAATACATTTTCTGTATTATCACAAGCAACTTCAGATGACGTTTTAGTGTTTATTTTTAAAGTATTCGATGGCACTGTAACTGCTTTTTTAACGTTTAAGTCATCCAAAGACATTTCAATATTTTCAAACTCTTCTACCATTTCTTCATCAAAACCTATAACATTATCAACAGGATTTTCACAATATTTAGTGAATTCCTTTTCAGTATCACAAGTATGAAGTTCACTTTCAATATGGTTGTTGTCCTCATCCTTATTCTTTTCATGTGAATCTTCTTCGCCATTTCTACAGTCGAACTTTTCATCCAAATCAATATCCTGAAATACTTTTTTACATCTGGCTAAAGCCCGTTTAGAGAGTTCTATCTTTTTATTATTAGCTGTCATAAAGCCAACTAGGTCACCAGAAGATAATTTTAGGTCTTGATGAATGACTTGTGATAGTTCTGCATTTTGATCCAAATTTGGGGTACATTCTTTCAACATGTCAATTGTCTCTTTTTCTTTAATAGAACTGTTACAATTGTTCACCAATTCAGTTATGGTAATCTCATCACTCGTCACATCATTCAAAATGCTTTTAGCTCTAGCAAATGAATCTGCACAAATCTGTATAGACCTATTACTAGCAGTTTGAAATCCAACATACATAGTCTTATCCAGAACATCTGACTGATTATAAAAGGAGGTTTCTAAAGCACAGGTAAACGGAAGATCTTGATACTCCTTGTGTACAGAATGTTCTTCTTCATCACTACTAAAGAGGATTTCATCTTTTAAAACATCATTGGATTTATCACTTTTATTTTTTAAATCATCTCGAATGTTTTGCTTTGATACCTGATGAACAATCTTTTCTGAATTTGCATTGTCTATTGTAATAATTTCTTTAACTACATCAAGATCAACTTTTTCATCAACAACTCTAACTCTATCTGAATCCGTTAAATCTGTTTCTTTATTCATATTGAAACATAATTCTTTATGTAATATTTGAGAGTTTATTACATGTATCCCCATAGCACAACTTTCCGATTCTAATAGTGACAGGGCCATGGTCTCAAACTGTTCAAACTGATCTAGATTAAAAACCAAAGGAGATGGTGACTTTGATTTTAAAATGTCATTTTTGGTTGTAAATACAGGTGGTCTATCTTTGTTGTAAACATTGTTTGTTTCTGAATTCTGGTCAAACTGACTTTCAGTTTCTGAACTATATTCATCTTTACTATCAGGTTTGTGACTAAAGGTTCGGGTTTTAATTTGATTTCTTTTGAAATTAGTTTTTTTTGTTACTAATACTTGACTTAGTTGTTCCATTTCAATGTTATGGCTTTCTGTATTATTATTAAGATTAGTTTCTGTAGAAAATTCAATATCTTCAACTAAATTATTTAGATTACTAGATTCGTTTTCATTAAACTCATTATTAATGTTTGTTGGTTCTTTATTATGGTCTATTTTAGATGTAAATTCTAATATTTCGTTCTCTGTACTAGTATTGTACATTTCAGTAATTAGTTGTTCTCCAACATCATTATTATCCCTATTCTTAACACTATCATTTAACTGATTGGTCTCTTTAACAGTATCAATACCACTACTATCTACATATTTATCACTTTGGTGTTCTGTGTTAGTGTGAAGGAAAGCCGTTTCAAATTCTTGAGTCATTCCCTGATGAGCTTCTAGAATTTCTGCATCTTCTATTACATTCATAAGTTGGGTATCAGAGATGCATTGTGTGTCAAATTTTGTTGTATGTTTTGGTGGCTGAAAAAAAAGTTTATTTGTAGAAAAGGTTTATGAAATGGTATGGTATGGTAATGGTATGAAATGAAGTCGCTTTTATTCTTGTACACAGATCTTTCAAACTACACAACGATACCCAATAGATAGCTGTGCTTGGAAGATGTGATGGCGCAAGGGTTTCGACGCAAGTTGCGTCCTACACCAAAAGATTACCCATCTTTTATAGCAGCAACAACATAATGTACGGACTCTTCCCAAGGTCTCATACCAGACCGTTGGGTTTACATACAGCTGGAATGCCGGCAGTAACAACAGCATGACGGATAATGTCGTTAATATTCGCATGCACAAGAAAAGCCATGATCACGATGGACATTATCAAGATGCGGAGAAACGTAAGGCTCACCTAACCGAAAACAAATGGCAAGGCGAAATGTGATATCGTCCAAGGTGCCTATGTAATAACATTGATATTTTTCTATTTCTTTCTAGTTTAGTGATTTAGTAATATAAACAATTTTTACCTCTTCATCTACTGTTGGCAAATTATTTACACTAAACGTCGAATTTTTATATTTTTGTAAATATTTTGGTGTTCGATTATCACTTTTTGATGAATCAGCATTTTGTATAGCTTTAAGCTGATGAAATACACTTGATATCACATCTTGTGGTTTATAAGACTGTTCTTTTTGGTTTACAGTTTCCCTGTAAAGAGCTGTTGATTTCTTTCTGTTCTGTTTATTCAAGATTAACTCAAAGCTTTGAACAAGATCATTCATTTTTGTATATAAAAACTTTTCTATAAAGCGTCTTTAACCACTTTTTAAACTTATAAAAACTATTTACATGAAAATAAACAACGCAAAACGTAATAATTTCCCATACAACATAAGCGCGAAATTACTGTCAAATAGTGTCAATGTGTCAAAATCAAAACTTGACACCAGTGCTGCCAACAGTTAACTGATCTCTCCACCAGATTCAGCATCTAATGCCTAGTTTATGTATGCCTCCAAGTCTGTACAAACGTTCGGATGCAATTTACAAGCTTGCGATTGTGCTGTTGTGTTCCAGACAGGCAAACATAGCAGACGTGGTCATTTTTTTTTTCAAAATGTAAACGGTGGCACTATACAAAAAAAAATCTCTAGCCCTACTGCTCAATCAGAAAAAGCATTGAGACTTAATGTTGATTACTGACTGCTCAACCACAATATTTGTAATATCAAATTGAGCACAAGGGAACAAGCACGCGCCAATGTTTAAATACGCCGCAAACGCTTGCCGCGAGCTTTCTTTGATCTGTGTTCAAAAACCGACACTAGTACCAATCGACGACAAAATACGCGAGCCGAGGAAAACACCCCGTTTACAAGCCTGTGTTTGTAGACATTTTTCGAGGTTCGAAATGCGTGTGAACGGCCTATAAAACCACCAGATAAGCACTAACAAAAAACGACCCTACTCTAATAAATTTTGCCGTTTGGAATGATGGAAGGAAGTACTCTAATGGTTATATACTATAGTATGCATGATTATAGTAATTATGTGTTTTGATTTTTTTTGAAAAAACATTTTTAATGAAATTCTATCTATGCACATTTTATTGCTCGTGACTCCAATAGTTTGCAAGCCATAGAATAATGGTTACGTCCTCGAAGTTATAGCCACATTATTGACATCTTTCTCTACTCCGAAACCTCTTCCTCTCTCTAACTCAAAGCCTACATCGTCCCATTGCCTAAAATTAATTATCCTTCTCTTCCTGAGTACTTCTATCTAATCCCCATCCTTCCTTTTCTATCCAACGTTCTTGAGGTTTGCGTACACAAGCAGTTCTCATAGTTTATATTTCAACAGCATTTCCTAAGTCCTCTACAATCTTACTATTACTACTAAATCACAAAAAAAAGTCACCAGCCACTAAGAGCAAAATTTCGCCACTAAAAAAGATGGTCGAAAACACCACTTTTAGTGGAAAATCGACTAGGTTGGCAACACTGATTGACACACTGACACCAATGACAATATAGGTAATTGTTTATTAAGTTACACAGATTAATTTGTTTTGATAGGTTCTACAACAACAGGGTAAATTCCTATGGTCCATCTTATCTAAGAGATACCGTTTGACGTTTCACACTTTTCAAACAACTTTGAATAGGCGTGACTCACACAATTTCAACAACCTTTTCTGTAAAAGCATGGATTTATGTAACTATTTTTATTTTAGCGCAAGATATACAATTCTAAATGACTAAATTTAAATTTAAATCTTTAAAGCAAAATAACCAACTCATACATAATAGATGTTTTTTTTTCAAACTTCATTTTAAAGTCACGTAGTTAGGTCCTTTACCGTAGTCTTGTGGCTCTACAAATATACTTGAATACGAATAATCATTAAAATGTACGAAAAATCGAATTTATTAAAAACGAGTAATTTTCAGTCCAGGTGTCTTAAAGTGTTTAAAAATACTTAAAATCGCTCGTGTCAAAGTCTAATATGTACTAAGATTTACTAGAAAAACTTATGATATGATAGGGATTAGTAGGTTATTTCGATAGATATGTTGAGATAATTGTTGGTTCACACAGGCCTCAAGGACTTTAGATAGGAGGACCCGAGCGGGAGGGACTCCAAGGGCAGCAACGCACTTGTGACGTTTCAGTTGCAGGTGTCCATCAGGTGAGAAAGGGGAAAAAAGGGGAGAACGGAGATAGGGTGAAGGTGGTTAAGAAGTGTAGGATTCTGGATCTTGGGAAGGGGAGTGAAGAATGCCTTTATGCCACGCTGAGGAAAAATCCCCAAGTCAAGCGAAAAATGTGTTAGTAAAAGCGTCAAGCGTAAAAGTATAGGAATGATCATGCGACGTTTAATGTTATCATTTCCCATTGCATTGGTTGATCGGCCAGGACCTGTAACGTTCGACATTTGATTTGGCGATCAAACTACGATGATGAGGTGAAATGACAGTTAATATCATAAAAATCAAAGGTCGAAGGAAGGTTATGTTTTTCAGACTTGCCGATACCTAACGTTCCCAGGAACCTCCAGATACTTGAAGCAATTTTGCAATTAAGGTTGTTAAGAATATGGCAGCGTTTAGCTTTACATACATCTTGTTACACCGATTTCTCGCAACTCTGTAGGTAAGGCTCAGTTTTCGTTTCAGCGGTTTCTCTGAAATTTCCAATAAGCCTTGTCTCTGCGATGCATTGCCTCTCGAATACCTACAATTAACCAAAGGGCCAGAGGACGCTTTAATTTAATTTTCGTGACAGGAGCGTGTTGGTCGTAGAGATTTGTTAACATCTTGTTAAACAAATGGTTTTCAAATTTAAATTTGAGGAATCAAATCATTTCATGTTTTTTTATAGTTTTCTTGTCTTCAAACCAAAAGCAGATAAAAATGAATGGACAATTAATAGCAAGATATTACGTCAGGACTTCGATTTTGGGCTTCTCGCATCCAGCTCCTGCCAGCCATCTTGCGCAAATCGTCACTCCACCTGGCCTGTGGGCATCCTATGCTACGTTTGCCGAGACGCGGTCTCCACTCGACAACTCGTTTTCCCCAACGGTTATCGGTTCTGCGGCTAATATGGCCACCCCACTGCCACTTCAGCTTGCTGATCCGGTACGCTATGTCGGTGACCTTGGTTCTCTGCCGGATCACCTCATTCCTGATGCGATCCCTTACAGAAACGCCGAGCATAGCCCTTTCCATAGCACGTTGAGCGACTTTGAACTTGTGGACCAGCCGTACCGTAAGTGTCCACGTTTCAGCTCCGTATGTCATGACGGGTAGGACGCACTCATTAAAGACTTTCGTCTTAAGGCACTGTGGGATCGACGATGAGAAGACTCGACGTAGCTTCCCAAACGCTGCCCAACCCAACCGAATTCTTCTGTTCACCTCGTCCTCGAAGTTGTTTCTACCTAACTGCAATGTCTGCCCGAGGTACACATAATTTTGAACAACTTCTAGAACGGCACCGTGTACCGCAATCGGTTCCGGTAGTACATGTTCGTTGAACATGACCTTGGTTTTATCCAAGTTCATCCGTAGGCCGATGCGTAGAGAAGTGTCAGCTAAGTCATTCAGCATTTGCTGTAGGTCCTGCAACGTCTCTGCCATGATGACGATGTCATCTGCAAATCGCAAGTGAGAGATGTATTCGCCATTGATATTGATGCCACGCCCTTTCCAGTGCAGCGTCTTGAACATGTTCTCCATTGCATTTGTGAACAATTTCGGGGAAATAACGTCCCCTTGTCTCACGTACGGGCCTTGTTTGCTGATTCTGTACTTGGACGGTGGTGGCTTCGTGGAGACCTCTCATCACTTGGATGTATCGCCAATCTACTTGTGATAGGATTAAATATCTTTTGTTCTGATATAACAAGAATTAGAAATCATTTGATATAGTTATAAGTGTAGCGTAGCAGATTAATGAAAAAAATGTTCTCTATACTATCGATCCCTAACGATACAATTTGTTAATTTTGTCAATGGACACCAGTACCACTGATGGTATTATTGAGTCGAAAATGTTGATAGAACTCAACACAGAACGACATGCCCGATGCCCAGATCTGAAGGTCTTGATACTGGATATTAACCATAGAGTAATACTTACTATCAAAACCATAAACTGTCTCTATACGCACTAAGCACAACACTACTTCGAATCAGTTCGACTGTTTGACTTGATCGGCGTTTTATGTTTATAAGAAACTGCATTTTACTATACTTTTCAAGTAAAGGTATTGAAATAAAAACTTAATATTAAAGAAAAAGTTATAAAACCAGTAAGAAAATGGTGAGTAAATTTCTATTTCCTACATAAATTGCTGATAAAAATGGCGGTAAAAACTAGGTTATTTTATAGTCCCACACAATTTTGCTGGTGCAACCTGGTCCGAGGCCTGAAACGAGGACATATTCGGACTATGAAAGCGTCAACGACTGCATGGAAGGCGTTTGTAAGATATACGAAGAGCATTTAAAGAGGCGGAATCCTAATACACCGACCATAACATACGATATATCACAACTATTTGATTTCATTGATCAGGTAAGCTCTTTTTAACAAATATTTGTTTTTTTAACGATGCTAACAACAATTTGAGTAATTGATATTGGCTTCTGGGTGTAAATAGTAAATTAAATGTTGTTGATGTGTGTTGCTAAGTATTTAATAGCTATAAATTGTGTTCACGAATATTAGTGAGTACAGCAAAGAAAACTGTATTTTATGATATACAATTATGTAAAGAGACCACTGGCCATGGTCTCAATCTGCCTGTAAAACATCATTCGATTCAAAGACATGTAATACCTATTAGATAGTCATCTAGAATTATCATCATCTGTCTACTCTTTTACTATAATTGTGTGATGAGCATGATCATACATATACTAATAATATACCTCACACACCTCACACACGGCTGTCTGATCCGAAACTAGGCAGAGCCTGTACTCTGGTAACCAGACAGCTGATAAATATACATATATATTTTTAAATACTTACATATTATAGATAAATTACACCCAGACACAGAACAAATGACCATAATTGTAATGGGTGGGAATCAAACCCACAACCTCCGGCTTAGCAGACAGGGTCACTAACCCTCACTAGACCAACAGGCCCGTCTAATATATTGTTTTGTCTGGTTGTAATTTATTTACAATTTATATGCTTTAGTAACATATAAGTACTAGCTTTTGCACATGGCTCTGTCTGCATATAAATCGGTTATCCCAGTAAAAGCCTGTCCTTCTCCATAACTCTAGCTGACTCCTTTTCTTTTCTGTGCGGAAATCCCCTGGGATACCACCCACCGGTGCTTATGTCGGACTTGAACCGACCAAAAACCGCACGCCGTTAAGGTATCAGTTGCTGGGGTACCAGGTGTATGCTAGGAAGAAAAAATTTCTAATATAAGTTTGGATATTTGTCAATAGTCTGGTTCCTATAGGCTCTGCCTTGTTTAGGATCAGACAGCAGTGCGTGACTATTAGATTATTATTGTTTAACTAGTACATTCAGTAACAGTAAATTCTGCCGAGGAAGGTGGACGAATTTCCTTCCCTAATACTTGGTACAAACAAGGTATTGTTATTTTACCAAGGAGTAAACATTTCCGTCATGAAACTTGATCCCTGGAATGTTTACTTAAACTGTCACCATTAATATCAAGTATATTTGCAAGTCTAAGATTTTACTAATTCCTATAATACCGAATGTATCATACTCAGTGTATGTAAGTACACTCATAGAGAACTAACTTTTGCCCTGCAAAAATGTAAATTTCATTAATCAAATCCCTGTTCCTCTGTAACAGCCCTTTTATTCAAGATAAAAGGGACCCTTTGCTATATTTTGTAAATCTGGTCTCATGAGAAGGTCTATTCTCGTAATAAAAATTCGTTACAAATGTCTTGGCTACTCTAGTTTGCAATACTATTAAACTATTGTATTCCATAATATATAATTATGTTTATATAGATAGTAAGTACATACAGACTGAATTGATAGCCTGTAACCACAACCAATGCAATCCAGTCGAAAAGTCGAGCATTTCAAATGTTAAGTACATTTGAGTGAGCTCGATACTTCCTGCAGACATAATTATTGTATGTCACTGCTCCTAGAAGCCTATTAATGCCCCCAGAGGATTCAGTGCTTCTGGAAGGTCTTTGGTTGGCTCACCTAGCCAACCTATCCTTGACACATAAAAGACGATTCTTGAGTCTAAATGTGTAATCCGTAGTCCACAACCAATACGTCACTGTACCATTTATTCCAAGCAAGTTTTGGTTTACTTTTGGTCCATATTTTGAATGAAAAATATGCTGTATCCTTCTATATTCTTCTTCTCCTGTGTGTATCACTGGCAATATCTGTATTTAATTCCATGATTATTGGATGAACTATGATCTATTAATATATTTTAAAAAATAACGACAATAGTCGCATATAATGTGTCACGTTGGCTTCCTGTACCACATTTCCGTCCCTTAAGATATTTTTTATTTTTTGTATATTAATGTCGAAAGTTTTTACATTGCAATTTTTTTCAGCTTGCAGATCTTAGTTGTTTAGTATACCAAAAATCAACCAACACGTACGCACCGTACAACAAGGATTGGATAAAGGAAAAGATATATGTTCTACTACGTCAAGCTGCTGGCCAGAGCGATTAGTGTAGGTTTTCATTTTACATAATACAGTGCTTGATGTCATATTTTTATGAAAAACACGTTGTGATTTGAAGCAACATTGATTTTTACCCCTAGTACAAAATTTGGGCATATTCAAAGTATGTCTCAATGCAATTCTATTTCTTTTTATTGGCTGATAACAAACTATACAGTAAATTTTATTGCTGTTCATAAGAACATAAAAATTGTATAAACCAAGCTCTTGAAAAACATAATTATTGTAGTATGAGTCACTTAATAATTTAATTACATTGAAAAACTATAATTAATTACAACGTTCTAAGGGGTACTTTAATATTTTGCTGTTCTATTGCATGGTTGTAGTCCATTCGTGTTAAGAAAATGGTGACCAAATAATAATAAATCTTTATTTCAGGCAATGTCCAAATATACAAGTTTACAAGAGAAATAATAAAAAATACATAATATAGAAGACACGTATTTCAGCACGAGTTTATGCCTTAAATATTAGAGTCCTGTGTATCCGCTATGACCTTTATGATGACGCATCAATCAGGCCTTGCACCCAGATGGGGATGGAATAAAATCTCAATCACATTTCATAAATCATATGATTTAAAATCCATATTATCACATCTGTGACTAATTTACAAAAGAACTGCGACTTATTATTATTGCATTGGACTCGTGAAAGGTCTGATTAAAAGAATTTTAACCAAATCACAATCGCAGTGACTAAAACGAATCATTTCATCATATGATTATGATATAAAAGTAGCAATAACCCGGGCAATTCAGATTCCAAGCTAATGAAACGCCTCTTGGAATCCTCTTTAGTTTGTGGAACCTTATTGGCCAAGGGCCGGGCCTTGATCGATGCGTCACTATTTTCTTAACGCGAACGAACTATAGGTTTTAGAACCTAAAATATGACCATATGCACTTTTGTGGGTTTGTAAAGAGTTATATAATAATTTGATTCGGGTCATACAATTAAAAAATATTAGAAACTAGTCGTTTTGGAAACAGTCATAGACAAAAACAGTGCCAGACACACTACTGTTTAGGACAAGCAAATTTAAATAATCTGTCACTGAATAAAAATATTACGGGTTTTTTAAGAGCAGTTTTATAAATTTATAGATTTCAAGAAGTCCATAAACATTTTTTTTACTTTTGCCATTTAAGTAAACGGAAGTAAATTTGTTTTTAAGAATTAAGATTTTCTTTCATCTCAATGCCATGTAAACCGTGTGTTGCAAAAGTAACCCACAAACTGGTCAAATTAATATCCGTATCAAAATTAATATGGGGGAGGAGGTCTCAAAGAGGTATAACGCGTCTGTGGTTCCTCCTTCCTTTTTGATGTTATAATCGAAACATAAAATTTGACCTGTTTGTGGATTAAATTATTACTATTTACTAAAGATACAAAACCATGTATTTTTACTCAAGTATGTTACGGGGATTTTTAAATAGTATCTCGCCTGACTGTTATCCTGATTCAGAAAAAGTTAAGGTGTAAGGCGTCGCATTTGATTGCGAATGTAGACGACTTCGTTTCCGTTTAGTTGGTTTTACTCGTTAAAAAGGAGCTCCCATTAGGTTCGAAAACTATTCAGCATATCTAAAAAAAAAACGATGGGTTATTTCTGCACACGAAACTGTTCATGTATTATTCGAATGTGTTGTCCAAAATTCTTTGTAAAATAAAAATTTAAAAATCTATTACCTAAATAGATTTTAATCCTCACTCAAGGTAACAATCTGGCAGCACTTCAATTATTTCAATGAATAAACAAACTAGTGCTTTAATTATATGTCATTAAGGTTCAAAAGCAATAAGACTTGATTAACGAAATTAATATGATTATAATGTAGCGTTCTGATAGTGTAATAAGTTGTGGTCTTTAGAAAATTTGTAAAATAATAATAATAATAAATAATTCAAAAAGGAAGAAGGAAAACCCGGACATTATTGACAATTGTATTCTTAGTAAAAGTTTGAAACTTACGAAACATAAAGGATTCGTAAAAAGCGGACTTCAATTTAAAAAAAAAATACGAGTGAGCCTGACAGTAATATGTATGACATTATGACAGATAACTCTGGCACCGCACATGCTGATTGGCCAAATTAAACTGCGCACGCTTTCTCCGTTTCCTGTTACACATTTCCGTCCTTTTCACAAAAGCACTCCCACAAATTTGAAAGCCTCCGGATATTAACTGAAAAGAATCACGATTTAAAATTCTTAGTTTTTATTACACCCGGAGTTTCATCATCATCTATTGGATATAGGCCTCTCTAGAAAGGAGTTTTTGGCCAACTATATACCACGCTGGCCAGATTTATTGGTATAGGGTTTATGTCAAGTTTGCCTTCTCTATGCAGTGTTGTTGTCTAAATTATAAATTGCTTCCTTAGTCGGCTCTTACGACACCCACGGGATGAATAGAGGTGGTGACACTCCGTATTCTTAATCCGTTACTACTCGGGAAATCCTATGAATTTATAAAAAATATATATTTAAATTGTTTTTAAAACAGCTAGAAGCTTCAGTGAATGTGTAGCTGGGTTTAAACTAATTGTAATCTTATGACAACATGTGAAGGACGTTTTTTTAATGAACCGTTTACTACCCCCGTTTCGTAATTTACAAACTAGTACTAAGAAATAAAGAAAATGAAACCATTATCATATGTTTAAGATAGCTACTAATTCAAAATGCTCTCAATAATTTCTGTAAAATTAAAAAAAAACGGTTTCACTCATGTCTGTATTTCGGAATGTCGAACTAATATCGGCTTCGAAGGTACCCTCAATAGTGTGGCGCCTGACAGCAAACCGGTCGCTTTGACCTATTAATGAGGACCCCTGAGGGGCTGACACTAATGGCGAGACATCCCTAAAATAATAAGCACTAAATTACGAATGATTATATTGTGTTGTTTATTGTATTTACTATCAGTGTTACCATGGATAAAAACTTCATTGTTTTTTTTTTGTTAAATGTAAAATTAAGCAAGATAAGTCAGGTTTTATTTCCTAATTGTTTTTCACTGTAATTCTAAGATACTATGTAAGTACCTTATAAGATTAAACTATTTCGCAATAATTTCTTTTTTCTTATTTTTAACACCAAGACGTCATCCTAAGAGTGGTAACCGCCTTTTAATACATATGGACCACAAATATTTCTCTATATACGTATACATACAGGGTGTAAGGGACGTCGTAATGAGTGTGCGTTACCCCAGCAAAATAATGTCGAAAATGGTCATTTAAACTTTATAGATAATTAGTTGCTCCCCTTCTGTAATTGTTAAGCACATTTTTAAATTTGTTTCACTTAAACTTTTTTAGTTATTTCAAAAAAACATTTCCTGCTGGAGTAACGTTTGAAACGTTACCGCATCCAGACATTTTCTTTTTTAATTGTAATATTGAAATAAATTTTAGCTAGATAATTAGTTATCTGGACTAGGTAAATGTTACAACTTATTTGGTATTTGTATTTTCTTCGGTTGCGAAGTTATTCGAAATCCTGCTGGAGTAACGTTTGTGGGTTTGCTGGATCTCTGAAACGGGTAAGCGGATTGTAACCATCTTTTGTACATAACTTCTTAAGGATTAGTTTTAATTTGTTCGACAATAAAATAATAAAAATAATGGACCGTTTAAAAATTATTTAGGTAAGTATGAAAACACTTCAATACGTCCTAACACTTTAAATAAGACCTCTAAAGACTTACTTGAAACGTTATTCTATTGCTTGTAACTACCTTCAAATGTATACGAATTTTCGTAAGAATACTGTAAGTGACTAAAGAGTTATGATGAAATGTAGTTCTCCACGTTCACGATCACAATGTGTGCGGCCTTTTTTGGCCACCGATAAACCTGTGTGTGGATATATAAACTGAATGTTATGCCAATAATTAGTTGTTTAGTTCAGTTGTCTACCTGTAAAATTTCAGTTTCATTTACTAATTTTACATAAATAATTGATTTTATTATAATTTAACTCACCGCGATTTTGTGATCAAATATTTTATTTTCTCCAACATTATTACAGAAATAATGCAATACAGAGTTTGTTCGCGATATGCTAGCCTAAGTCGATTCATCACTTAAAAAAATCCCCATCTATTCACAAAATACCTATTTACAACGCATACGTTACACTCTTCAAAACTTATCATTTCATTTCATATTTCTTAAATTACCTATACCTACCCTAAAATTAAACTTCAATTAACAAATACTACGCAGGTACCAATTCTATGAACAACTATAAACAATTCACCTAAACATTACGAGAAAACAAAAGCATTCAAAACAATACCTAATCTCCCGGCTGATTACTAATTATGCAATAAACAATCCTAAATAAAAAATATTTAAAAAACATGTAGTTTTTTGTAACACTTATGTACATATCCGTAGTAAACTTCCAAATAATATCCTACATATTTTAAAAGCCAGCACAATGTACTGGGTGATCGCTTTTTTGTAACCACCTAAACATGGTCGGATTACCACGGACTTGCACCTTCTAATGACTTTTATTTAATTATCTCGTAAATTATTATATGTACGACGCTGAAATTCTACAGGTAGACAACTGAACTAAACAACTAATTATTGGCATAACATTCAGTTTATATATCCACACACAGGTTTATCGGTGGCCAAAAAAGGCCGCACACATGTGATCGTGAACGTGGAGAGCTACATTTCATCATAACTTTTTAGTCACTTACAGTATTCTTACGAAAATTCGTATACATTTGAAGGTAGTTACAAGCAATAGAATAAAGTTTCAAGTAAGTATTTAGAGGTCTTATTTAAAGTGTTAGGACGTATTGAAGTGTTTTCATACTTACCTAAATAATTTTTAAACGGTCCATTATTTTTGTTATTTTATTGTCGAACAAATTAAAACTAATCCTTAAGAAGTTATGTACAAAAGATGGTTACAATCCGCTTACCCGTTTCAGAGATCCAGCAAACCCAC